TAGTATGCCGGGTTTACATCCTGTCAGTGATGACAAACAAACCACAGCATTGAACAAATCAGTCCTACCTTGCTGTCCTTGGCTGGCTGACACTCAATCTGATGGGAGACGGACGCAGTTTGATTCATCTCTGCTCCTCACTTTCACTGAATGCCCCTTTACCTGAAACACTGGGTATCAAAATAAAATCTCCCCGTCAGTCGCAGCTGTTCAGTTGTGAAGTTTCCTGCGAGCAGAAACAGACGCCACTGAGAACTGAAGGCTGGAAATGCTTCACCCCAGGCGACGCGTTTTAAAAACACAGTATGTTTTCCCTCCTTTGTTTCTTTCTGTGGCAGAAAATGGTCCGAACGCCACATTTAAACGCAGTCCCGCCCCCTCTCTCTCTTTTTTTCTCTTCTTCCCTCTCTGTAGAGTGTGTGCAGCTTCACATGCAGCTGACAGACAGTTCATAAACCAGGATGTTTGCCAGTGCCTCCCACATACGAAGACGTTTCTTCATCAGAATGCAAATTTGCTCCAGGCAAAGAAATTGCAGGCATGTTGCTTTTTCAAGCTTTTTACATTTAAAGCATCCCTGTGATGTGTTTAATGCATCTCACAGGGGTGGTCTCGTGTTTGCACGAGAGGTGTTTTGACAGGATGAAACTTGGACCCCTGGTGAACCAGCTTCTGTTTGTTTCAGTCTGAGTAGAGACTGAAGAAGCAGAAGGAAAGAAACGGAATTTTTTATCCATCCAACACTGTCCGCGGGTTTATCTTTTGTTGGTCCAGTTTCAGCAGCTCGCAATAGATACACAGGAAAAATGAACACACTAAAGTAATGTAATCGTATACAACAAATAGATTGTTTAATTATTATTAATTATACAGTGAGAATAACATTGTCAGTTTTGTTTCCCAGTACCTTTTTCTTTTGGTCCCCCAGTATGTACAGCCCTGTCTCCTAGAAATGATCTTTCTGCGACAGGAAATACATTTTGTAGAATGGCGGTGCAGTTTAGTTGTATATAAACATGATTTACACGATTCCATATAATCTTATTTTCTTCTACTGGAGCAGGTCACTATTCTGTTCGGACCTGGTTCATACAATGAAATTAGAGTCTAAGTTGCAGGTTGTGTTATGAAGTGTTTCCATGCACAGTCTCCAGGAATTAGCAGCAAACACAAGCAGCCAATCACAGCTGGCCACCATAATTATGGTAATTTATGGGTACTGAATGAAGAAGTGAAAATTAAAGGGCACATCAGGCTACATGAACATATTTTAAGTCAATTGCCTGACATAATTGATGTAATTTAACTTGACTCAAGTTTTAGGAAATGTAACTAAACATGACGATGCTCAAAAAGCAGGTTCTGTTCAACACTCCTTTATTTCCTCCAGCATTTGTTGCCCTACAGTTATTTATTGATGTTTTAATGGTAGAACCTGGAAGTGGAAAATTGACCATGAGAAAATGCCCATTAAATTGATCTTGTGCTAAGAATTATAGCGTAGAGAGAAGGTGCAGTGGATTTAGTATCACTTACAAAACAGTATGTTGCTTTAATTTGGCGCCAAGGACTAATGAGATTTATTTAAAATCATTAGATGTCTGTTAGCGTATAAACTCCACATGTGCAGATCATCAATCAGTTTGTGAAAGATTTATGATGAAAGTCGTTGTAACTAAGCCTCATATCCATATGTACGTGTCCATGTTAAATCTTCATCCCTCTTCCCAGATTTGTTGTTGTACGTTACAGTAAACGGTTGTCCCCATTAAAAATGTATGTCCGTGATGCATATTTGATGAGCTGGCTGTTTTCCATGCCACTAATCATATTTATTGTCCAGCATATGATCACTCTAATTGAGCATGTGCAGCTTTTAACGTTATGAACTGCCACCAGCCAAGTTTCCATTGGATTTCCATTCAAAGGTTATAAAGTGCTGCGTCCACGCAGGAGGTCAACTTCCAGCTCAGGCTCTTTATGGGTGGATACGATAAATCTATGCAGAAGTCCGTTGGGATTTTTGGGATATTCTGACAAAGGTTTAAAGATGGCGGCTAACACATTGGTTTTTTTTGCAGTACTTTTCTTTTTTATGTCCATAACTTTCAAAGAGCTTTTCCCCTCCAGAATTATGGCAGGATGGAAAACCCTCTTATATCGCAGTGGTCGCTTCAGGAACCCAACAATTAAAACACATGGCAAATTGTAACTTTCAGGTGTTTTCTGTTTTGTTTTCTTATTTTTAATGATTTTTTTTTTTTTTAGATGGAAATTGTGTGTTTACTGCCATTTATTTTTATGGGGATTGTTTAAATCAGTCATTTAAGTTGTGATATCTAATGGTGCAAGTGTCTTTTTCAAATGAAGCCAGTTTAGCTGCAGCAGAACACTTACACCACAGTAAATGTGGTAATGATCATGTCCACATTTCTCTCCAACATTATAGATGTGAGAAAAGCCTGTTCTGCTGCTGTAATCGCTAAATTACATAACTGCGCCTTATAATGCTTCATTTCTGACCAAAAAATAAAGTAGATATTTATTGATTTTCCACTATAAACGTCTCTGAATGTTATGAAGAAAATAAAACAAGAAATAAAGAAATTCCAGCACAGTCTTTTGAACCAAGAGGCCACCGTACTTTCTGCTTCTTAATCAAAGAAAGACAAATGGTGAGAATGAGTGGATATGTGACTGAAAGGCAATAAACCCTTTAAAAACAAGTGACATGTAGAAAACCATTCATTGTCTAACAAGGATGTGTGTGTGATCGAAGGTTTGTATTTAAACTAACTCTGACGCTCTCTCCTCTGATTAATCTTCATATATTCACCATATTTATAATTCACCCAATTTGTGCATTTATCATGAGTTTGTTATTTTTTTCTTTACCCATTAGAAAAATAGTCAATTTCATACTGTAGTGATTTTCAGTTAATGATGAAATGTTACTAATCACAGTGGAACATCTTTAATTAGAGGAGCCCCAACTAATCAAGACAAACACAGCGTGGTGTGTAATGAGCCTGAAGGCCAGGGTGGAGGATTTATACTCAGTTATGACATGAGAAATTAATGATGCACCTTGTTAGTTAATGTAGACACTTTCACAATAAATGCCAACACATTTGTAACAGTTATGTGGTTTTTGTTGCAAAACAAATCAACAGCACAAAATCTCCTCATCAAGTCCAGATTTTCTTCAACCTGTTTTTAATACAAATGAACTTTGTTTCGTGTATTTCCTAAAAAAAATCAAGCTTCATTCTTCTCAGGTTTTTAGAAAATTATTGATATGAGCTGATGTTTGATTAATATGAACGAACGGGCATAGACCTGTATAAGCCCTCCCACCCCTCCTTCATAGGACGCCAGACACAAAATACATGACAAACTGTATCATTTGTCGGTGTTTTACGTCGCTTTGTTGTCAGTTTTTATCTATTTGCTCCTTTTGTGAATCTTTGTAGACGTGTTGTTGTGTCTTTGTAGTTGTCTTGTGTCTCTTTGTAGTCTTTTCATTGACTTTCCAACACAAAATGTTTCTCCCAGTCACTCCAAACAGAGATTTGAAATATAATTTCTACCAAAGGCAGAGAGAATTAAATACTGTAAATTAACTGCATCTTTTCTGACTCAAAGTTATGAGAAAAGATGTAAATTTGGTGCCGTTTTAAACAGAATCATCAACTCATATTTGAACATTTCCAGCCCTCTGCTGCTGCGACCATGCAGAATTTGATTTTGTACATACATTCCCGTGTGTCAGCAGATAAGTTACAGGCAGCAAGTTGTTCCCAAAATGAAATTTTAAGTGGGACTTTGAACACCTCTGCTTCTTTTTCCCATCCTTTTATTTGCTGAATTTCAAGAGGAATCAGGTTTCTTCTTCGGAGGACCTTTAAGAAACGACATTATCAGAAAGCACTGTGCAGAAAAACTGATATTTTATAACATTCGCTCTCTGTGCCTGGCAGATATAAAGACGTAAACGTTGAAAGATGACACCGGGCGAGGAAGGCTGTCAGGGAGTCGGGTGGACTAATAAAAGAGGACATTAAAGCCAACAGCAGAGAGGAGATAGAGCACTAAACAGTCTTCCTTGAGTTTGATAGTACCTGTGGGTCCTCTGCCTGCTTTCAAATGCATTGGTTAAATGGTATAATTCAATAGTGTAACATTACTCCATGTCCGTATGTCATCTGGTTATATAAGTGGATCTATATCCAGAAGGAAGTCGCTACCTCAAATCTTTAGATGTAAGACTCAAGGTTTAATAAATCAGAATTAGACTTACAATGATGAGACAAGGTTTGTTGTGTAATATGCAAAAAAGAAAGAAATAATCTTTACTATATTTCCTCCGAACTTGTGTAAGTTACTGGCTCAAACTCCAAGCTTAACTCGCAGTTAATTTTAGCAGACACTGCAGAGGCAACGTTGCTGCCATCTGTTTCATTGGATGGTGGTGGTGGTGGTGGTGGGGAGGGGGGTGGTGGGGGGGGGGTGGGGGAGGGGGGAGGTGGTAAAATATAAATAACCAATAATAACCCGATTAATACAGTTTTTTCTCTCTCTCTAACAAATGTATTATTCTTGCACTGACTGTATGGAAGTAACCAAGAGGCCTGCCTTGCGTGGGCTTGAATGACAGCTGAAGTTAATCACTCATTAATCCCTTTGTTTCTGGCTTTGGAGTGCAGAAAATTTGCTATTTTTACAAGATGACAACAAGGATCATGTGGAGCTAATGTTGAGTATTTGTTTGCACAGATGGAAAGGCAACATCAGCATGAATGTATTTATTTTCATACAGTACTCATGCCACATTAAAACCATACCAGTACATAATATAGTGTATGCTCACTTTAAATATTACAGTCATTTAAACTATTGACTTTCATGGCTTCCAATTTGTGCCCTTTATTGGCACACACAAATAAACCCATGCACAATTATAAAAACTGACAAATAAAAAAAGGGTGTGTGTGTGTGTGTGCAAAAACACTTGCATACCATGCAGATGATGGCCCTGCATGTTGCATTACAGGATTGCAGTTTTGATTTTGCAAACAGAAAGATTTCAGGAGGCAGAAAGCAGGAACTTGGTTCAGGAAAAAAACGTACTAATAGTTTTTTTTTTAGATTGAAAGACATTTCAGTCCTGCTGGGATCATTTCTCAAACTTTTTTGGGAGCTACAATCCAAGGTTTTTTCCTTTGCTGATTGTCACCTGTTGTCTTAAACAGAGGGTGGGATGTGGACACCACCACCTCTCTGTTCAATGAATTAAAAGTAAAATAGCCAAATGTTATCTAGAAAAGATGAGTAAAAAAAAAACCCCAGCATAATTAAGAGAACAGGCAGGTAATATCAAGAGTCTTTCTCAACTAAACTCTTCTGTTTTGAAGTTCAAGTTTGTAAATGAGCCTCTTGTTTGTGCTCCGGAGCAGCCGACCTGATTCAAAATCCTTCCCTCGGTCCTCTGTTCGTCATGATCTCCCTGTGCCTCGAGACCCCTGTGACGAGTGTCTAAGTAGGGGATTTCCTGCCCCATTTTCTCTGGCATCCTGGTTCTCAGGTATCCAGCCACGAGGTGGTGGTAGCTGGGGAGGTCGCACTGGTTCCACCCCTCCTCCTGGAGGTTCGGGGTTGGCAGGGTCTTCGTCTCCTTCTGCCCAATCTGAGCTGGGTCTCCTGGGTGCGGAAGCTGGTGCTTTCCTGACTCTGAAGCTGGAACCACCAAGATTTCCGGGACCCCTCTTGTCCGAAGGGTGTACTCCAAGAGATGGAGAGTGTGGGCGGGGAGAAGCAGCTGGCTGCTCCCCTGCACTCCCAGACTCCTGGATGGTGTTCAACCTCCTTAAAGGAACCAGAGAGCTGGACGAGGAGCGGGACGAGGAGCGGGGCGACACACCAGAGGACTGGAGACGAGCTGAGGGACGGCCCACCTCACTACCACCTAATATAACACCAGGATTTGATTATAGTTCAACCAGAAGTCATCTTTTATGTGATTTATTCATCTAGAGAGACAAATCAAACTTCTACGAACTCACCGAAACTTCGTCTTCTGAGGGCAGACTCCAGATCTCCACCGGCCTGCAGGGAGTAGTACCTCTGAGACTTGGGGATGTTTAGTGCAGGCTGGAAGAGGAAGAAGACTGAAGGTCAGGCAGGGTGGGGGAAAAAAGGTGGCAACATATTTTTAATGTCGGCCAAAATAAAAACCCACCATCTCACGGAGACTTCCGGGACGGAGGCTGCGTCTGATGCTCGCGTGGCGGCGGATCAGAATCTCCCTGGTTCGGCTTTCGTCGGGCAGACTGTACTTGTTGGTGTACGCCATCGTCTGGTGAACATTGTGAGATATTTGGAGAGAATTGAACAATTGAGCTTCACTGCTGCTTTTGAAACCACCAAAACAATTAATTAATCCTATTAACAAGCCTGATATATCTTTTTCCTCTGAGCTGTACAGCTCCATTGTTTCCAAAAGCTATTAACAACACATCAGTGAGTCACACTGTTACTCTGGGTGACATGTTCCTTGATCACCATGAACACACACACTGTAGTTTATTTTGACTCCATCCCACACACACACACTGTCCTGCTTCTGGAAATACTCACTAGAGCACCAAATGTGTATCAATCCACAGCTGAAAGTAGTCCCCAACAAATTCACTATTTAACCCTGTTATTGTAACATTTTCTGAAACTACAGAGTCCGGCTGTTTTAGGAAATTAAAAAGCATTTTTTTAAAGATGATACTATATATTTATGACCCATTTTTAAAAATGTATATCTTTACTATGAGGCTGAGGGCCACAGACAGAGTAGAGAAGTCAGAAAGTATCAAGAGACAGATCAAACACATCGTTGATTTTGGTCTTTTCATGAGATTTGTTGACAGTCACAAAAATATAGAATAATGTCAGTCTTATCCTATAAGTCTGGGAAAAGTTCAGATGATTTCTTGCAGAAAAAAATAGTGTTTAATAGAAGCCATAGTAAAAATAATGTTCTCAATGTTCACAAAGTTCAAACTGCAAAAATACTTTTCAAATAAATTATTGAATCTGCTAATGACTCTTACAACCTCACTTTAACTGCTCTTTTATCTTAAAAACACAAATTAACTTTCAATATTATTGAAATTATTGAAATTATTATTTTTACTCATTTTAACCCTGGTGTTATGGTTCTGTAAATTTGATTAGTTTAAATGTTTCCACTGTCAAAATGTTTTATTCCATTTGATTGCTCAAAGGCTTTATAATTATTTTTCAACCTAAGGCATATTAGCTCATTAAATTTATCCCTACTGCTGTCATGATGTCTTATTCAAATTTTATACAACGGTCTGCTCAAAAATGACCATGTAAGGTCAGACTGCCGGTGAGAAGCATTACACACACTAACACACACATGCAGTTTCAGGTAAAAGATGTCTGAAGAGGAAAATTTCCCAGAGGAGAAAAAGTGTTGAACCTGTAGTCGTGAAGGTTGAAAAGAAGTTGTTGAAATGGTGTTAAACTAAACTTCATTTTAGTTTTAGACAATTTAAAAGCAAACTGCCCCTTTTAGGACAGAGGCAAATGACACAAACACAGCCTAAGTGTTAAAATACTGTGTGGAATATAAAATATATAGGATATTTCTCTGCAGTTGTGGCGTTGACGTTACCTTTTGTCGGATCTTGTACATGTTATTTGACAGGATGTCGTGCATTTTCCTCACGTCAGCAGCCAGGAACTTCTTCTTCGGTCGAGATGCCTCCTTCATCTCATCACTGATTGCAGGCGAGAGCAATGAGCAGTGAATTAGACACTTACGAAGTATAATGCTTTATTATTACTACTGACATTAATGGACTTAGGATCTAGGGTGGAAAACGGCATCATCAGCTGGAGCCAAATTAGATTTAGTATCAAAGTTTTGTGCATTTAGCTGATGCACTCAACTCAAGCAGATCCAGTTTCTGTTGTCTTACTTAAAGACTTTGCCTGTGTATCAACACAGAAGCTGATTTAATGCTACAACGTTTGGGCTGCCAGGTTGTGAAGCTATTAGGTTGCAGAGTATCTGAGTGAAAAACATTTATTCAAGACTCACTAACATTTAAAACTATTGACTTTATGGAGGAAATCCCATCTATGTGCAGAGTTTTTGTTAATTTTCCACTTAATGAGAAACTAAGTCTTTTATTAATAAATAAGGTTGAAACCGTTCAATCTGTTCAACTTACTGCAGAGAGACAATAGATGGCGCTGCACTGAGGTCTGCCACAGGTGTGTCCAGTATTTCAATGGCGTTCTGCAGCTCCAGTTTCTTATACAGAGACACAATACTGGACTCGGCCCTGTTGTCTCGAAGCAGGATACGCCTCAAAACACGATCGTTGAACTTCTTAAACCTGACGCACAGACAAAGGAATAAAGATTATTGGCATATCAAGCTTTGTGTTCTCTATCTTGATTTAAATTCATGAGCAAATCAGTGTAAATCTGCAGGAAGAGAGCCACTGGTTCACATTAGAGGAGGAGAGATGGCAAGAAACATAAGAACGTATTATAATTTCAATCGAATCACGTTAACATAGATAATCAGATAATCCTACTTGTCTTTCCAGTAGTAGTGACTCCACTGGCCACACAGGTCCTCAATACCACAGACAACATGCTCCATCACCTGGACAAAATACAGTCAAACACAGGGATGTAAAAAAAAAAAAAAAAAAAGGGTTGAAATCAGTGAAGAACAGAAAACTAAATCTGTTGCAGCTGATACTTACCCTGGTGTGGATTTCTACATTGATGGTGTTCAGGTCTTTGTTGGTCCTCCTGATGTTTAAATACTCTACGATGGGACGGATGCTGATGCCCTGGAAAGAAGAACATTTAAAAACAAAATAGATAAATTCAACTTAACTGTGACACCATTTATAAGCGATTGTAATTGGTGGTAGGTATGACTTTCAAGAACGGTAGAAAATATTTAAATACATATATAAAAAGGCTGTTTAAATTCTCCACACATTATACAACAGGACGTACAGGGTGACAAATGACCTACCTGTATGAAAACAGTGAATATAATCATGGCGATCGAAGCCGTGACAAACAGATTCTTTCTGTTGATGTTATCGGGCAAGGTGAAGACCAGGGCGAAGCAGATTGCCCCTCGTAGGCCTCCGTAGGCGAGTCCAAACTGGTCCTTGAAATTGAACTGGATGGTACGGAACGGGTTGATGATCTGTGTCAACACCAGAATTCCTGTAGGACAGAAAAAAGACTTAAGATTGATAAACTCGGGAAACTGGAGAAGAGCTTTGTTATGATCTCCCCGATAAACTGATTCTCTCACCCAGTCCTCTCCAGATGAAGGCAAAGAGCAGCGTAAACAGGATGTAGGCCCAGTTCCACTCGTGTTCGGTCGTTATAGTAACAACACCCAGGAAGAAGAAGATGAGGGTTTCGGAGACGGTTGCCAGCATCTTCACCACATGGCGAATGGTGGTGCAGGATCTCTGAGACACATTCTCCTCCACGTAGTACTTCATGGTGATAGCACATGTGATAATGCTGCAGGGAGGGAAAAAAACAGAAATGTGTGACTGAGCTTTTGCAATGGAGAGGTTTGTATTTAACCCTGCAGATAAACCCAAGTAGTAGCCCTCCTACAGACGCCTCCTCCTGTGGCAGTTAGCAGGTAAGGGGTGAGGTTAATTCATCATTGTCCATCAGTCCATGCTGCACAACATGTACACCCATGTATCTTCAAATTTAGCTACTTAGAGTTGTTTCAAAATGTTTCTTAATGAGCCGAGTATCTTCCATCACCTCTTACACTGAATAAACTCTTAAAAAAACTGATGATGATGCATTTGTTAGGCGATGCTATCATTTGAATATTTGACACATGCATCCGTTGCCTGATGTCATGTCAAACATAACTCTCGCTCCCTTTGTGTCATGTCCACAGAGGGTGGAAAACATGGAGGAGCAAGTTTGTGCAAGTTGTATAAATATCAAGCCTTAGACAAACATGTTTAGAGTCTGGAGGGTAAAGATTCACATCTAGGAGCAGCTATTGCCCGCATTCAGTTCTATAGCCACCACAGAAAGCCAAGGAAACATGCCCTTATAGTTTGTGTATGTATGCACAGCTATACTGTAACTTTCTTAATGCAGACAGAGCAGGGTTATCTACTATTCTTTGGTAAACTCCATATTTCCAAGCCGAAAGGAAAGGAAGCAATAAAGCACATTTCAGTGGCATTTAGAGAATCTGTGCAGGTATTCTCAGCGCTGCAACCTCTGTAAACTCTTATATTCCAAATATTAAAAAATGTAGCAACTGCAACACATTTTTATTCACAATCCTGATATATTTGTATTTTGTATTTGAAACCAGCAACCCTCTGCTCATTAAACCTGCTGCATTTCTATAACTTCTAACTCTCCAAACACTTGTGTTTTCTCATTCAGCTGTGTGGACCGATCTGGGTTTGGCCTTCACTTACGCCAGGACGCTGGAGATGGCAAACAGCTCGGCCACCAGGTACGCCAGGTAGCTGTACATGAAGACGAAGAGGGGCTCGATCTGACGGACGTTGTGGGTGAAACGTGTGGTGAACGCTGCCACGAATCCAAACAGAAGGCCAAAGAGGACTCCGCCGGCCGCCACCACGAAGAACCGGGCCACTCCAAGGAACACGTCAGTGGATTCAACAATGGGCAGGTCTGCCAAGAAGGAAAACATGCTATACAGTACCTGAGGAGAGCAAGGCACAAAGACAGAACACCTGAGATCAGATAAAAAATAAGTCCACATACAGATCAAGGCTGGATGTAGGGTGTATTTTTTACACTTAACACCAACACAGACAGTAAACGGCAGATTTCAGGTAGCTGCTGTCAAGCAAGTCAAACTGCTAAAACACTGATGAATCTCCTCTGATACAGCTACTGTTAAAACTGTTCAACTTATTTTTGGGTCAGGCTGATGATCATGTGTCAACCTGACTTGGGTTGTTCAACTGGTAAAACTGACATATTCTAAGCACACTTGTCCTTTGGAGAAAATTTGCAACTGAAGCCAATTAGCGCCAGGAAGTGAAACTTGCCTTTCAAGCGAAACTCAGCCAAAGCAAAGGCGGGTTGACATTCCCATTTAACAATGGGGAACTGGACAAACTAGACTGAGGGCAAAACTGCAGGGGCACAGAGATCTAGTCTGTGTCATCCCTCCAGGCATGGCAAGCTTTTTCACAAATGCACAGTGGTGAGAAATTTGTAATTTACTCATGTAATGTCGCATTCTGGGCATTAGCTGCTGACACTAGCTGCCAACATTTATACAGCATTAATGATCATATCACAAGACATTTTTTGCCTCTTTCCCACCACAAAAAGATCAAACTTCAGTGGGGGGTTGTGTGTGAGGTGAAATTTCTGTGGTAAAGTTTGCAGTCCTAATTCAGGCAAATCTGAACACTTTGTTTTAGATTCAATGTGACTTATAATTTGACAGGACATCATTATTTCTGATGTGCCACATGTATAAAATCTATAAACCCACTTAAAAAGCATGGAAAAATACACTTTGTAACTCTTGCCTTAGAGTCATCACATTTTTTAGTTTTCTACAGTATGAAGATAATCCAGTGACAGTTCTCTATACATCCATCAGTATGTTGCAGACTGGAATAGGCATTAGCTAGTCTGGCATAATTTTAATGGTTCTCATTTGCCAAACTGTGAGCAAATACAGGCAGAGAAACTTGCCTGAAATTGCAGCCCAATAAATCAAATCCCTCAGCAATAAGCCTCGTTTGTTATAAGGTAGGCTGTACTGTACGCACCACAGTGACAGCATCATTGAAGAGTCCCTCTCCAAATATGACTATGTAAATCTGCTCGTTGACTCCGATGTCCTCAAACACATTCAGAGCAGCCACTGGGTCCACAGCCGAGATGATGGAGGCAAACAGCAAGTTCTCCTGAAAAGTGAAGGGAGTAAAAAAACAAATAAAGTTCTTCTGTTTGGTTTACGGGCATTTACACTCAATCCACCACTTCACATTTAGAGAAAGTCCTCCATTATTTAAGAAAACAATCCCACCATTACGTACATTTACAGTAGTAGCTGCTATGAAGCTTTCGATCATATCACATGATCTTCAGCAGCAGATGGAGTACGCCCAGTTGTCATTGAATAGTGGATGTTTACATTTTGATTTAAGGACTTTTTGTCCATATTAGCTCCAAAGCTGGGGTGCAATGTTCAGGTTTTACCTTTGCCCACAGACATGAGATGGTTAGTTGCAAGGCAGATATTGTTTTGTTTTTAACAGTCTTCCTTCAAAATATTCCAGACTATATAATAGCAAAGTAAAAGCTCAACTTTATAGTAAAATATCAAAACCACATGTGAAAATATCACATTCAGTGCATTACAAGATACACATTGATGTCACCTTTGACCTTTCAATCAACAGAAATCACTTTCCTACTCTGTCACACTTTTAACATATGATTAACCTGATACACACCACCCTGTCGTCCCTGTGACTTTCACTGACCTGCAGGTTGATATCTTGAACTCCAAACACCTCAAACTGGCAGATGGCGAACAGAGAAAGCCCGATGCCAATACTGTTCCACAGAGTTCCCACCACGGCGTACCACAGCACCGTGCCAACGTTTTCGAAGAACGGCCTTGTGGGCATGAAGTAGCCGCTGTCGAGAACGATGGGTGGGAGCATGTAGAGGAAGAAGACATTGGAGCTGAGCACAGCCGGGGGCTCCTCTTTAACTGAGTGCATGATGCCGCCGACGATGAGGCCGATGGTAATCAGGAGGCAGGATTCTGGGATCCAGATGGTGATTTTGTGGTAAATGTGGAAACCTGGAGAGAAGACAATGAAAAGACTGGACTCTAGTCTCATGTGCTAATCTCTTACTGCAAAATGAAGGCTGCTGCCACCCATAGTAATGTTTGTGCAATTATTCTGGTTGCAAATCCTGATACAAACTCTGTTACTTCATGCACAAATGTAAAACTAGACATGGTGGTTCATCCAAACATACCAATTTTGGCAAAGGAGGCCAACAGTATCCATAGTGTAAACTCAAAGGGGACTTGTATCCGAGGGTAGTCCATAGTAAACACAGGGAGGCTGGCCCTCTCCTCTTCGGGGAAGGCCTGAGGTTCATTGTTTTGATCTTGGAAAGGTTTGACAGTGGGGAGGTTGGTTGCCGATAAAGGTTTTGATTTCTGAAGCTCACATTTTCCAGCCAAGCAGCAGAGCAAGAGGAGCAGAAGCATGCAAAAAACTCCTCTTTGAGTCCTGACTTCAGATAAAACCGAGGTCCCCATTTCCAACGGTGAACACAGATCTCAAGTATTTCCAATGTGTGAGTTACAAAACACTCAAAATATGAGCTCCATAACATTGAAAAAATGTCTGTTGTCCACCTTCAACAGGCTGTAGTAGATAAAAACTAATATAACATAATTATTTTAACATACATAATTTTTACTCCAGTCCATGTCCAGATTAAATGTCAAAGTTCCAGTTGAAAAAATGCCATAAGGGAAGTTATCCTTTTGATAAAAGACAAGAAACAGAAACTTCCTTCTACAGTCTTAACAGACTTTGGTTTGAGGTGCAACACAATTCTGGTTTTGCTGAAGTGTTGCTGAACCTGCTTGTCACCTGTGCCATGCCTACTGGGTGGAGCCCCTGAGGACTCCAAAATGACATGAAAACAAAACAGCTTGACAGTGTTGTTGCCACATTGCCAGAAGTTATTTCCACCTGTTGCTGTAGTTCAGTAAAAATCTTCAAATTAACCATGACAACCACAGGCACAGGTTCAAGGGTGTGACTTGGGTTGGGTGTACAAAGTTGAAGCTGCAGGTTTGAATCACAGACTGTATATAAAAAAGTTTGAATACGTTTGTTGAAACCTGCAATACCAATCATTTCCACAAGATGACAGTAGAAGACAACTCTACGTTGCAACAGTGAGTTTATCTGAGGAATGGCTGAGTAAGTTCAAGGTAACTATAATCATTATCAATAGTATTATCATTGTCTCTCTCTGAATAGATTAGGTAAGTCATAGATTAATTAATGAATTAATACTTTCATGTAGTATGTATGCTGTAGTATGTAGTATTTAAGCTAAAAGTTGGCTAGTCATTATCGTTGGTCACTGGTGAATTAATGTGTAAAAAGCTTTTTAATGCTGATGACATTGGTGGTGGTGCACATATTATCTATAATGTATTGAATTTAATGAACTTATTGTATGTTTTCCGTGTAAAATCTTAATCAATTAACTAGTACCAGCCAAATAAAAGTAACGAGTGTGGTAAAAAGTATAATATATGAGTACAGTACTTAAGCAAATGTACTTACTTTTATATTGACAGAAAAAAGTGGTGTTAGTTGCTTTTATTCTCTGTAGATACGTTATTTTTTATTTAAATTTTTTAATTGTTTTTGAAAAAACGTATGTGGTACGTAAACGCCTGCGTGATGACGTAGGAAGCGTGCTACGCAGGCGGGGGCGTGGCCAGCGGCTGTAGCTGCTGCGGCTATGGGCAGACAGGCACACTCAGAAACAGTGCGGCAGTTTGAGGACACTCCTCACAACTGTTGTTTTTCTCCCTCATAATCAATTAAACGGATATTTGATCACAACACGTAACTAAATTGGTAAGTAATAGTTATTTGCAGTATATTTTAATTCAAATGACGCAGCATAATGTAGGTTTTATCGGCTGAAGACAGCTAACGGCTGCGGCTTTGTCAGTGTTTATACTGTTAGCTTTAAGTTCAGAAACAGAAACTACTTACATGCTTTAGCTAATAAGACATCGCTGACTCATATTTTCGTCACATAACTTAAAGACAGGAGAGGAAAGAAAGCATTTAAGTACATGAGACTAACGCCAAGGCATGATAGGGTGTAGGGGGTCAGCAACAAGGACAGAACACGCACTTAAAAGGGCAGAATATTGATCATAATTGGGCTAAAGTGCTATATAAATTGAACAATCACTCATGTTACAAAGTGTATGTGGTTCCTTGAGTGTAGCAGCCAGGTCATAGCCTGAGAAACACCGCTGCCGCTAGTATTACGTAACTTAGTTAGGAAACGGTGCATTTTCCTCCGAGCCTGAGTGTGTGACAGGCAGTGTATGGATTCTAACATACAGTATTTATTGCCTTTCTTGTTTTATGATATGCAAATGATCTTTCACCTAGAAATCATCCTGTTAAACACACACTAAATATGTGATTTTGCAGTATAATGTGTGAGTATACTGATTTTGCTGAGTGTACATATGTATATGTGTGTGTGTGTGTGTGTGTGTGTGTGTGTGTGTGTGTGTGTGTGTGCAGCATGCCCTCTCTGGATGCTGACTGTGGATGTACACATGTGCTGAGTCTGTGTGAGAGTTTGCATGTTGTCGTCACTGTTCACTGCAGTCCCTCTGCTTTCCAAGGCTGGTTTTGAGTTTCATCTGTGCAGGAGTCAAGGTCAGCTGGACACTGAGTTCAAAGAGCTGATGATGCTCTTCATGAGGAGGAGAGTGACCTGTTTGAAAATTAAGCTTTCAATGTGGAGCTGACTTGATATGTATAACCACATTTTACATTATGACTGAAGATGGTTTCACTTGGGAGTGTTGTAAAGCTTTGCCTTTGTCCTGGTGCCCGGTAAACAAACTTTGTGATGCTTGCCAGTTCTTTTATGGTTTGAGATTTGAATTTTGACTGTAAGACTGACTGTAAGACTGTAAGAAAATGATAGCAAAGTTAAATCAAGTTAATGTATGATATAAACTGTAGCAGGTAACATAGTAGACAATAATTCAGAATGTGATAGCATAATCCTTACATATTGTTATTTGGCATTCTTGAAAAAAAACATAAGAGGTCATTGACCATTTTTTGATTCATTTAGCAGATATACACATCAAGATTATGTCCCTGAGTGAAATAGAAAAAACTCATCTCTATAGCAGTATGATATTAGCATTTAAATTATTTTAAAAAGTGATAAGGATATAGGTAGTTCTGGGTAAACCTCAGTACTTTTATGGTAAATGGAAAATGCGTTCATAGAGCCACATATCAAACTGTCACATACCGAAAGCTTGAATGTCTTGTCAAATTTGCAGTTTTTGTAATTATCTGATCAGGAAATGCCTAATTCAAATCAAATATGAAAAAACTCAAAGAAACTTTATTTTGAAAAAGCTCAAAAAGTTATTCTCCTGCACCTTTGCTTTGCACCATCCAAAGCCACTTTCTCCCATTCTGGTTTTTACTTGCTGTACTCATGGAAAACGTCACTATTTCCATTTCCTCCTGCACTTCCAGATAAATCACTGCTTGTCACTCTCTGTCTCCTCAGCCCAAACATCAGTCTGTCCTTGGCTCAGAGCTGTAAGTTTAAATACTGACACAGGACACAGGAACTGGCACTTTGAGAGATGAGGTGAATGTTCAACAGGCTTTTCTACTCTGACAATATTATCATGGCACTGTGCACTGGTTTGAATCTGGTTGGTGATTTTTCCATATAGTTACTACTATCTTGGGAATCTGTAATTAGACTGTTAAGATAATTTTTAGGGCTGCAGCAATTCATTATTGCATTACATTTAATTGGTGTGTCTATAGTATATTAGAAAATAGAGAAAAACACCGACGTGATTTCTCACAGCCCAAGGAAACCTATTCAGATCGCTTGCTTTTTCCAACTAACAGTCTAAAACCCAAATATATTCAGTTTACTAACATTTGTTACAGAGGAAAGCAGCAAATATTCACATTTGAGAAGCTGGAACCAGAGAATATTTGGCTTTTTTACTTGGAAAACGACTGAAATAACTAATTGGTTAGTAAAACGGTGGCTGGTGAATTTTCTGTCTGTTGTCTAATTGATTAATTAGCTAATCTATTAATCCCTAGTGACTTTTGTTGTTGTTTGTGTTGATTGAACAGATTTCAGATGAGAGGTGAATCGTATTTAGTTGCAGAAACTAACACTGTCGTAGCTGTATTGATGGACTGTGATTTGACTTGAAATCACAGAGTTAGTGTATTCCTCTGTATCCTGTGTGTGTGTGTGTGTGTGTGTGTGTGTGTGTGTGTGTGTGTGTGTGTGTGTGTGTGTGTGTGTGTGTGTGTGTGTGATGACTCATCAAACTCTCCCAAACTCTCCCACTCAGCTCCAGAGGGTCGAGCAGAAGCCTGTTGATTCATCCTCATCTGTGTCTTCCTCTGCTTCATCCTTCCTCCTTGTACACAGTGAGCACGCGTGTGACGTTAGCGACAGATGTTAGCCACTTGCTGCGTCTTATTGCCCGTCTGTTTTAGATGGACGGAGGAGGAGAAGCATAAAGATTGCATAATGTGGAGGATAGACATTCAGTGGGTCGTTAATGAGCTGTATCATCCTCTTCACCAAAATGGATCGCTCCATAACCCATCAGTCTCTTTGGGTTATTTTTAACACAAAACTGTTAACACAATAGTTACACAATAAGGAGAACAGATAGTCCCATAAGTACACATATAAAATCAAGTGAAACAATACAATTTAAACAAAAGGAGGGCTGCAGCTAGTAATTATGTAGTATTGTGTCAGAAATATTGAAGAATGCCCATCACAAATTCCCCATGATAACTTCGTCAGATGAGTCAAGAACCAAAAGATGTTCACTCTACTATTATTGATAGAGTAAGAAAACCAAAAAATATATGTTTAAGAAGCAGAAACTGGTGATTTTTTGACAGTTTTTGTTAAGAAATGACGATAAATGATTATCAAAGTTGTTGGAAATTACAAAGAACAGAGAATTGAGACAAAAAATGAACTGAAACATAACATAATATAAATATGCTTGACAACTTAATGATTAATTATTAACCTTTCCCAGTATCTGTTGTATTGATGTATCTTTAGCGATTTATAATGTAAGCCCATATGTTAACACACACACTCAAAGGGATGTTGTGTGTGTGTGTGTGTGTGTGTGTGTGTGTGTGTGTGTGTGTGTGTGTGTGTGTGTGTGTGTGTGTGATGCCTTTTCATGCACAACTCCATTTTCAGCTGAGGTGCACTAACAGTACACAGACACACTGGTCTGCTGATGCTGGGCGCTCATGCAACTGTCCATTTAATTATTGATGAGCACAGGGGAAAATGGAGAAGCATCAAAAAGAAGAGTGGAACCTGTGTGTGTGTGTGTGTGTGTGTGTGTGTGTGTGTGTGTGTGTGCGTGCGTGCGTGCGTGCGTGCTACCAAAGATGGGACCACCACATGGAGCATGGCAAAAAACGTGATTTGTGTCCCTATGGTTTCTGTGTACAAGCCAGCTCCACACTGCAAAAAATGTCTGATGCATCAAAAATTTCCATCCTGCAAAAAATGATGTTGCTTTGATGCAGTTTTAAAGCTGATATCTACAAAGTCTTTCTGGTTTCTACAGAGCCATGCATACGTATGTAAGACACAAAAATCACACAAATATTTAATATTTAAGAATAGTTTTAGAGAGGTGTTGATTGAACCTGAGGCTTCAGTTTGTGGTGCTGCTACAAGTGTATTGTGTTTTACTGACAGGTGTTTCTTTTATTTTGTCCACCCCATGAGGACAGGCTGCAGAAACATCACATCTTCCACTAGGAATCGATGCATCCATTGCTGCAGGCCAGGCAGGGAAAGAGTTAATTGCCTCGATTGTTTTGGAAGCAGCGAGCTGTCGGAGAGGGAGGGAGAGAGAGAGAGAGAGTAAAGGGTGAGGAAGAGGAGAGGGCGAGGGCTGGCTGCAGTCTCTTTGCCTCGTGACGGCGTCTACAGCGTGAGTTTGTTTACATCCATCGGCAGCAGACAGAGCGGAGCAGACGTCCTCGGGTATGTGTGTAAACTCAGGCTGCCATCATCATCACCCTGAAACACACACAATCGGACTGTGATGCTGCTTTTATGTTGTGACTGTGACATCTGATCTATGTTTGGGCAATAGGGAGAAAATGCACCATCATGCTGTATGCTAATCAGTTATCTTTGAACCTGTCCTGGTATTACTTGTTGGACTTCTGAAGTAAAACGATGCTGCACTGAGACATGAAAGATACAGAATGCGGACTTGTCCCATGGTTTACAGCGAGTTACAGTGTCAATGCAGTGAAGAGGCAGGTGAATGACTTCTAAGGTGACTTTCACTTTTGAGTGATGTTGGATTAAAGTGCTGTCGTTCTGCAGACAGGCAGTTCGAGACAGAGAATTTATAAGACAGGAGAATGTGACATGAGTAAAGATAAATGGTATAGCTCGAGCTGTTGTACTGACAGAGTGGCTCAAAATAGGGCTGCAGTTAACAATTTTCTCAGTTAATCAATTTATTGTTTGGTTTTAAATGACAGAAATAGTGAAACATGCCTGTCTTCAAATTGCTTTTTTGTTGGAACAAAACCCAAATAAACTCAATTTATACATTTGTAATGACATAAAACAGATGTGAATTTTGGCTGAAAAACAATGACTTAAACAACTAATCAATTTTGAAAATGGTTTCATGATTAAGTTAATCATGTGTTAATAAACAGGATATTATTACAGCTTTCGCTTCTGTTGATGTGCTGAGCGGCCATCTTGGATTTTTAGGTTGGGGTTGGTGAGGTTCCTCCGACTTTTCCAGCCCGAAATCCGACTAAGACGAGGCGTTCCAGTTGAAATTTCTTAGTGGGAACATGGAAATTCGAACTTGAGTAACAGTTACCAAGGATGGAGTACTCGCAGACTTTGCCTCGTCAACCTCGGGCTGAGGGGTCGACCGAGCCGCCTCAAAATCCCTGATGCTTAGGCTGAGCGGGTGATCAACTTAGGCCTGGGCTTGGTGGAAAACCTGTTATAGGAATACAAGTTTATTTGTTGCATCTATGATCAAGGCACAATCATCTCTAAACCCCTTACCTCATCAGTATTTTTTGCTGTTTATATGAGAGGTATATCATATTTTGGAGCTGCCCTTTGGTCAGAGACATGTTTACAGTGTGAAATGAAAATATAAACCATTGACTCTGAAATTCAGCCAGACTGAAAAAAGGCTGTGTCACACCAACTGGTCAGTTTGCCAAGGCAGATACGGGTGTACAGGCCTCATCCAGACAACATTACTGTCACAGTATGTCTCTTTTTAGTGAGAGCGCCCTGCAGCCTTGTGATGTTAAACACGATGCCTCATACAAATGAGGCAGACAAATGTCCATCCTGGCAAACAGCATCACTGTGACACGGATGGCTGAAACTCAATCACTGGCCTCTCATGCAAAGGTATGAAACAGACCTGTTACATTGCATGTTTCGCTGCTGTCATTCTTAAAGGCTTAAGTTGCCCTTTTCTGTATTATTTGATATTTTCTCGAGGTTTTACGAGAAGCACTTCAAGCATGTTGCTCTGAAATGTTGTACTTTTGCTCTTGTAGAGCAGAGTAGTAGAACAGATTCCTGCAGTATTAAATAACTATTTTAAGCAAATGGAAATAAGCTAGTCCTGCGCTTACTGGCTTTTCTAATGAGACTATGTGACTTCATCAAGGTGACTCACTGGTTTAGAGTTTTTGTCTCCTGACTAATGATTCAGACCAGATGAGGTCATGATGATGTGGATCTGTTTGGTGGTGTTTCCTCGCTGAACTTTATCAAACAAAAGTCACTTTAAAAATTGACTTGAATCAAGCGAGTGTTTCCTTTCAAAGAAAAGACGAAAAGGTGAGAGCGGAGGCATCTGTGATTTTATCAGAATGGATCCTTGAAGATATTTTGTTTCCATACATCCCAAAGGAAACAAGAGAGAGCACATCATTTGTTATTCTTAATCAGTCTTGTGGAACCAGTGTCTTAAACCTTTTGTTCTTCATCAGCAAGTCTTCATTGATTACTTCCTTCATATTGTGGGAACTGAGGCTTGCAGTTTTTCCTCAGAGGCAGTCAAAAAGAGACCCGTAACTCAACCCTGCCAGCTCACTTCTGTTTTCAGCATGTCTCTGCAGACTGGTGTTTTTTTTCTTTTTGTCTCCTGCGTCAAGTTTGACCGCAACACAGGCCCGTCTTTTGTTAAACCCACGCCGACTCTTACAGCTGCACCAGAAATGAGTTTGAGCGTGTGAAAATTCACTCATCTTCACTGGCATCCTGCACATTTGCTTTTGATATACTTGCAATGTTAACCCTAATTTTTGGTGCCAGGTATGCTGCATGGCAGGAAATCCGTCAATGTTAGATCTTTAGATCAAGTCGTTATCCATGCATTAGCTATCTAGTCTAATGTCTCATTATATTAGATGATTTTTACTGGAACCAATAAAATGATCTGTTGAATTATTAAGTTCAGTGAAGAGTGAAAGTGATTTTGACTTTTGTAGCTGCAGAGTTTCTCTTCATTGGGGAACTGTGTGTGTGTGTGTGTGTGTGTGTGTGTGTGTGTGTGTGTGTGTGTGTGTGTGTGTCTGTGTGTCTGTGTGTCTGTGTGTCTGTGTGTCTGTGTGTGTGCATGCTTGTACCTCTATCTTTGTGAACCAACCTCAGTTTCGTTGAGTGGCTTTTTATGGCTTAAGACTTGTTTTTAGTTTTTGTTCATGCTAATGCTGCAGAGAGAGACATGAAATATCTGCAGCTCAAAGCAGACGGAGGTTATTTTTATTTAAAAGTGTTCTTTCCCATGAACACATAGTTACCACTGTCAGCCAGAGCGACTCTTTTAAGACACTTACTGAAACAACAGAAGGAAGTGATGCCAACTTGAGCAAGAAGCAGTGTCACACACACACACACACACATACACTGAGTGAGGTTTGTACTCTCCTTTTGTACCATTAATATTTTGCCGTTCGCAGATGATTACACATTAGTGTCTCACTTTGTCTTGCTTTTGCTGGAACATTACACTTTACACTTCCTGGTTGATTTGGTGACATCTGTGGCTACCGTGGAAACAGCAAGTAAAGTTTAATACTACAGGAGCCGGTAACATCAGCTGTACATAAGTTCAGTTTGGGCTATAAAATATGAGAAAATGGTGAAAAGGGAGCTGTATAATTAAATACATATATCTTTTATCTAATCTAAAATTTAAAACACTTTGATTCCTTCAAAGTCTTATATTATATGAGTCTGGACAGACATGAATGTATGCTGCAGCTCAACTGGTTGGTGGAGTCACACAACTGCAAAGTGCTAATTGTAGTCTGTTTTTCATTCATTTTCAATCATTTTTTATGAGCGATGTCGTTAGCGCTAACTGTAATGACAAATGCTTTTCCTGTGGTTTTATCACAACAAAAGCTGCCCCGAGTTTCGTCAGCCGAATTCTTTTACTGGGGGAAGCAGCAGCAAAACCTGGGTTTGCATTTTGTAAAGACATTGACTGCATTGTTTCCTAGGAATCACTCGTGAATGTGAAGTCAATTTTAATCCAGCCTTGAGAGGTAGATAGAGAGATATATATAGAATGTAAATACAGCCATTGAAGAAAAAATGCAGACAACAAATATGCTATATATGAATTTAAGAAAAGCAATAACTTAAATGTCTTAATATGTCCAGGATCCTCTTGGAAACTTTGCCAATTTTTTGTGAGCTGTGATTTTTTTTCCTGGAATAGGTGGTGGTGTGTCAAGACTGAGTGAGGGGGAGAAACTCAATATAGCTGTGTGTGTGTGTGTGTGTGTGTGTGTGTGTGTGTGTGTGTGTGTGTGTGTGTGTGTGTGTGTGTGTGTGTGTGTGTGTGTGTGTGTGTGTGTGTGTGTTAGGGTGTGGGCAATGCTCATTTTCATGTGAAAGGGCTACAGCTGCTCTGTTCCTCTAAAGAAATTATTCATGCTTTATTCTAATGCTGATCCTAGGCACGTACGCACATGCACGCACACACGCATACACTCTCTATTATTGGCTTGGTTGAGCAACACTGGGGTAAATTTGAACTGTTCTATGTTGTCTTTTTTTTCATTTTGATGCCATGATAGAAAGTGAGCAATAAGCTATAATATATTTAAATACTGACTGGACCCACGATGTTCATAATTGACAAAACAGTGTCCAGGATGTGAAACGACGCATCTCATGTCCCATTTTAGTCCTGCAAAGATCTTGGACTGTCAAACATAAACAAGTTTGTAATGAGCCAGTCAAAGACTTTTTATACTAGAGTTGTAATTTCAAATGTCAAACCTGCTGTTTCTTGTGTTTTCAGGTTGTGAACTTCTGCTACCCTGTTTGGAAGATCATCCTGACTGAACCTGGATCAGCTTACTTCCTCCCTTCCTTCATCCCATCCATAGACTGTGAGTAGACATAACCCAGAAGCCTACACCCTTAACACCCTCAAAATATCATATTAATAGGGCTCCAGCTAATTATTATTTTTATTATGGGCTAAACTGCTGATTAATTGTGATCCAGAAAATGATCAGTAGATTTATCAGTAATGGAAATAAGCTTTAGTTGCAAACTTAGTCAAAATACAATGATTAAAGAGAGAGAGAGAGATACACTTATCAAATTTGTTTTGATCATTAAAATGCTGTAGTTTATGAGAAAATTGTAAAAATGTTGATAAATTGTCGAGTCTCAGAACCCAACAAAAACAAATCAGTTCTTTATTTCCACCAGATTTTCTTGAAATCTTTCAACAAGTTTTACAAATATCCTGCAAACTGACAAACAGACGGCCATCTTGACGCATGTGAGGATAAAGTGTGTTTCATTGAAATAAGGACATTTTAATACTGTGACTGTTTTCTTGATGAACAGTGCTTTTTGAAAACTGATTTTGATGTTGTCTATTCAGTTGCACTGGTATAACTGGAGACATGAGAGAGAGATTTGATAACTTATCATATCTGTAATCAAATACTGGTTGATTTGATCACTTCTCCGTATCATAACACAATTCTCTGTAAACCAGTTAGGCTGGTAATATTTTGACAGACGTGTTATTGAGGGTCTCTCTAAACTGCCAGTGAAACCCAAGATAACAGACAGAAGTCAGACAGCTGCTGCACAGTCTCATCACGTTTTGCTTGTCAGTCTGAGCACAGTGGGTGCAGTGATTTGTTGCTATGAACACACAAGGTCTTTGTATCTAAACTGATCTCTGTGCAGAACTTGGAGCTTGTAGAGAGGATGAGGCTGAATAACTTGATGAATAGATTCTTAGTCTGAAGACCATCACCCTGAGGATCAGGGATGCAATGTTACCTCCTTGTGTACTGTATCTGGACTTTTACAACCGGGTGTTCTTTTCAAAACTGATCACAGATTGATATATTTATGTAGGTCTTCATTGTCCCAGCAGTGCTTGAAAGTTGTACATAGTGATAGCGTCCTACAGGCCGAACAGTGGGTGGCAAAAGGTTGGGAAAAAAGGGCAGATGTCATGGTTTGCTTTGTGTTGTGTTCCAAGATACAGTAGGTTCCTGTTCAACTTTGGGTCTATGGAAACTCACTGGAGGCCACCAGTTCTCTCTGCTATGGTCTCATTTAGCAAAGCATTGCAATTCATTTGTAAATATATAATATTTAATACCATCAAAGTGAGGTGTGATTTCACATTAAGTAATTCATTATGGAAAACACTCTACTCATTACACTCTGTGTACTACAGGCTGTGAGCTGTAGTAAAATATTTTTGAGCTGTACAAAGGCATTAAGATTACTGAATTTCAGCCATAATCCCTTTTAAGCTCTACTTAAATTCCAAGCTAACCTTGTAGTACTGATGGAACTCAGTCGCAGTGATGCAGTGCAGATTTATCACGACCGGGCTGTGTAATGGAAACTTGCTTCTTCGCAGACCCGAGGTTTGGTTTAACTCTTATCCAACCTGCCAAGTCGAACACTAACATACCGACTGCTCATAGCCAATGAAAGCTTCATATTTTAGAACAGAATAGAAGTTGGTTTTGAAATCCGAACACGGCTTTGAACTAGTTTGCCGGACCCTGGAGTAACACAACTTTATATAGCTTTAAAGGAACATGAAAAATCCTCACTGAAGTTGAAAAAGATGAAAGCCCTGCACATTGACCGAAAATCCAGCTCTCAACATCCAAACAGATTTTTATATCAACTCCTGAAAAGAAAAGCTGCTAGCCCCCTATTGATGTTGAGTCAGGATCAAATATTACACCAATACTGAATATACTGCAAGACCAAACATAGTAGAGAGCCACTTGAAATATTATTGAGTAAACTGATAGTGGGGTTGACAAACAAGTTTAGTCTGTGCTCTTTATAACATACCTTAAAATAAATGTCACAAATTCAAATCTCAAATTATTTAACAAATCAATGTCATAAAAAATATGCAGCTTGGAGTTTGTAGTATTTTTAATACCCTGAGTCTTGCCTGCAGGTCTTCCTCTAAGGCTGCAGCTACAACCTGTTCCAACTGACAGAATTATTTATTATTATTTATTATTAAATAATTATTTCAGTCAGGCTCCTCCAGTTTGTGAATTTGCTGCTTTCTTCTTCTGATTGTAAACTGGGCTTTTGAGCTGTTGGTCTTACAAAATATGACATCTGAAGACGTCACCTTGGGCTCTGGGTAACTAGAGTTTTTACTGTTTTGTGACGTTTAATAGACCAAACAGTTAATTGATTGATCATGACAATAAGTTAGTTAGTTACAGCCCGAAACCGAACCCTATAAAAGTTCAGTTAGTGATGAGTTTCCTTTCTGTTGCAGAAACAGTGGTATTTATTGACACTGAGAGCCCATGTAGTAATTCTGACATTTGATATAATATTATAAGCAACTGTGCTTTACTAGCTGTCAGTCATGATCCGGTATCATCCTCAGTGGATAAATACATTTCTGTCATGTCATGTTTATTTTATTTTTCCTCTGCTGTTGGATATTTTGTGAAAAGAGTCAATGAAGAACCAAATTTAGAAGAAGGTGTCGTCCGTCTGAGAACAGATGTGACCCGACACACTCACACACTTAAGCGGAGAAAAATAAGTGTGGTGTGATGCCTTGACTTCAGTGTGTGAAAGGCCCCTTGGCAAAGATGAAGCTTGAAAATGGGGTTTCACCATGTATGGTCAGCTGGACTCTCACTCTCTTTTACTCCGTCTCTCTTTCTCCCAGTCTGTCTTTTCCTGCCTGAGGATGAAACTTAGACAGAAGCTTCATACACACATTCAGTCTCCTCTGTCAGCAGCTCTGAGGCAAACAAAAACAGGTTTAGGAACTGTAACCATTTTTGTAACTGCTTCCTGTGTCCTTCACTAATCACAGACAGTTGCGGCGACAGGTTGGCACAAAACACTTGGTTACATAGTGCATCAGAAAACACTCTCAACATTTCTAACTTAAATTTTCATGCTGCTGTGTTCATCACTGCCGCTTCCTCTGTTGGCATTTTCACAAGTTTGAAAATAGGTTGGTGGTCCCTCCCCCGCTGCTACATAGCCAAGACGGCAAGTATTGAGGTATTGAGGGTGAGTTTCTCTCACTAAACTGTTTGACCGCTATGAGTGCACCGTCCGGCTACTCATAATGCACTGCATGTTGCCAAAATGGTCAGTGTGAATGTACTTATGCACTCAAAATAGCAAAGAGGAGCATAAAATGAGACGCTGACAGATTCAGGTAAAATGAAAAGTGACATTTTTTAGTTTTTCAAATCAAACCGTACTTTAAAGCTCCTCATAACTGCTGTCGTTACTGATCTAAGATCTGTTTAAACTGCTAATGAACCAAAATCCACTTTGCCAATCCTGGATTTGGGTTTTTATGTGTCAGGAGCTGTGGCTTGGGTTTACCATGACCTATACAGTGTGTGTGTGTGTGTGTGTGTGTGTGTGTGTGTGTGTGTGTGTGGCCCAGTTCATGTGACTCACAAACCAACACTTACACATACACTAACACGCAATGCTCCCTTATATGGCAGCTTGTCACGCTCAGTGAAGTTCCTGTTCAGCCATGGATTTGGAGAGCAGTTTGATTTCCTCATTTTGCGATTCACGATATATATTCCTTTTGCATCCTTGTACTGTTTTGGCAAGATAGTGAATTCCTAGATCTGCCAAATTACTTCATTCATTTGAGGTGTTAAATCTGTCGTCTGTTGCAGGTCATACACAAAGGGATTTACAATGAATGTGAGGTGGAGTTGTTCTTTTCAGGATGCATGGGGAATTGAAACTGGAGAAGAAAAGTAAAGGCTTTAGTGTGATTTCTGAAGGTTAGCAGGAAAATGTATTTGTAGATATCAGCTCTTTAGACTGTAGCACATAATCCACAGTTCCTTATTTGATGTATCCAAAAAAAAGTGCTGAAAATATGTTTCTGGATGCTAAAAAGTTTGACAGACAAAACACATAGCCGTAACTTAAGATAAAACAAAGAAGATAGTATCCATAAAAAGCAATGGGCTTTGAAATTGATGATGTGTAAGAACCCATTTTTGATAAGGAGAGTTGGAAGCAAGTAGAAGTCTTAAGCCCTCTCAAAACCATGGTGTTTTTTGGCTTTGGGAGTGGAAAATGTGACTCCAGCTGGCTGAGAGACTGGAAATTTCATTCTAGGTTTGGGAACAAAGACCAGAGATGCATTGAGTCTGGTCATTTTCCTTTGTGAGTATTACGTTTGCTTCAGTGTGATTTGAAAGCCAGCGATGGCAGTGCATTTCCTTTTTTTTTTCACTGTTAGCTTCGTTACCCCCAGGAGCTAATGCTAATGCAGGGACACTCAACAAGAAGGCCTGATGTCGGTTGGACCTGTGATGATTATTTACAGGGAAGTGTAAGCACCTGTTTCCTCTGTTTCCTCATGTTTTGGTATAAGAATTGTATTTTAGCAAGAACCTGTCACTTTTTTGCAAACACTATTTCAACACCTGATGTTTGTCACTGTGAATGCAACATTTTTGAGCTTGTGAGCTAGACAGAGACACAAGGCAGGTTCAAGGAAAGGTTAAACACACAAACACACACACATGCACACACACACATCTATGACTTTTCATACACAACTCTTTTCTGTTTACTTGCTTGTGTCTCTGCTCATCAGCACAACACTCATGCAGCTCGGCTAAAAGCCCCCACAGGCTGATGACTGTGTGTGCGTGTGCGTGCACGTGCGTGTGTGTGTGTGTGTGGGACAGTGTATGCCAGCTCTCTTTATGAAATAGCAGTATTCGCCCCAGCACACGTGTGCTTGTCTTCGCCTCCCTCCCTGCAGCCAGACCTGATGTTTATACATTAATATTGAATAACTGCAGAGACGGCTCTATGCTCCTCCACAGACGGGGCAGGTATGTGTCCTGCTCAACAAATATTTATCTGTGTTGACCAGTCGTAACATTTTTCTCTGTTACTTATTCATCCTCCTTCATGATGATTTGTCCTCTACTTTTCTTTCTCCCGTACTAATTTTAGTCTTTTCTCCTGCGAAAGTTTTATATGTATAACCCCAAAAATCTTAAGTCTAAATCTTCCCTCTCTGTTTGGAGGAATGACAGGAATTGGGTGCTACAGAAAGTTGAGTGTTTGCAGAAGTTTGAGTTTCTCTAAGTTCCCCTGAGTTCAAGTGGTGAGTCAGAACAAGCCTGAGTTGAAACAGCTTCATTGTAACACTCGCAGACAGGATTTTTACAATGCTGGAAAGCGACTATGACAGCAGTTGTTTTATCTGTCATCATGGCGAACTCTGGAGAGGACTCAAGTCTGTTCATGGACTCGTTCAAAAGTTTCTTGGGAAACTTCCTCCAGTTGAAACACTTAAAATGATATATTTCTTTGATATATAGACTCTTGTGCCATTATTCTTTCTTCCATGAAAATATTTAAAAGGCTTTTTGTTTTGCAGAAGTCTTCAACTCCAGGGCGTCCTGGTGGAAAAGGGGTTTAAGACGTAGACCGTGTATTAATAAAGATCGCAGTTCAAGTCTAGATATGAACATGTCCCCCTCTCTCTGTCCACTTGTTTCATGTCACGTCCCTGCGATAGTGCAATATCGAAGAAAAGCCCCGACAATACTTGAAACTTATGGAGAGATTTTACCACTTAAAATTTTATGTCACAGGTTGGACATGAAGGCAAAAGACAAATGCAGACCTACAGGAACACCAGCACCATGAAGATGTACAGTAAAGGCCAAATTCAAATGCACATAGATTCTCCTCCTTCCAGAAAGGACTCCAGGTAGTGCTCCAGATGTTTGCTGTGACAGATGTAGGGCACATGTTTCTGAGTTGACCAAAGTGGGGCATATCCAGCACTGCCAGGAGATCAGTGCTGGACCACATATGAGGAAGTAGGCCGCCAACTATTAACCCAGAACCACAGTTAAAATGAGATCACTCTGTGGGCCCATTTGTAAAAGATGTCATTTTTACACTGAGCTTAGAGTTAGCATTTCTTAGATGAATAGTATAATATTCCATAAATTACATATACTAGAAGAAATGTGTGGCTTTATCATCTCTGTTTGTCTGTTAGTGAGAATTAAATGTGACTTGTGTTTACTGTAACTTTGACCTAAACCTGAATCTGTGAAACAAAATTTTCTGCAGTAAATAGAGCACAATTCTACCAAAATAGACCGTAGAGATCTCCATCTGTGTATTGTCTAACTAGACCACGGTGCTTCTCCATTTCAGCCTGCCGCTGTCCCTTGTGCTTGCTGCGTGGCTGCAAATAGGCTAATTGCTCTTTAACAAAATGGGACAGAGGCAACGAAAGCAGGAGAGACCGCAAGAGTGGGACAGGCCGAAACCTCCAGGGAAACGAATCCCAAACGATCTGGAGGGGCGGAGGAAATAGAGCAAAAAAAGAATAGTAGATTTGGGGAGCACAACAATAGACGAGCCAGATTATAAACCTCAGGTGAAAGGATGGAGGAGAGACACTGAAGGAGAGAGGGATGGATGTTAAGAAAATAACAAAGGAAAAGAAATACACAAACTGCAGCGGACCTCATGAGAAACCTACAGTCTCTTAGCAACATCAACATATGGTGAGAGTTGCTCTTCTAGCGAGCATGAAAAGGCACATTAAATGCAAATTTTGTGGATTGAAACACACACACACAACCACACACACATATGCAAATAAACAACTTCCTGAAGCAAGCAACCATACCAGAGACGCACATATACACATGTACCCATTTACCCAGTTCATTAGGTCCACCACACTAAGAATAATGTTATCTAATACAACAGCCTTACAATAGATTCTTGTGTTGATTCAAGTGTATGATAAATTTAGAGGCTGCAGTTTGCGGTGCTGTTGAACTATATTGGTGTGAATGGGGAGGACACAATAATGTATACACCTGTCACTTTAACACAATACACAACCTGCTCCCTCCACAACGACCACATAGGTGAATCAACACCTCTCTAGAACAGTGTCAACTAAAACCCTGTCATCATTGAGCTACCTTATAAAATGAGTGTATACGTACAAATAGATGAACACACTTACATGCGCTCCCACCAAAACACAGGAGCCGTAGCTGAAAGCAGTCAGAGACTCAGGAGACTGACTGATGATGCTCAGTCGCATGCTAAGACACGTGCCTCTCCATTTCTCTCTCTCTCTTCCCATCTATAAATATGCAGTATATAGAGATATTCATAACACATAAATGTATCTCTATCTACCCATCTTGCTGTCTTTAAGTCACTTTCCTCATCTTTTCTTCCGTCTCTGTTGAGAGAGGTCAGCAGGGACTCATAAATGTTATGATAGAAAAGGCAGAAGAGTGTGTTTCTGCTCTCTCACCTGCTAGTGGACTGATTGAAGCCTTAATTCATGACTGTTGTGAGCACGAGGAACGCTCACCCACTCCTCTCTGCATCCTCCAATAGATTTTCCTTAATGTAATGTCATTAGAGGATGAACTCTGAAGTGCACAATCACTGAATCACTCTCATTTCATTCATATTTCCTCGCAATAAAGTGTTTAGCTGGATATTCCTTTGTTTGTGCACAGAGTTTCCTCATCAGTGAAATTGGATCAGATTTAAGTGGGTAATGTGAGCTCAGGAATAAGATGTAAAATAAGTTATAAACTGGAAAAAGTAGGAGCAGTGAGGAGGAGTTATATGAACATATGCTGTTGAATGTGTAGGTGGAAAACTGGTTAAAAGGCTGCATCACTAGAGACCTTGAAATTTTCTTTTGGTACTTAACAGTTTGATCTTAAGAGATGTTACAAGCTGTGCCCACTGACTCTCTGTCTTCTCTCTCTCTCTCTCTCTCTCTCTCTCTCTCTCTCTCTCTGCCTTGCGTTTGTTTTTTACTTTCTACATGTTGTTCCTCATTTCTGTTCTCCTGCTCCCCTCCTCTCTGCTGTTGGAGGTGTGCACATGGCACATTGGCACCATGAACTGAAAGTCATGCATGTGGTTAAAACCGCAAGTTTTCTTTTCTTTATCTAGTTTCCCTTTGAGCTGGGAGATTTCCTCTTACTTCAACAACAACACAGAGCGTGATAATGTACCATATATTGATTCACGGCAGAACTGTATGATGGGTAATACGTTAATGCCACTAAAGTAATAGATATAAACCCAAAAACCCACATCTTTGTCTGCTCTAACTTGTGAATACCTAATTATAAGATTGAAGTCTCTTTTTCTTCTCTGTCCTCCCGTCTCCTTCCATTCAGAGAGGTGAACTGCTTTCTGGAGCAGCTGTGGATCGACGCAGAAAGAGGGGCACATCACATGGGAGTGTGTGACTGTGTGCGTGAGGGTGTGTGTTCAGGCCTCCTGCCGTCGCCCGCTCTTCCCGGACAGGCATGGCGGGGGGCAGAGAGCGCGGCTCCCGGACACAGAGGCCGTGGTCGGTGTACCGGGCCAACACGTTCGAGCTGTCCAATGAGATGATCGGCCTGGCGCTCGCAGGTGAGGGGAAGTTTTTGATGAAAAGTAAAACAGGACCTTGTGCAACTTCATTATAAACAACTTCATCTAAGGCAAAAACAAGATTTCAACATCCTCATGAAACTGAGATGAAACCTAGAAGTTATAAAACATAAATTATAGAAACAGTACTTGAATATCAGGCTTAATATTTTGAAGTGATCCAAGCGGAATTTTAAGTAAAAAAATCATGATTACTAACAGCTAACAGCAATTTTCATGAGTCATTTGGCCTGTAAACATTCAGAAAACAGCGACAAATGTCCATCTCATTTTTCTAAACTCAAGCACTTTTAGTTCAAAATGATATAAAACTGAAAAAAGCAGCAAATCTTCACATTTGAGAAGATGAAACCAGAGAATGTCAGACATATTTTGCTTAAAAACTACTTCCTTGTTTGTTTTCTTCCTTCTTTCTTTCTTTGTATGTGAATATCATGTTTTGTGTCTTAATACTTAGTGGTTTGTTTATTTTATCCTCATTTTTGATCGTGTTTTCTTGTGTGTTTTTATATTTAAGCGGTGCTGTATGACCTTAACGAATCTGTTCCCTGTGTCACTGTGAGAGTGTCCGCACAAAAATAAAAACATACTTTGAATTTAATTCAGTAATTTGACACATAACAGGAGCTGCCCAGTTTAACCACAGCCTGCCAGTAATGTGGGCATCTTGCAGCACCACTAAGACTAAAATCACACACACTCTCACACACACACACACACACACACACACACACACACACACACACACACACACACACACACACACACACACAAACACTTTCTGCTGTCAGTGTGTTAAACTTGCATGGGAGCCAATAGTAGTTGTCCTGAAGCTGCCACAATGAGGCCTGAGGGCTCCTCTTCATCTGTCAACATGTCACACTGAGAACCTGGCGATGTTACAATTACTTGAAGCTGCACTGTGTTTTGAAACCTAAGGTTTAGGCTTCTTGTTGATTGTTTTTTGCAGGAAATAGTCAGGACCCAGATGAGCCTGTGTTGGAGTTCAGCGTGGGTGAGTAACACAAGCTTTTAGCTGATGCTGAAGCTGATGATTATAAATATGTGACTATGTGATAATTATGATTATGTGAATATGTGAGAAAAGCGGCAAATCCTCACATTTTAGCAGCTGGTTTCAGATCATTTTTGCTTTTCTTTTTCAGTATTTTTGCTTGGAAATAACTGAAAACGATAAAATTATTTTTCTGTCCATCAACTAATGAATTAATCAACCAATCTTTCAGCTCTGGCAAGATTATGATTGTCCAGTCAGTATAACTATCAAGACAGTCTGTCAACCTGTCTTTGTTTCAGTTTGAGCGATCAGGCAAAACAGTTTGTGAAACAAGAACCAGAATTGGTTTCAAATAACCTACTTGCATGCCTCTGGGCTCTTTTAATATTGACTGTAAAGCTGTGTGTGCGTGTGTGTGTGTGTGTGTGTGTGTGTGTGTGTGTGTGTGTGTGTTTTCCTGTCCAGCCTGCACAGACCTGGTGACTCCTGCTTTGGATCGAAAACCCAACAGCTTTGTAGCAGTGAGCTGCACGACACCACCACAGGCCTTCTGGACCAAACACGCCCAGACTGAAGTCATAGAGGTCAGACTCCTTCTTCTCCCAGTCGATCCTGTGTCTTAATTTCACACTCAAATAGCAGCGAGTGTGTCTTTAGCTTCCATAAATGTTTCATTTTGAGAGGGATCTGATCAAAGGTAGGTGTGACTGAGCGGCCACAGAGTCTGTGGTGTAGCTGCAGAGGAGTGTTGGCCTCCACCCTCACCTCCCTCACCCATATTGTTAGTTTAGAAGGTGGAGGACGAGGGAGACATGAATAAGTTGAACTGTTCACACACTTAGTTTTTGAGTTTTTTCCAACTGATATCAAAACACACACCTCTGACCCCTTATATATTGTACTTTACTTTTTAAATTTGATACTTGTCACAGTTCCAGAGACAGACATTAGCTACTGTAACAAAAAAACTGTATAAGCTGAGCATAAACCATCTTGTGAAGTGTTCTGAAAACAAACTTATATATAAACTGGTCATGTCAGGAAGTAATAGTGCTTCACTGTGTGACTGCCTCTGTCCACAGGGCACCAGTAACCCCATCTTCCTCAGCAGCATCGCCTTCTTCCAGGAGTCCAACATCAACCAGCAGACCCAGGTCAAACTGGCCGTCTATGACGTCAAGGACCGCTCGCAGGGCACGGTACGACTGACACCAGAGCAGCTCATTCATATTTAATGTTTTACAGTGGAAAGGATATACAGCCTTATGTTCTTCAGGGCTTTTATTGCTCTACCAAGTATCTTTGTCCCTCTGAGCTAAGATGGAAAAGTTTGCTTTTTGGTGATTCCAGTTACTGTAACTTCAACAAAGACAGACGTTTGGCTTTTGGTCTGTTCAGTTGACACCAGTTAAGACCAGGTGAAGAAGAAGAACACCCGTGTAAACGCTTGTCTGTCTCTGTGTGTCCAGATGTACATGTTGGGCTCAGCACTTTTTCCTGTGAAGGAGTTGTTGCAGGAGAGGAGCCACAGATTACAGCTGGAACTGAGGTAACACACACACACACACACACACACACACACACACACACACACTCGCACACTTCTGATAATAATATAATTGTTAGTTGCAGCCCTCATACATTTATATGAAAAAATCCTGTGAAATTAATTTCAATGGACAGATCAGCGGAGAACGAGCGGGTGGGGAACGTCACCATAGCAGCGTGGCAGATGGAGGACAGAGCAGATCAGAGGATGCCGGGTGGCCGTCTGCCAGACAGCATCAATGGCCGGGTAAGAGGCTGGGAGCACATGGGTTAGATTAGATCTGTATATCTGCTTTTCAAACAGAAACATTTCCCTCAACATCAAGTTTGCTGCCCCAGTTAAACAACAATGGCTAAAATAAATTGGATATTTACAATAAAAGATTAGGATTCATTCATGACCACTTGTTTTTAAAGGGACAGTCAGGCTGGATGATGCTTATTTCATTATTTTTTAGCAGTGAGTTAGATTTCAGTCAGCTGATGCAGATGAAATATGTGTTTCCTCTGTGTCTCCGGGGCTTCCCGTGTCTACGTATACTGCTGTATAATTTAAATCTGCTTTATGTCATAATAAACATGTCACACAGCCGTGCACATGGCAGTGAAATTGTTTATCTCAGTGGATTTTGGTTTGTGTAGGAGCTCCATCAGCGTGGTTGGAGCATGGTGTGGGTGAGTGTGGGTTTGAGAGTGGACAGATAGGTGGAGGTGGTTGTTGCCAACCAGAGTTGACTCTCTGTGTAACATCACTTCATGTGTGTGTCCTGCAGACAGTGCTGCCTGTTGACGAGAGCCTCACAGAGTCGATGGGAGTCCGGATCAAGTACGCCTCGCTATGCAAAGACACCCTGCTGCGCTCAGGTACGACAAGACTGAGCTTATGGTTACTTTTATTTTGTTATCTCTTGTCTGTTTTTAAAGTTCCTGAAAATGACAAGAACAGTGGACGTAGATGCAGTTTAGTGGAGGCAGTTGATTAGGTTTTGGTGAACATTTAGATACATAGTTAAGATAATGTAAATGAAGTAGATACGGACATAAATATTCATCATTTCATGGAATAACACACTTTCCAAGCAGTGAGGGAATAAAATGTAGTTTGGACATAATATTGATTAATTAATTATCATTTGAAAAACTGAATTTGACCTTTTCTCTCTTTGATCCATACCCGTCATCGTCCTCTTTGTTTTCTCTGTCTCTCTTGCCCACATGGCTCCATGTTTACCGATACATCAGACTGTGAATCTTATTACCAAGTAGAAATATATTGATTGCCACCATGGAGTGGGAGGTATCTGTTTACCTCAGGGCTAGATTGCAGATCCAGAAATAACACATGTAACGTCAGAGAGGGGACAATAACATTTGTATGATCAGAGAAGGCAGAAAATAAACTCAGATCAATCTAATTTAAAACTGTCGCAGGATTAGACGACACACAGGGCACAGACATGCTCAGACAAACACTCTGATCTAATCTATAACAATCTAATCCAGGCTAATTGAATTTTCTGTGGCTTCAGTGTTTGGAGGCACGATGTCAAGGATGTACCGCTTCCCCACGACTGATGGGAACCACCTACGGGTGCTGGAGCAGATGGCCGAGAGCGTCCTGTCGCTAAACATTCCCAGACAGTTTGTCAAACTGCTTCTGGAGGAGGACGCAGCCAGGTACAAACACAAATCTAACGTTTAGGTTCATTTAGGAAAATTAGAACAGAGGTGCCAGAGTGTTTGCCAGTTTTAAACATAATTCAAAACTTATTAGTTCTTAAATGATTATGAGTGTCTGCTCAATATCAGGGACTAGATTCAGAAAAAGTTATTTTCAAATATGGCTGCAACTGGTTATTATTTTCATTCTTGATTAATCTGCAGATTATCAGTTTATCAGAAAATCAGTTCATTATCACTTAAGATAAATAAAACTTCGCACTCGAGAATCTGGAACAAAAAGTTTGTAATTTTTGCTTGAAAATTTGATTTAAAAAAGACTAATAATTTGAAAAGCATCTGCAGACAAGTGAAGTGCTTCATGTATCTCCCACTTTTCCTCAACAACTCTTTCTCCATCTCCAAGGGTCTGTGAGCTGGAGGAGTTGGGAGAATTATCCCCCTGCTGGGAGAATCTGCGGCGACAGATTGTCTCTCAGTACCAGACCATAATACTCACATACCAGGAAACACTGTCTGACCTCAATGACTACAGAGGTTAGTGTCCTACAGAGGTTCCCTCTTTCTAAGTGGCATCTTGTCGTGACTTTTACAGTAAGTTACAACTAAGATTCCTGTTGTGTTTGTCACACACAATTATTCCCTTTTTCCCCCATTCTCTTCCCTCTCTCTCTCTCTCTCTCTCTCTCTCTCTCTCTTTCTCTCTCTCTCTCTCTCTCTCTCTCTCCCTCTCTCTCTCTGCCCACTCCACGCCAGGTCCATCATTCAAAGCCAGTAACCTGAAGGCAGAGCGGAAGCTGGAGTTCATGCCAACCAACCTACACGTTCAGAGGATGAGGGTGCAGGATGAGCTGGGCTTTGGTGAGAAACACATAGACACCAGCACACTCTCACTTTTCAGGTCATTTCTTCTAAACACCTCTGGTTCTGTCTGTCTGTGTTTCCTCCCCAGAACACACGTATGATGTGGTAACAATCGGAGCTCCAGCTGCTCACTGCCAAGGTTTTAAAAACAGCGGTCTGAGGAAACTCATCCAGAAGTTTGAGGAGGCAAAGAAACAGTAAGTTCAGAGGGGACAAAAAAATTTACCAAAAAAAAGAAAAAAATTTTAAAAAAGCATTTGCATGTTTTCCCCTCAGTCACAATGATATCTGCTCTTGTCTTGAATTTTATTCTTTGCTTCATTCATCATTGACTTATATTGTTTTAAATAGTTCAAACAGGTGATTCATTTGATCCAAATGAAGTTATTTTGCGTGAACATTTGACCCACTTTGAGTTTTACAGAAAATGAATACATTGTTTCATCAATTTTTACCTTAAATCTGCAGTTAAATTTAATGGCTCCCTCTTAATTTTGTTTTTGTTACTTTTTTGATCAGCGTATTTGAGGAGGGATGGTGAGTTGTTGCACTGCTTTGCTTGTTTTCATTCATTTGTACACTGTTTGCCTCTCACTGCTTTGTGCCACCGCCAAAAAAATCACACGTGCAACTCAAAGTTTTAAGCGCATTGCAGACGAACAGGTGAGTGGGTTTAGGGTGAATGAATGTGATTTGTACACACCGGAGACATGACTGCGGTTTGCAGCGCCACATAATGACACATGATGCATTGGTATTAACAGTGTTGTGTTTGGAAGTAACTAAAATGTATGTTGTCTTAAACCAAGCACACTTATGTTGAAACCCAGATATTTAATAACACAATACACGTTTGAAAAATACCACTCATTTTGTAAATTCAGGCATTGTTATTATAGTAAACACGTATTTATACATGGAAAATTGTAAAGCTGATATTTAAAAAATTCTTAAAAGCTGTATCTGAATTTCTAAAGTGAGTGGTATCACCTCCAGCTCTTTTTATTGATGTAAGTTTCATGTTGTCTTGTGTTTACCTGTAGCACTTTTCTTAAGACCAGTTAAGATCATTGTCAAGAAAAAAGCATGTGCATGCAAATGCTATGTTTATGTCTGTTAAATTAACAAAGTAGTATTTCAATTAAATAAATCAGCACATCTTTAGAAATAGACCTTAGATGGAGGCTACAAGACAGAACAGACAGCCTTTTACATTTTGATGGTACAAGAATGTCATCAGCATCCAGTCGCATACAGACAAGCTGCTAAGACCTTGTGTCTTGGCTTTCTGCAGCAGCGCCCTCTCCAGCTCGCAGTCCATCGTCTACATACCCCAAGATATCGTCCGAGCCAAAGAGATCATCTCCCACATCAACACGCTGAAGACTCAGGTCAGCTACTACGCCGAGAGGCTTTCCCGAGCCGCCAAGGACCGATCGGCCAGCGGACTGGAGAGGACGCTCGCTATTCTGGCTGATAAGGTGAGCGTCTGAAACAGAACAGAAAGGGAAGACTGTGAGTTCTAGTCATCTTTAATCTCAGTGCAACAACCACCGTGGACATTAAGGCATAACATTACTGATCTGATTCAAATCTATGATGTATTTTCTTATCAGACACAACAACTCACTGATACCTTCCTCTCTCCCTCGCAGACTCGTCAGTTGGTGACGGTGTGCGACTGTAAGCTGCTGGCTTCAGCTATTCAGGCCCTGAACGCAGCACGGCCCGAGTACATCGCCTCCAAATCGTCTCCTTCCGCCGACTCAGAACAAGTAGTCCTCCGTAACGACCAGGACACGCTGCTAGCCAAGTGGAGCGGTCGCAACAGCCGTTCCTCGCTGCACGCAGACTGGCACGAAGAGGAGTGGGTGCGTTAATTAGTCAGGAATGAACCAAAAACGAGCTGAAAGGAACAATATGATATACTCATTCAGTTTGAATTGTATGCTTGTGTTCTTTGTGGGGGTTTTTTTGTATTGTAAATGTGACATAATAAGGATGAACTTTCAGTGTCCACAAAGGTGAAGACCAGAGTTTGTAGATATGTAATGAAGTCGACATTTGCAGAAATTACATAAATGTTTCTTAGGCAAAATTGTGGCGTGTTCCCTCATTTGCACACTGATGTGATTCATCTCATCTGTTGTGCATCTTTTCTCACCTCCTGTGTAAATCTGTTCCCCTGTTGATATTTCTCCAATTCCCTTTTTTTTTTTTTGCCCTAGTTTTTATTGTGTCAAATTTTAACATCCACACAGACAAAACACAAAACTGAGTAGATTGTCTCTCACTCTTTTCTCCTCCAGGAGAAGGTTTGGGTAAATGTGGATAAGTCTCTGGAGTGCATCATCGAGCGTGTCGACAAACTGCTTCAGAAAGAGAGGAGACCCAGCGATGCCAGTCAGGACAGCGCCCAGAGTGACCTGCAGGGCAGCGGCAGTAAGAAAGGTAACAGACGCAACTCACACAAAAAGCTATTTTTATTAATTTGACTTTTTTACAGCAGTAATAAGACGTTTTAACCTTTTAAAGTGAAAATCTTCTGAATTAACTTTTAATTTCATTTTGCTTCCTGCTGGTTTGTTTCAATTTGTTATTTAATTTCTGTTGAACCACTTATCACTGAAAACAAAAATTATTTAGTGGCTAAAAAGGCTGACAAATATCCTAAATTATAATATCTGAACAAAATTTCTTTTTCCCAGTGAAAAACTATAGCACTGGAAATCAAACGTTTTTTTTTTTTTTTTTAAAAGTATATATATATATAAGTAATTAAACCTTATTCACAGCGAAATCTGATCATTTTGTTCCTGCAACATAAATAATAGTTAAATGTGTAGAGTAACAACACTGCTGTGTGTGGCTGTGAAAAGGTGAAGAAAAGAGACGAGCTTTCTGGATCAACCCAGGAAGTATGTCACAGGAATCTCCATCATTGCCATCATCATTATCATCATCATCATCACCTCCACGATCACCATCACCACCACCATCCTCTCCCTCTCTCTCTGCCCTCTCCTCTGCACGTCCTTGCAGCCCTGAACAAGAATCCTGTACGTTTATTTTTCTTCTGTTTCTTCTTCTGTTGCCACTTTTCTTTTTGTTGCATCATTCTTTGCAGTTGGGGAAACTTATTGTTTATTGACCAGCAGAGATGTGATGTTTGTCTAACTGGTGAAATTCATCCGTTGAGACTTTCAGTTTCAAATCCTATCATAAACTGACTTTTCCTTCACCTCCTCATCTGATAGTATTCTTTAACAAAATCAAGGCAGCTGCGCTGACATCGCTCATCATTACCTGTTGTGAGAAGATCTGTAATGTCTTTGTTGTTGTCTTTTTGGTCTGTCTGAAGTCCACAGTGTTGCAGCGTTACTGTAGCTATTAGCAGAAAAACTGGTGTACTGCTTCAGGGCTAACGCAGCCAGCCCGTCAACCAGCAGCTGGATCTTAGAATCTGTGCTTACTGTATATGTTGTACTGGACCATGGTCAAATATCTTTTTTCAAAATGGTGCATACCTTTCTTAAATTTTAATTAGCTTCACTTTCTTGTATTTTGAGTCTCTCCACACCTAACGTGCCTCAGCTTCACCCTGCAGTCTGTAGCCGTCACCGCTGGCTGACTGTGCTGCAGGAAAAAATAGACGTGTGTAGGCAACGAGATGACAAAGACCCCGGTGCTCTGTTTTCCTCAGCAGGAAATCTTGAACCCACATCCTGCATCTCAGGGTGGAGCAAGTGAAATCAGTTAGATAGCTTCAGAGCAGTGATAGAAAAACATCAACACCCTCAACTGCTGAAGAAATCAAAGCAGAGGTCACCACTGCACCTTTATTTTGATCAACAAAGCCAAACTTGCTTTAAGTTTTAATATGAATGATTTTGGAACAGATGTTTGACCCTGGTCTGCAGTGTTTTCTGTGTGTGTCTCTGCTGCCCGGTGTGGCTTGCAGCGCTCGCTAATCATGCATGTTGCACCTCCATCCCCTCTTCCAGATGGAAGCCCCGGTGCTGAGGAGGCGTACCCAGGTAAGAGCTGCCTCCTCTGCCCATGCTTCTCTCCCTCTTCCCCCAACTCTCCACGACTCTGGTTCAACAGCAACATAAGGGATGTGGGCAGAGATTAAAGCCTGTTCACCAAATAGTGAAGTGGGTAGTTGAACATTTTAGATCTGAGTCAGTTTTCTTCAACTTAGAAGTACGAGAGGATGAAATTACATGATTTTCTGTGGGAAAACTCAAAGAACTACAGTTGCAGGGAGCATTGTAGATTGTGGGCTGGGACTTAATAGTTTAATAAAGTGACTTTATTTATTATTAGTTACTTTTGGTTTTGGTTTTGATTCTACTGTGATTTTCCCCCCAGGGAATCTTCAGTGTTTCATTTCTTCTTTTCATAATGGTTTGTTAGAGGTGGTAGCTCGTTATATTCAAATTATGACAGCTGGAGGATAAAATCGTGTTTTCTTTTCTGTGTTAGCCTCTAAAGAAACTTTGGTGTCTCTCAGCGCTTCTGCTTTCCCTGTTGCTTCTCTGTTCCATCTGTTTTCTGTTTCTGTCTGAACAAGTCTAAAATCTAACAAATAGATTCACTTTTAACAGCATTAATATCACATTAACTGAGCTAATGTCGAGGTTTATCGCGTTCACTTGTGTGTTGGTAATCTAATGTCTTTACCTGCACTTTATAAGTCTGCATTTGTGTTTCTCAGGTGAGTGGAGCGAGGCGTTGTACCCCCTCCTCACCACGCTCACAGAGTGCGTCACCATGATGAGCGACAAGGCCAAAAAGTCCATGGTCTTCTTGCTGATGCAGGACAGCGCCCCAACGATAGCCATGGACCTGTCGCTGCAGTACCGCCGCGACGTCGTCTTCTGCCAGACGGTCAGCACTCACACGCCAACACACTAAGTGACATGACATTTACTCACGCACACCGTCTCTCACACTCACCCACACACATTTACATCAGCATTTACATAAATGTATATTTTCAGCTTTTAGCTAATGCGCTTATCCTCGAATGACTCACAGCGAAGGGAGTCAATAAAAAGTTAATAAATCTGTAAATATTGCAAACATGAGGAGCACAAAGGTCCAGCGTTCAGTGGCTGTGCAGTATTTATATATCTGTTAAACACTTGTGTAGAAAGTGAGGGCAAGGAAAGAAAAAAATAGAAGAAAGTGAAACAGAGAAGGGATTTCTTCACCTTCAGACCTACACACTCCTACTCTCCTGAGCTGCCGGCACAAACCTGAGAGACAAGTTAAAAAGAGGATGTGTGCCCGGAGGTAGTGGATTATTTTTTTTATTTTTTTTACAACTTGTTACTTTTATAGGCTCTTATTTTGTAGTTTTGGCAGGCATTCTTATCAGCTACAATAGAAGTCGTATTTACTCGGCTGGTTCCTTCTAGATATTTTGGACATGGGATCTCCACAGACTCAGTTTACAGCAGAGCACGAGTGTCAGACACGTTTAATCGAATCAAGCTAAACTGCGGCATCGCATGGATGTATGTAGAAGTGAACGGTGAGAAGAAGAAGAAAAATTATCACATTCAACCAAATACACAAACAAAAAAATGGCTTATGTGTAAATTTAGTCAAAGTCCATCTTGAACTGAGTTTTTACACTCAGATCTGGCAGAATTAGAGCTGAAATGTTTAGCTCAGTAATCAAAATAGTCGTCAAGAGTCATTTTTCCAGCATGAATACCAAATATTCCTTCACAAAAATGAGGATTTTTCGTTGTCAGTCATGTAAAACACGATACTCCTCACATACCTGGATTCTTTGGCCTTGATAAGTGGGTTTATACAGTGTCTGATCATCTCACACTGTATCTGTACTCAGTAATGACACGGAATCAGCAGTTGATCATTTATCTTCTCAGCCAGTTACATAAAAGTCAGTAACATAGTCACACTCTCAGCTGCACAGGATTTCCTTTGCACATGGATGCACAGAAACCAACGACATGCATCCACTTAGATAATCTCATCGGCATTCAAGCTTTACAGTGTCTAAATATAAAAGCATATGTTGAGTCGAATTATCGTGCATTATGCAGATGAAACACTGACGCTTGTGTAAGCACATGACATCATGACATCATATATCGGAAGAACAGGGCTCCATCATATTAATGGACAGTTAAGACTACAGCAAAGTAGTTTTAGTCAACCTGATTTTATGGTAAAGAAGGAAAAGGATGACATATAACAGCAGCTGTCAAAACAGAATGAAATGATAAGTAATAAACAGTATAAACAGTTTCAAAAAGCGATTTAGCAAGAAAATAATCTGCAGTTTGATCAATAAGTAAAATAATTATTAGTGGCAGCCCCCCAAAAAATGTGAGGATTATTATATAATAATAAAATGATTCCACACTGAATCATTCCTACTGATTACTCTTCGTACTCTGTGAAGCAGGTGTTAAATTTACTCTTACTGGTGTGAGAAGGTGTCGGAGAACCAGCAGAAACTCAGTGCTGATGATGAATCTGAATCAGATCTAATAAACACCTGCAGAGAATAACAAGCAGCTTAACCCTTGTTGTGAGCTCGTGTTAATGTTGTTGTGTTAATGCTGATGTGTGTTTGTGTGTGTATGTTGCAGCTCACCGCTCTCATCTGTGGCTTCATTATCAAACTGAGGAACTGTCTCCGTGACAACGGATTCCTCCGACAGCTCTACACCATCGGCCTGCTGGCTCAGTTTGAGTCCCTGCTAAGCACCTACGGTACACACACACACACACACACACACAGGTTCGTCCAACCAAACACAGAGTCAGTATCATCTCATGTTTATTAGATCCTTATCAATTGTCAGGTTATCTGCCGCTCTTAAAAAAAGGTATTACAAGTCTTACATTTCATTTTGTAAACCCTGCAGAAACACTGATTGTGGGTGATGGATTATTCCTCTTAACCAGTATAAACGTGTGTGTTTTAGGAGAGGAGCTGGCCATGTTGGAGGACATGAGCGTCGGCATCATGGATCTGCGTAATGTCACCTTTAAGGTAAACGTCTAAACCTTTATCCTTTTGTTACCCCTCATTTTCATTGAGATTTAAAGGAACTTTTCCATATTTTTTTTTATTTTATAGACAACAATTCATAGAGAGAGTAACCATGTGAATGATGAACTGTTGAAGCCCTGTTTTCCAGTAAATATGTACTGTGTATTTAGGAAGCAGAAACTCTTAATTCCACTTCTGTCAGCTTTCATGATCAAACACATCTGTATTTTTATTTGTTGTGTGTTTGGTTTTCAGTATATACACTTATTCTTGCTTGACGTCTGGAAATACTGACATGTGCATATACTTCACCTCACTTTAAGGTGACGCAGGCCACCGGCAGCTCAGCGCCCGACATGTTGCCGATCATCACTGGGAACCGCGACGGCTTCAACGTCCGCATCCCGCTGCCGGGAACCATGTTTGACGCTTTACCGCGGGAGATCCAGAGCGGCATGCTGCTGAGGGTTCAGCCGGTGCACTTCAACGTCGGCATCAACGAGCAGCAGACGCTGGCTGAGAAGTGAGTGAGTAGGAGAGGAAAAGATAGATTTACTGAAGCGACGTTTGAGAGACACACAGGCGTTTTATTGGAGCCTCAGGTCAATAAGTGAACAGATCAATAACAGATTTTATGGAGGGATGATTTCAGTCAGGTGTTCATTTTTATTTAAGAAAAACTTGTTTCTTTTTGTTGCTCAGGTTTGGAGACACATCCCTGCAGGAGAACATAAACTTGGAGAGTCTGTCCAGGCTCAATTCATACTACGAACAGTTCAAAGAAGTCCTGCCTGAAGACTGTAAGTACTACAGTGTTACTGTTCATCAGTAATAACAACAGAGCAAGTAACTACATTTGTCCTCCAGTTAGTGCCATGGCAGAATTTCTATATTCATATTTTAGGTCTTTTAGATGGTGGAAACGAACCACATTTCCTGAAACACTGTATATATAAGATATTTTTTATTTTTAAACAAACAGATCAGTTTATCTGATATTTGACAAAACTGCAGTGATTCAGTCCAAAGACTAAGAAATGAAAACAGATTTGTTTTTTCTTCTTTCCTCTCACATTCATCATCTCACGACCCCTCAGCTTTATTTTGTGACCTTTCAGAGGCGCCTGACCCCCAGTGTTGGGATCCACTGGATAAAACTGTGTAGCTGTATATAGAAAAAAAACCTACAGCTCCAACCCAACCAGCTACAACAACAACAGCAGCAAGAAAATGGCTACCAACAAGTCCTGTCATTGTTTTATACGCTATAGCTGTTTTCATTCCTGTATTCCTCTCTTTGTTATCTCTGTTATTTCCTCCACCATCCATCCATTTCTTCATCCACATTTCCCATGTACCCCCTCCAACCCCTCAGGCCTCCCGAGGTCTCGTTCTCAGACCTGCCTTCCTGAGCTGCTGAGGTTTCTGGGGCAGAACGTCCACGCCAGGAAAAACAAGAATGTGGACATCCTGTGGCAAGCGGCCGAGGTGAAGTTTCTGGCGAATACGAGACAGAATTTAATCCAGTGTTGAATCTAAGAATCCCATTTTTCTTAAAACAGCTGAAAAACATCTACAGCTAATGATGACATAGGTTATCTTAAAACTTAAAACAAATCATGAGTTATTGGAATAAGTTTTGGAAAAACTCACATCACAGTCCAAACACACTGGATTGGTATTTTAATGTCAGTAAGTCTGTTGATTGTATCACTATAAATCAGATGTTAATCATATTAAACCAATGTAAAAACACCCAAAAATATTATTATATTATCCCTATTCATCCATAACTCAAAACATTTCCTCCCTCTTGACCTCAGATCTGTCGGCGGCTGAACGGGGTTCGTTTCACCAGCTGCAAAAGCGCCAAAGACCGCACGGCCATGTCTGTGACCCTGGAGCAGTGCCTGATCCTGCAGCACGAACACGGCATGGCGCCGCAGGTCTTCACGCAGGCCCTCGACTGTATGCGCAGGTAGGACGCCCTCACAGTGAATGAATGAAAAACACACAACTACAAATCATACCTGGGCAAAAAAAACAAAAACAAAGAAGCCAACATTGTTTTACGTCTGGAAATACTGAGATTTCTTATTCAAATAAAGCTCTATTCAGATGGGATTAATATTGAACGGGGAGATGTGCAATAAAACATTGACTGTGCTCCTCAGTAATTCAACACATTGCTCTGGAAAGGGGCTTCATGCTCTTGTATAAACCTACTGATTCTTTACAACTTATAAAGCCATGGATTATAGTTTTTTTTAATCATCTGTTCTCAATATGCATCAGCTGAATACATCTCAACATCTTTAAAACCAGTAAAGAAACTAAGGACCATGTTGCCCATGTGTGATTTGAAAAGTCATACCATTGCCTGCTTCCTCTGTTAAACAAACTGAACTGGAGTTTCTGGTACATCTCAAAGGAGATACTTGAATATACTGGAATTCAGTTGGTTACTTTTTACTCCACCAGACTCTCGTCAAAAAAGTTCAAATTTTTGTGGAGACTCAAACGTGACAGGGGCTTAGAGAAGAGTTACCCAACTGATATTCAAGTGAGAGGATCTTCCTTTGATTGTGTACACCGGGTGCTTGTTGGTCTGTCTGTCTGTGAGTCTTTTTTTGTCCGTGCGTCCGTCTTCACAACATCGTCTTGTCTGTCTTTTCTTGTCTGTATGTCCAAAGCAAGCCTACGCTGTTTCAGAGTCTGAGCTGCTAACAGGCTGGCTATTTTATCGAAGCACTTGACCAACCATCATCATAAACTTTTCTTTTCTTTCATCCTTCTTTTTTTCCGTTCCTTCACTCATGTCCAAATTATGTCGGAGCCCCGCCTGTTTAAAGGGGATAAAGAAAAACTTAGCTTGTCTTTACATTGCGGTTAAGTCTGTTTTAGTAAAATGCTGCCCTTTGTGAAGCAAACTAGCTGCACTGATTACCACACAAGGTAATTTAAAAGGTTGGTTCACCCAGGTCACAAAACATATTCTCTCACTTTCTCACCTCTGATGGTATAGAGCCATTTTCAGTTCAACAATTGAAAAAAAGTGAAGCGCAATAACAGTAAAAACAATAGGGATCAGTCAGTAAAAACAGAATGAGCAGGAAATTTGAAAAGCAAGAAAGTAAGACAGAGGCTGTCTTTTGGGTCCAAGTTTTCAAATATATGAAAGTGTTGGATAGAGTTCTTTTAATTTGAAATTAAAGAAAGGAAATGACTCATTTCTTGCAGATTTGTTGCCCAGAATGCTTTGCAAAACACAATCTGTGGTCCAGAAAAAGACATTACTAACAAAAACAAGACAACAAACATTAGATAAGATGGGAAACAGTGACAGGAAACAGTGGCAGATGAGTTAAGGTGTGCAGGGAATGGATATTCCAAAACAGCATTATTGATATTGATATTGATCCACATTGTTACAGCTTCCTGAAGATGTGATTTTCTGCTGCAGGACATTTACAGCTTTTATTGCCTCGTTAAAAGTCCCTGCAACTCTCAGTAACAACCCGACAGAATCTTAAGTTTATATTCAAGTGTTTGTAACTTTCTGTGTGAGAAAAGTTGTGTGTTCAAAGTGGAGTTTTATGTGACTTCATGTTGTAAATATTTTGCTGTTGAGTCCATGTAAAAGATGTAACCACACCTGTCTCGCTGTACCTGTGCTCAATAAAAGTTGCACCCCCACAGATACTCGCATGACACAATGATCTTCACCTTTGCCTCCTCCTTTTTCTTCTCCTCACATCTCTCCCTTTCTCCTCCCCTCTGCCTCATCAGTCGACGAGCATGAAAACAGCTTTTTAGAGTTTGTGTTATTTCCGTTTGGAATGGTTTTAAGCTGTGATGCATGTTGGGAAAAAGCTTGGAGATATTATACTCCTTCCCTCCAAATTTCCCCTTCATTCCTCTTTTTTCCTTCTCATCCGTAAGTAGTTGACAATGAACAAAGCAAATGGACAAAACACCTTTTAAAACAGTAAAGTAACTTTTCTGCAACAAGTCGTTTTCTCATCTATTATCTCTTGGGTTTAAAGGGTGTTTTTCCAGAACGCTCTTGGTTTTCATTTGTCACAAGTGAAACCAAGAAGTTTTTCCCACCATTTTTCCTTCCAACTCCTCCACCCCATGTCTTAGAGTATATAAACATGGAGAGCCATTGCTGTATTTTCTTATCTTCTTTCCTTTTCTGATACAAACATCTTTCTTAATTTTTCTCTTTTTTCTCTCTTCCTCTTTTTCCTCCTCCTTCCTGTTTCCTGTGACATGGTTTCTATTTGTATGATTGGGATTGTTTTATTCTGGTTGGTTTGTGATTTCATTTCCATTTGTTGTGACCTCAATATGATTTTTATCACTTTGGAATATTGTTATTATTTTTTCTGTCACACCGTGGAAACTCAATGTTGCTGTGACTTCTTCACTTTCATTGTGATTTTCTGGCCATGTCACTCATTCTTTTACCGTTTCACCACTGTGCATGCCATCTGTTTATTTTGGCTTTGATGCGACACATCCTGCTCCTTCCCCTTAAATCTCCCCCTCCTCCTCCTCCTATTCTTCCTTCCTATCTCTTATTTTCTTTCTTATTTCCTCCTAACACTCTCCTTCCTTCTCCATCACCTTTTCCCCTAACTTTCTCATTCTCCTTATACTTTTACTTCTTCTGTTTCTGTCTCACTCTCTTCTTTTTTTCCCTCCTCACACTTCCTTCCCTCCTCTCTGCCTGTCCTAACCTCTCCCCCACCACCTCCTTTCCCTTCCTCCAACCTTTTTTGCTGCTCCACACCTTCTCCTTCTCCTCCTCCTCCTCCTCCTCCTCTTCTTCTTCTAACTCCCACCCCCGTGACTCGGCAGCATTGGGACAAGGGAGGGGGTGATCCAGAAGAACCTGAGCGGCTTGCTGCCGGTGCGTGACTTCCGGCTGGACCCCAGCCTCCTGTACTCGCTGCCCCTGCTGGCCCTCAGCCCCAACCTCCTGGTGGTGTGGATCTTCCTCAGCGTGGCCTATTTCCTGGCCAAACTCCGCTGCAGCTGAACGGCCACCAGCAGCTCTCTGCGGGGAGCGACTGACTGAGTGCAAAACGTAACGCACGTCCACGTCCATCGTTTATGAGGAGGGGTGGGAAAACCCCACACTGACTCCCGAGGGTGTTTGTGAAACTGTGCCACTGTCCTGTGAGTGTGTGTGTGTGTGTGTAACTCATGCACACTAATACTGTACAGTATATACACACTGTCCCACCCTGACCAAGGGCTTTACGCAACTAATGCCCCATCGATCAAGGGCCACGCCCCTCTTTGCTTGTTTCTTTTCTTTTCTTTTTTTCCTCTCTCTCTTTCCAGCTTGGGAAAAACTCATCATGGTTGGCAAGTCTCAGTATAGATATGATGATTACCTTCCATAGATTTGACATTGAGACTACATCCACACTAAGCTGGCTAAATCTAAAAACTCAGTTTATGTGTGTGTGTGCCTGTGTGTGCCTGTGTGTGCTTAGGTCGTATTTACAAAGATCTCATCCACGCTGAAAGGCAGAATTCGTTGGAAAACCGTCAAATCTTTTTCCTTTTCTTTCAACTGTGCATCACAACCACCATGTGCTCAGTCTGAGTCTCAGCTGGATAAACCTCTGTACTGCCCCCTCCTGCTCTCATACCCACTTATACTGTGTTTTAATACAAACTAATGATGTAGTTAGTCTGATTCCCATATTGTTTCTGTTTCTGTCGGCGGTGGAAATACAGTACATTTACTCAAGTACAATTTTGAGGTACTTTACTTGAGTATTTGCATTTTATGCAACTTTATAATTTTACTGCTCCACATTTATCTGAAATGTGAGGTTGTTACTTAAATATGATGCATCATAGATTAAACTTCCCCACTGTGTTTGAAGTCGCTCGATCCAACCAGCTGTGTCATTAAAGTGCTGCATCAGTAATAACATTACAATAATATGATATATAGCCTATAGTAATATAACACCCTGAAAAGGGCCATCTTGCCCAAGGAGTACTTTTACTTAAAAGTACATTTTGCTGATAATACTTTTGTACTTTTACTTAATGATGATAATAATAATATTCTTACACAACATTATTTCTACTTAAAGTAAAACCTCTGAACTTTACTGCCATATAACCCCCAGTCATGACTGAACATAGACGACATCACACTTTTCCCCCATCCACACAAAAGAGTTTTTTTGTAGAAAACGCCAAGTCTGTGTGAGAGAGAGAGAGAGACAGAAAGCTGTGTTCAAATTCAGCCGGCTTAGTGTGAATATAGTCCGAGTCATTTCATGTGAGTGATCCTCACATATAAAACAATGTGGCCTAAGTAACAGCTGTATGAAACATCTGTTAAATACACAGACCAAAATGTTCAGACTCTGAAAAAGGTCTGGACGATTATAACAGTGTTCAGGTTCAGGGTGAATAAGAATAAGGAGGAAACTTTACATCAAATCTAAGTGGATCTTCATATTTGTAGAGGACAGCGCCCTCTAATGGGCAGATTTTGCTCCACCCTTCATGATCGGTGTGACAGTGCGTGCTCTGCCTTATAACACAAAGTGACAGTTTGTATATTTATGAAATTACCCCTGAGTTGTGAATATGTATAAAAAATAAGCAGACTGTTTGCTTTCAGGAAAGAGTTGTTGTTGATAGTAGCTATCATGATGGAAAAATATCTCATTTATACTTTAAGCTTTGCACAGACAGCTGGCTTGTTTCATTTGTGCGATACATTTAGCTCGTTCGATTTATCATTGTCTTCCATGTGTTATTGCACTTTCCTTTGCAAGCTAAAGTGGAGGAAACAGAAGCTTTTATTTGGTGCCAAATTAAGCAAATATACTCTGGCTTATATATCTATATTTTCAGGCAGTGTTTGCTCCTTTTATTTCTTAAGGTCTTCCTGCTTTTCTAGACAGAAGGAGGTTGTTTGCTTCTTCTTCAGCCTGTGCACTTTCCAGTAGATCTGGGTCAGTTATTAGTTTTCCCCTATTATGAAAATAGTGGATAAATTGAGGACTAAAGTATCTGAAAATGTTGTTTTAATAGTCAGAGATAAATGAAGTGAACTCATAAAAACATCTGCCAGACTAAGATGATTATTCCAAGTCCATTTCAATGAAAAATTTATTTTCCTTTGCTGCAAACAAGAAGCCTTTTAAATACCTTGCATACCTACCACGAGCAGGCCAGAAAACCCATGAATGAGGCCCCATGACAACATGCATGACTTATTTCCTACAGATTAGGAGCTGTGTGATTGAAGGGCAGTACGTGCATTTTCCTGTGTAGCAAGTTGTAGCAGAAAACAGGCAAATACCCCCCTTCAGCTTTACATCTGCACACTGTGTCTGCACTGTAGTACTTTAGGGTTTATTGTGTCAGGAACCTGAGACCCTGCATGCAGAACAATATCGTGGGAGCAATAGCTTCTCGTAATCAATGACGCGCTTCTCAGGCGTGTAGAGGTCTAATCAACCAGGAGTGAAAACACCTGTGTGGCACCGTCACAGTCAATATCAGGAATCTTTTACTGCAGCATCTGCAGCAAAATGACATCCGAAAAACAAAGAAGGAATCAAATGAAAGTCTACAATAACTGTTCATTCATACATTTTCGTTGCCATTCCTGTGTTAGAAGAGGCAGGATTTGCTAATCAGATTAATTGGCTAATTAATTAATTAAAGTTTAAAGGTCGCTTCCTCATTATTCACATCAGGTGCCCTTGGACTGTTCGAGCCTGGCTCAGCTGGTATTTATGGGTTCGGTTCATTTGCAGAGGCTTTTACACTTTCCGTTTCCTGAGATCACGTGTCAGGGCACCTTGTCAGATGCAGTAAGTCCGTGAGTCGGCCCACGTCTGCTCGTCAGCTTTCATGCCAATGCAGTGAAGATTAGCTCTGTCTTGCCAATTGACAAAGTGAAATCTTTGTGTTTTAGGATGCAGTTTCTAATTGGCTAATGTTGGAATGTATGACTGTAGGATATTCAGGGGAAATGTGTGTGATTATGCAGTGTAGTGCAGTTGTATCTACACCCTTTAGAGCATTTATCTGTACCTGTTTACATGTATCCAGTTGTTGTTGTATCCACACACAAAGACAAACCAGTACAGCTATTATAGTTAATATTAGCTTTAAAGTCGAGATGTGTAGAGTGAAGAAACTGATTTTATCTGATGGGGAATGTGGCTTGTTCACTTTGTTTGTAGTTAAGCTGTAAGATGAATGAATGAGGAATGTGTCGAGGTTTGTGCCAAATGCTCTCGTCAGGTTTTTATCAGGTAAATTCAGGTTTGTAGGATCTGTGTTTGCAAAGAGATCCAGTCACAATACATGTGATGTATTTGTCTGAATCCAGTTCACTCCCTGTTAAGTTTTATGTATCCTAGAAACGAGTGAAAAAGGCAGTATCATGATCCAGGTGGAAATGTCTTTTTTTCTAAACTGGTATTAAGTGAGGGAGGGGAAATATTGGACATCTTCAGGATTCATTGGTCAGAAGAAATTGTATATTTGCTGATTTTTGTTATAAATGCATTTACATCTCTGTTGGTAATATTGTGTAGCTTAACTGCTTACATCTCAAAGGAGGCACATTGGGTCAGGGTTAGTTATCACTCACTACATATTATGTTTTTAAAAAAAAAATTTAATTGTTTTCCGGAATATTGTGTTTGTGTTGACACTCTTGTTTAGAGCTACCTCTGTGAGACAGACGTTAGAGTATATGTTGAACTTGGAATATAATAAATACATCAAAGATAGATAAATGCATAATCACTAAATGACATGAGGGTGGGATGTGAGGAAATGGTGGTTGTTTTATGTGAAATGCTGAAGATGTGTTCAAGAATAAGTCCCAGTGAAATCATAATTTCAATTTCCAATACACTTATGATTAATTCCCCATATTCATGAGTGTAATTACACTAAAGTGCTTCCACAAATATTTATAAAAAACATTATATCATTGACCTTATAGAAAAACATCTCAATTTTGCCAATTTTCTTTTCTTTCTTTCTTTTTTTTATTCTTAGGAGTCCAGATATATCAGAGAATATATTTGTACCGCTGTACATAAGAATTGTATTTAAATGCTTGTATTGCTAATGTTTGCCAATATATATATATATATTGTCTTAAGATAATACAAAGCAGAGTATATATATATATATAAATCTATACACTNATTTTGCCAATTTTCTTTTCTTTCTTTCTTTTTTTTATTCTTAGGAGTCCAGATATATCAGAGAATATATTTGTACCGCTGTACATAAGAATTGTATTTAAATGCTTGTATTGCTAATGTTTGCCAATATATATATATATATTGTCTTAAGTTAATCCAAAGCAGAGTATAAATATATATAAATCTATACAATGTGATTACTATGCTTGTGCCATAACAGTCATGCTGGCGTCACTTTATATCACAGCTCAATATGTCTGTGTGATTACTGAAAGATTTTTTGGTATTTTTTGTTCGTCACAACTACGAACTGTTCATTTAATAATACTAAACTGTTGACATACTAGCAGTTTGCATGTACTTTTAAACCCCTGGCCCCTCTTGTTAATTTAAATTATGTTAATAGGATCATAAATACTAACTGCAAACTGTTATTATGTTAAAAGGGAAGTTATTGCATTTGCACTAAATGTACCACGAACCCAAGAAAACCTCCACTCTGTGTCCTGAAAGCCGCTGTCCTCCTGTAATAAATGTTTTCTGCCTCCACCTGCAGGATATAAACAGACTCCAATGATATGTTGTTGTCTCTGCATCTTTCATCTCTGCCAATCTGCTACTGAAAAATCTTTTTCTGAGTCACTTTTCCTTAATTTACTTTCAACTGCTTTAGATTCTCACTGGTCATATTTCAACACGACATGCTTCAGATGTCTTTCTCCATGTATTTCTCTTTGTTAATGTGTGTGTGTGTGTGTGCGTGTGTGCACTGTCTTCCTGTTGTAATTCTTCATTCAGTCCAAGGAGGAGGTTTCAAAGAGGCTTTGAACTTAACTGACCTCTACTGATGATCAGTAGGAACTGAACACCAGGAGCACTCATTCAACATACGATTATTGATTTGATTTTTGACAATGAATTCATGTATGTAATATGTTTGATGATCAAAGACAGAGTTGTGCTATTCACATTCAAAACACTAGACAGTCTATAGAAGTGCATTCGATGTTATATTTTCTCTTTTTTTAATTTGGTTTCACACGTGTCATGTTATATTCTTTATGTTTGATATATATAGTATTGTCTTGTAATATCATGTGTGTTGGGCTCAATCTTTCATGGCAGTATAAACTTACTCTAGTTGTAATATAGATCTCTGAAAACATCTGATAATACTTTTCTACTCAAGTGCAGTTTTAAAGGCAGGACTTTCATTTACTCTGGTATTTGTTGTTCATCAATAATCTTAGTCGCTATTTTTTCTGTTTTGGGAAAATCAAAACATAATTTAATGTCATCCACACCAACCATCATCTCTACTTTTTTTTTTTTCTCTCTCATTCTGTCTGTGAATGCCCTCCCCCCTCTGTCTCCTCCCTCCTCCTCTGTCTCCTCAGCGAGGGCTGCAGACGAGAAAACACAGTGAAGAACGTCGGATGCCGAAAGTACGCGTTTAACTCACTGCAGCTCAAAGCCTTCCCCAAACACTACCGACCACCTGACGGCACCTACGGAAAAGTGGAAACCTGATTGGACCGCAGAGAGTTTGGGTATTATTGGACTACTGTGTTTTGGGGAGGTCAGAATCAGACTGGGTACAATCAAGTGTTCAGAAACTGTTTCATTAGACTCACCGTTATCACCGTTACTGGTTCACAGGACTTAGATTGATTTGTTTGGACGTATACTTAGTGATTCAGAGTCACACTAAACCCACAGATTTCAACCACCTAAGTATAATAACTGATTTTAGGTACTGCATTAGTTGCTCATGTCATATTATCCATCACATGCTGAATATAAGAGTTTTCCCTGGTAGCAGAAGAGTCAAGATCTTAGGTTTTTATTTTTTTTATAACAAAAATGTACATGACCAGCACTGCCTCACTCCTGATCAAGCACTGATATAATCAATATTAACCACACAAACATTCATATTTATTTCCTAGATTGGAAATCAAGAGAAATCGAACGTCGGTGAGATAAGTTAAAAAACAAATCTCCACTGTCAACCCAGAGTTTTAGGACATATTTGTTTTTACATCATGCCTCGTGTCTATCTATGCAGTTAGGAAAGTCTTCTACAGAAGCTTTACATGAAATATTTAGGAGATGATATTAATATTGTGGGAAATAAACTCATTGCATTCAAAGGATGAGGTTTACATTATTCTATGTTTTTATTATTGTCGACAAATCACATGAAAAGACCAAAAACAGCAATGCTAGCACATGTCCCCACCCTGTCTGTGGCTCTCAGTCTGAAGCCCTTTGCTCCTACTGAATATGTAAATCTTTAAAAACTGGTCCAAAACATATAGTTTCTTCTTATAAAACATCTGGGCACTGTAGATTTAAGCAAATGGTACTCCCAGAGAAAATAGTGCATTTGTTGACTGTCTCCAGCGGCAGGTTAATACACATTTGGTGCTGTAGTGAGTTTTTTGAGGCAGCAGGACAGTGTATGTGTTTCAATAAATAAACTACTGTTTGTGTAAATTAAGGAATGTGCAACAGTGTGGCCCATTGATGTGTTTTTAATGGCGCAGAGGAATAAGGTGTGAGGCTTCTGTCCTTGAGGGCATCCATGGTGTTGCACTTGTTTGTACTTGTGAAAAGTGATCGTGTGATCAATGAAAAAAGAGAGATTGAAGGCACAGGTATTTAAACAATAACCCCCCCCCCCGCCTACTTCCACACCTCTGCACACCCGGCTAGTCACTGGGTAAAATGTGCATGATAGTTATGAAATCTCCGGATACAACCTCTACATTCTGACACATAAATAAATTAGGAAAAATGAAATATGGAGTATCTTCAGGTTGCAGCTTGAACCTCTTTATTCGGCGTTTCGTTTCTATGCAATTATTTTTCAGTTATTTTTCATTTTGAAGCGCATGACATCTGTAAAATGTACACAGAATTTGAAAAAGAAAAGTTGAGACACGTGTTGTGGACCCTTCCTTCACCAAAGGGGAAAAAAAAGACAATTTTGTGCATTATTTCACTTATTTGTTTTTTTTTTTTTTTAAACTGCCACATTAATCTGCAATAATGTCTCTGTACCACAAGAGGGAGTCACTGCTCTTCATTTACGTCACTATAAAGCCACACAGCAGCTGGTTGTGTTCTTATTTCAGCATTTCAGCACATCTTTTTAAGTAAAATGCATCCTACTGTAACATGAACTTCACTGTCAGATTCACTGCTGATGGCAATCCTACTGCAGTCAACGTAGAAATACATTTATAACTGTATTTACATGTTTTTCTTAGCAAAGAAGTATTTTTGTTCAGTCAGCACGTGTAGTACATTGAGATTGCAGTACTGTTCTCAGGCACTTGAGAACATCTGTGAAGGTTTTAATGCTGTATATTCTAACTTGTCAATGTCTGATATGGAAATAAATATAAAATGGGTTTGTGTTGGTTTTTGTGGCGTCAATTAAATATTAAACAAGCTGAATACGTAGAGATAAACAATGACTACTGAGTCACTAACAACTTGCAAGTGAGTTTGTGTGTATGCAGATAAATGTGCTTCAGGTCGAGGTGATTGGTGGACTTTCACAATTAGTTTAGATCATACAAGTTCTTTATATTCAAACATGTTAGGTCTGTTGTGTTTGTATAATAAATAGTAATGTTAGGTATGAATATGCTAAAGTAAATTTATTATAAATTCAGTATTAGGCAGGGGATCCTGAACCCGCTGGTTCTGGATCAAACAGTCTCTTTGTCTTGTAAAAAAAAAGTTACTGACGCATCTATCTGGACAACAACTTTTTTTGTTGGTGTCAGATTATTTAATACATAATGGTGGTGAACACTGATTGGAGAGGCCCCCTGGCAATGTTTTGCCTCACAAGACTCTACAATCATTAGAATCAACCTTGAATATTAGGTTGCTCCAATATCATTTCTGAGTATGCATGTGCATGCTGGAGGGATATTATAAGATCATTTTGTCTTTTCAAAACAACATAATTTACATCAGCAGTCTATACCGTATGTAGTGTGAATATTTGTTACTTGTGTTCATTGCTCATGTCAGTATTCTGCAAAAACAAAGTCAGGGTAATGCTTGGCATCATTTCCACTTCACAGCACCACCAGATCAAAAGACTCACATGTTGTTTTGATATAATTACTCTAAATTATTTGTAGTTTTGGGTCTTGGTGATGCCAAGTCAAACTGCCTTCATATGACTGTGCATGCTTATAGTGAATTTGTAAGTGTTATCCTTCACTAATTCATTATTATTTCGGATAAAAGTCATAATTCTCATCATGTCGTGTGATTCTTTTCCTAGAAAGGAAATTCATCCAAATATCTTCACGCAATTTGTTCTAACAACCCAGTTTATGTGCTTTAAAGTCACATGAAAACCTGAACAAATTGTGTAAAATGCACATTAACACTTCTGAAGGCAGCTCCCACAACAAACTGTCGCTGTATTGTGAATGGGATGCCTATATATTTGTGTGGTTTTCAGCACTGAAAGACAGTCAACACAGTCGTTCACAGACGGTTCATCAGCATGAACACGATTTTCTTCATCGGCCAAATCATCGGCATCATCCCCGTGTCTGCCATCCTGCTCTTTGTACTTGCCAAACTGTTTTCCCGCCACTGCCGCAGCCACATGAAGGACGGTTACGGCTATGGCGTGCTGATAACGGGCTGTGACAGCGGCTTTGGACACCAGCTGGCTCAGTGCTTGGACCACAAAGGGTTTGTAGTCTTTGCTGGGTGTTTGTCTCCAGGAGGAGCGGGAGCTCAGAGCCTGGCCCGACAGAGCTCCAGTAATCTGAAAATCCTCAAACTGGACGTCACCAGTGATGAAGATGTAGAGCGAGCAAAGAAGATGGTTCAAGACAACCTGCCAGAGAAAGGTGAGAGTTTAGCATACCTGTAAAACATGACGCAACTGCTGTTGGATTCAGTTTTCAACATCTGTGGAAGCTCATTTCTGCCAAATGTCAAAAATGTCATTTTTTTCATAAATTTGACACACTATCTGAAAATGATTACCTACAGAGTCAAAAATTTGACTTTCATTCTCATAAATTTAAGTTTTAAAGATACATTTCTCAAGAATAACCTGTGACCTTTACTCGTTGCCAGGTCTGTGGGCCGTCGTGAACAACGCTGGGATCTCAGACTGGGCCGAGATCGAGTGGAGCACTATTGAAGATTTCCGCAACATGGTTAACGTCAACCTGTTTGGCTGCATCAGGACCTCAATCACATTTCTACCTTTGGTTCGTGCTGCTAAAGGTACGAAAACGTGTAACTTACTGCTCTATAACCTCACGTTTCTTATTGTAGTGGTGTTGAGGGTAAAAGTTTAAAAGGTTTTATGTTTCCTGACTGCCACAGGTCGGATGGTTTATGTGTCAAGCATCTTTGCCTTCTTCAACTGCCTGAACATGGGAGCGTACAGCGTCTCAAAGAGGGGTCTGGAGGCATTTGCGGACTGCTTGAGGGTTGAAATGGCCAGTTTTGGTGTGAAGGTAAAGTCATGCTGGAAAAACCACACGCAAATCCTGTGACACTCTGAAGCATGAGGTTTGACTCTGTGCAGTGTGGAGTGTGTTCATATCAGTGCTGCAGTGTGTCCTGCTTTCTTGTGAAGCGGTAGATGAGAGGATCTCATGTCTCAGACTCATGTTAGCTGTATTAGGTTTTTTTACTGTACTGTTCATTATTTCAACTGAAAATATCAAAATCTTGTGTTCCTAAGTAAAAATTATGAGATGCTAAGTACTCATTTTTAGGTTTTATTTATGTAAGTCAAACCTTGACATTATCTGTGTGTCTAACTTTAAATTATGAGACATTAAGTCTTAATGAATGACTCTATCCAATGGCACCAAAATATGTTTACCAGCGCCTCCATAAAGGTCCGTAATTAACACATACTATCTAGTTTGTTTAATTTAGTTTTAGTATAATTTAGCTTTAATATGTATTGAAGCACATTTCTGCCAAAAAATGAAAATAACTGATCCAATGCTGGAAATGAAAGAAGAAAAATGACTTATGGTAAGTCATAAAATGTTGGCACCTACCAAAATTATGACTTATTTTGACTTTTTATTTCATAATTTTGAGATAATAAAGTAACTGGCTGCTGCCATGAGATCACTTTTTATTAAACTCTCAGCAGGAAAGCAAATGACTAAACTATTCCCAATTATTCTATTATTTGAATTTTGTATTGTTGCATTAGAAACATAAAGATCTGAGAATGTCAACAGACGAATCCAATATCTAAACTGTACTTTCTCCACTTTCAGGTCAGCATCATCCAGCCAGGGAATTTCGGCAGAGCCACTAACATCTTGAAGATGAAGACAGGTTTGGATATCTGGGAGAAACTACACAAGAATCGAAGGCAAATCTTCAACCGACAGTACATCAACCTGGCCAACGAGTACTTCCTGTCAACGTGCAAGACGGGATTCAAGGACGCCGACATGGTCATTGACGCATTGCTGCATGCAGTCATGTCGGCTCAGCCGAAACACAGATACCTGCTGGTTTCTGTGATGGATAGGTTTTTCTTCCAGCTCTTCCCCTTTCTCCCCACTGTCCTCACAGATGCTGTGTTTTCTCTCAGCTCCATGTACGCCAAAAGAAAAGAGATGCTTTATGCCAAGTAGCAAAGACAGGGGAGTGAGGTTCAGTTTTTAAGTTGGAATAAAAGTTTGTTTTTATCATGAACTGTTCTTTTGTGTTAATTTCTTATCATTCATACTCATACTTATTTTCTTATTATTATCATTATTGCTCCTGTAAACTTTCTGAGCTGCCAATATTTTTTAAATTATTAAAACGTTATTTAAAAAAACATTTAAAAAACAGAGAATATATAAAAGTAAACTGAGTGACAGTTATTCATTATAATAATAATTTTAGGCTGCAGTGTAAATCTGAAATGGAACTTCCATCAACCTTCATCCCATGAAATCAGGATTTCATGTTATTAACAATGGCTGAGGCTAGGTAAGGATTTTTTGTTAATCTGATATTTCTGACATAAGTTTCACTTCCTGGAAACCAGGAAAAAACAACTGCTCGTTAATTCTCTTGTAAATGGAAAGCTGAATTCATAAGAACTAAAACACGCTGCTGTTCAGTTTAATACACACTGAGGCTTGCAGCCACAGCCTCACTAATCCTATTAAGACCAGTATCTTGAAGTGAGTTAATTTAGCAAACATCAGAGCTGTATTGCCTTTGTAACTTTTGTTTGTCTCAATTAATCTTCTGATTATATAACCCATGAACTGTTTAATGTTGTAAAAATGGCATTAACAGTCTCTTAGAGCAAACAGGAAAATATTTTTCAGATTATTTAATTACTGAAACAACTTGATTAGCAAAATATTTGATGATTCATTACCTGCTGATCAACCATTTAATGGATCGAATAATTACTGAGCCAGTTTTCTCACGTTATGTCTCTCGACTACTTCTACAACATTTGATTTATATTAATATTTTTACAGCGGAATCTCTGCTGCCAAACTGAAATGAAAAATAAAGTCTAAGTACAGTAGAAGAAAGAAATCTTTTTTTTGATCTTCATGCCAGATTTTAATTCTCAAGACTAAACTAAATTTAGGAGAAGCAGCAGCTAGGGTTTGAAAGCGATGGCAGGGTGAATGAGTTTGTGTTGTCATTTTCCATTTTGCTGTGTTCTTGGATCGTACTCTTGACCTTGACGTAATTTCTCAGAACTTTTGATTCTCTGTTTCTATATCCTGTGAAACCATAACACACCCAGGCTTCTCAAGCTTTAACAGGCTTCACTATCTTTTTTTTTTTTATTTGAATTTGAATTTTTTTATACAGTTGAAGTGTTGTTTTTGCTGTATGCCAGGAATTAATAAAACACAAATTCCTGGCAGCTGAACGTCATACTTGATCACCTGCTTCCTATCATCCTCTTCTTCTTCTTCTGAAACCTACTTAGCCTAGGGTTTTCAGCAGCATGTGATTCATGCTAAAATGACAACTGAGTAGAGGTGATGTAATGGAAATATCTTAACATCTAGGCCTATAGATTCAGATTCAGTGACCCCATGACTGTAGCATCACCAGCAGGTCAAAGTTCCTACGTATCCAGTGAAACAAATGTATGAAATGATTAATATTTTGTTTAACATGGTTTTCACAAATAAAAAGTGAAAGAAAACAATCATAAACGGGGGCCATAAACACATCTACTCTTACTGGGAAATTGGGAAATCTGGATCAGGCCTTATGCCCCGCCCACCACCGCTGCTTGTGCTACCTTGACAGGTGAAAGAGCAGCGAGCATCAGGATGGTTAGAGGAGGAAACATCACAGATTTAGCTTATCAAAATGTATCAGAACGGTTAGCGTAGTTAGCATCTTTCATTTGTTTATGTTGTTTGTTAGCCTGTTCGTGGTTGTGCTAATGCTAACTCTCGCTCTCTTTACTGACAAGGTGACAGGATTGGTTCCTCAGGTTTGTGACGTATGAAACTCTAAACCTGTTTTTATGAGACTGTCATTGGTTCACTGCAGTTCCAAGATGGAAATACTGATTATTTCACTTATGATATGTCTTGTATGATACATAAAAAACACCACATGGATGTAAACAAGGTTAAAAACGTAGCAATCACGTTCACCTCTGACGTCTTCGCTGAGCTGACCTGGAGCTGTGTCACCTCACTGACCCCCTTTAACTCCTGCAGCCACAGAGAACAACAAGCATGTTTGTTGATGTGAATCATATCCTGATGATTTTTTTTAATGACGTCTTTTCACTCACAAGCTCAGTGTATGGTGTAGCACGATGAGCAAACATTCAAAATGTTTGACCTGGGCTGGCGCCGAGGGAAGAATGAAACTGTCATGGTGCGCACACTGCACAAAATGAAACTTTTGAGCCTGTCAGAAAAAATGAAATGACTCATTACTCCGACCCCTTTCTGCTCAAACCTTTGTATTGTTCAGTGTTAAGAAACATTTAATTTCCTTGCACATAAATCTTGGTAAATGATGCAGCATGACCAACCACTTCCTTGCGTATGACAGTTCTTGGTTCGAACCCAGACTCCACATGGCTACACGTCAAAATGTCCTTGAGCAAGATACTGAACCCCAATAGGCCAGTAACTTGCTTAGTGTCCTTGCAGCCATCAGTGTGTGAACAGATCAATGGGAGGCACTATGAATATGGGGTATGTACAGTATAACATTTGGATGAATTTTTGATTGTTTTTGTTTGTAGTTTAGAGATTTTACATAACAACAGATAACACAGAGGACAGTTACAGCTGACAAACCGACCCAGACAAAGGGGAACACAGAGACTAAATACACACAAGGGAGGCAAGGGTGATTGAACACACGTGAAACACATTAGGGCGGTGGCAGACAATCACCAAACAGGGAAACATTACAAAGACGGGAAGTATAAACATCAAGAGACACATAAGGAAACTGATTACAAAATAAAACAGGAAATAACAAAATCCAAACATAAATTGTCCGTCATGGTAAACCATGACAGCTGAGCTATTTCAGGCTGGATGAAAGTGCCGGCTGCTGCTAGCAAGGCTGAAAATAAATTAAATGAAAAAATTGTAAAAGATCAAATAGAATAACCACAGGAAATGTAACTATAATTGGATGGAAACTGATCTTGAGTCCTGCAGCTTAGGGCAGAAAAGACCTGGTCACCATTCGTTACAAAACAAGATTTTATAAACACTAGGACCACTTCTTAAGATCTCAACAGTAATTAGTTGGGGAATATAGGGAATCAGCAGGATTAAAATAAGTGGGAAAATCAGATCTGAGATGAGAGTGATATGGTTACTTTTCTTGGTACATATTAAAAGCTTGGCACTGGTGTTTCATATCAGAATTAAGTGCAGTAATTGTCAGTTGTGGAGGAAATAAAGACATGGATGACCTTCAGTGACCTTCTTCCTTTCAAATGAGATAAAAAACGACCTGATTTAGGTGAATATTCCTCATTTGAATGAAACCACACGGCGCTGCTTTACTCATCTGAGCATGAAATAACTACTCAAAGTCAAAGAGGATTTATTTTTTGACACCAACTGGAAGAAATCTTTGGCTATACACCAAATAATATCATTATACATCATTAGTACAGTGGCTTTAATACAATTTTCACAACAACTTTAACTAAAGGAGAAACAAACACAAAAAATAAATAAGGCCATTGTGTACGACTGAATGACTGGATGGTGTCGAACCGAGAGTGATGCCATCTTTTTCAGTCATGTGTGATACTGTTGCACCCAGCTGGTAAGAGTATGAATTACTTTTAATGCAAAAATTGCCAAGTGCAGTGTGATTGTGTCTGATTGTCACTTCTGTTGCAAAACTGAAGCACAATTTTACCTTTATATCTTTTTATTAATTTGTTTTCAGTTTCCTTTTTCTTTTCAACATTTAACTATGGTCTGATTTTCATTTATCTTTATGTCTTTTATCTTTATATAATCTATGACTGAGTGTGCTGCTGAAAGACTTTTTCAATTTGAACCATTTAACGAGCAAAATACCAAACATTTGCAGCTTCTTAAATCTGAGTATTTTCTTTTTTGGACTGTTGCTCAGACAAGAACAAACAACACTGCAATTTTGCTGCAAATTCCCAGTTGTACATGTGCTGAGAGAGTTGCATCACATTTGTCAAATTTCAAAAAGAGAAGGAAACTGGATCAAAAACGTTCTCTTCCTCCTGAGGGAACTTAACAGGCGTGAGTTTTTGTGACTGAAATCTCTCATTTCTATACTCACAGAACACACCAGTCCACCTTCTCTGAATTAATCATTCATTACTTTTATTCATTCTTTAGATCTAAATCATCCCAGAGAGCCACGGAGGCAAGAAGAGTCCGACTGTCCCCAGCAGACACACGATAATGAACATCCACAGGAAGATCCGGTCTACAACCATGGCTACGTACTTCCAGTCCTCCTGCACCTGTGGAGACAAGAAAAGACAAGACATCTGCAAAACAGTCCAAACTATATTATCCGTCTTGTCGACAACAACGAGGGGCTACACCTACTGAAAAGTCTGCATCCTCTGCTCTCAGGTGCTCTGCGATGTAGGTGACCCCCTCCAGGGCTGACGCCACTGCAGGAGACATCACAGAGGCCAGTGGGGTCTGCATGGAACCACGCTCCACAAGAGGGGTGTCCCAGTCCAAGCTGAGTGTGGACTGTCTCTGTGGGAGGAGGGTGTAACCAAGAGAGGGAGGAGACAGGGAAGGAATCCTCTGCACCCGGAACCTCGCCAAGTGTGGGTAACCGTGAAGATCGCAGTGGTGAATTTCATTTCTGCTATCCAAGGAGTCCAGCTGGTGGCTGCTGTAGCAACCGTTGTCATCCTGGTTGCCGTGGAGATCGATGTCAGACTCCTCGGTGATCCAGGTGGATGTGATGTGGGAGGGGCCAGGAGTCCGGACCGGGAGGAGCCTATCAGTCAGGTGGCTCCGCCTGAGAACAAAGTGAGTTTGGGAAATTATAATGAGCTGCGGAGTTGTATTTTTATTGTTTACATACACTGAACGTGTAAACCGCCTCACCTGACAGGCCTGAGACCATGATGTGGACGCTTCATGCACAGCCAGCGCGGCACCGCAGACAGGAACAGCCTCCGAACCCATCGAGGCATGGTGTGGGTCGCGGACGACCGGTGGTGCACGTTCAGCACGAACACGGTGATGACGATGGACAGCGTGACGAAGATCATGGTGAAGAGCAGGTACTCCCCGATCAGCGGGATGACCAGCGAGGTGGACGGGATGATCTCTGTGATCAGCAGCAGGAAGACGGTGAGCGACAGCAGCACGGAGATGCACAGCGTGATTTTCTCGCCGCAGTCCGACGGCAGGTAGAAAACCAGGACGGTCAGGCAGGAGATGAGGAGGCAGGGGATGATGAGGTTGATGGTGTAGAACAACGGGAGGCGGCGGATGACGAAATAGTAGGTGATGTCGGGGTAGATCTCGTGGCAGCAGTCGTATTTCTTGGTGTTGTAGGTGCCCACAGCGTTGACGATCGCCCACTCTCCGCTCTCCCAGTAATCCTAGAGGTTAGATTTTTGTTTTAGCCATGGATGTGATGTGACTAATGGGATGTCCCTGGGTTTCTCTTTTAGTGCCACCACCACGAGGTTTTTGGCTTTTAGTAAAATGTCTCAACAAATATTGGCTGGATTGCCATGAAATTGGTTCGTGATCCTCTCGAAATGAACTATAATCACTTTGGTGATAGACCTTTCTTCTAGCTCTAATTTAAGTATGTCCAATACTTCAGTTCATGACCAAACACCTGCAGAAGCAGTGCCAGCACTTCCATCAAAGTAAGCTATACTTTATGTTTAGTGTTAATTACAAAATCTAAGGTGCAATATAAGACACTAGTTACAGCAGTCTGCTAAATGTTTAGCATGTTAGCATTCTAAATTATTTGACATGCAAATTAGCATCAATAGAGTACAACTAAAGCTGATGGGAATGTTTGATGGGGTCTATGATGGCCCCTGTGCTGCTTTTGATTGTGTCTTGCAGGTGCTGAACGGAGGGTCAGCAGCTTCATCAGCTGCAGCTCGGCCCAGTGTGCTCTCAATCAACAGCACACAAAATGATGAGGATTCATCCTCTGGACACGATGGATATCTCAACTAAATTTTGTGAAGATATTAATTGGATAAGTGAATATGTTTGACCTGCTGATGGCGCTACAGGGAAATTCAGGGGATCTCCAGAGTCATTAGGCTTCATCCTCTAGGAACCATGAATGTCTGCACCATATTTCATGTATATCCATTCAGTTGGAGTCATGGGATTTTGCTCTAGACCAAAGTCGTGGACCAACGAACCAACCGTGCAACACTAGTACTTAAAACTACGTCGTCAGGGTAACTTCTTCTCAGCTCTTAAACAAACCTTTAGCTTTTTAAAACCTGAGAAATCTCTCCGGTTTATTCGTTTCCTGTCTTTTGCTGATCTTGAATGATGCTGAGAAGTCTTGTGTTAATTAAAAAGTGTTTAGCTGGCATCCTGCTGCAGAACTAAACACTGTAATAGAGCAAACCACAAGAGAGCAGAGATGTCAATTGTGCCGAAATTGCACAAAGTCAAAATGAAAAGCAAAACAGAGGAAGAGAAACAAACCTTCAGGTCCACGGTGTTCTCAAAGGGCTCCAGGTCGATCTTGGCTCGGTCGTACGTCCAGGAGCCAAACTTCATCTTGCAGCTCTGCTGGTCGAAGGGGAAGAAGGTGACGTCGATGGAGCAGGACGACTTGTAGATGGCCGGCGGCACCCAGCGGACACGACCGGTGTGAAACAGCTGGGCCTTGGTCATGTGGGTGACGGCGAACTCCCCGTCTGCACTGGAAAAAGACGAAGATGGAGGGTAGAAAAGAGTAGAAAATGAGGTCAAAGTTGAAAGGAAGGAAGAAAGAAAGAGAGAGGACACCAATATTGATGTGTTATTGGGAGAAAAAGGAAGGATTTTTCATCATATTATTTTTTTTCCTTTCAGCAAAGCCCATGTTTCCGTCTCATTATGTTTCAAACTCAAAAAGGTGAATCAATAAACCTGGAGCGATGCCCATTTATAGAGGCAGTGTTAAATAATTGATCAGTGAATGTTGACACTGCCTTTATGATGCAACCTCGTTTAAACAAACGCTGAAGGAGGGGAGGAAAGTTTCATCTGCTTCCAGACAAAATTTCACAATTAATGCTTCCTCGAGCCCAGAAGGGAAAAAACTAAAACTCTGACTAAAGCTGTCTGATGCAAGATCGCTGTGCAGCCGCAACAGAAACAGGGTCATTTATTCAACAGGGTAATTTGCATGTATCACCAATTGGTATGCAGGAATTTGCAGAGATGCTCTGGTATAATCTTAAGTGACCTTCCCTCCTTATACGCTCTCCAGCCAATGAGCACGATGTTATGGATCAAGCAGGTAATTGATCACTACAGATAATTTCCAACTCCTACAGACATTCAAACTCTGTTTAAGTACAGAGTCCTTGTCGTCTGTGCATGTTCCCCGATGTGTGTGCACACTGCAAAATAACTTATATATATGCAGAAAAAATGACAATAATCTGCATTTTCTCAGGTTCTAATGTTTTTTTTTTTTCTTTTACTTGTTGTACAGAACGATGTCGGGCACCCAGATGAGCTCAGAGGGAACTCTGATGGACGTCACGTTGTCAAAGTCGGAGGGACTCCACTGCAGCTTATAATCTGTCCATTCCTGTCAAAACACACATTTCTTAAGGCAGATCTAAGACACAGTTCTTGTTTGAACCACTTTTAATTTTACACTTTAATTCAAAATTGAGAGATGGTGAAAATTGATACATATTAGAATTAATTTTGTCCTTTTTTTTTGCACTGACTGAACTCCCATAGAAGTAGATAAACACTACTACAACTAACAAACCTCAGTTTCTTTCCTACCTGTTTCAACCACACGTTGGTCGTCATCATCTGGTTTTTCTCATCCTAAAAGCCAAGAATTGACACAAAAAGTTGATGAGTGGTGTGAGGACATCTGGTGTTAAATCTATATATCTGTGTGTTTGCACAGGAGATATGGGGGTGGAGATATCACGCCTGTCGTACCACGTCTATCAGCTGTGCGATAGAGAGGCCAAACTTGACGATGACCACGTCGGTGATGTTTCGTGCCGGACGCGTCCACTTGCTGTAGCCTCCAAACAAACTCCTGAAGAGCTCATCCTCGGTGTGACCGTGAGTCCACTCAGCAGCCAGCACTGACAGAGAGAGACAGGAGGAGGAGGAGGAGAGGTCAGAGGTCACAGTAGAGTAACAACATTTCAGTGTTGTTCGTTGATTTCAGTTATTTTAATTAAAAACAACCTGAGATGGAAACAGCACTCTTGGGTTATGAATTATTATGAGAACCTGTCATATTTGATCATGTGACATCAGTGAGACCAAAGTCTATTTATGTTTAATTTTTCATTATATGGCGATTTAAGGGTTTTATTTTGTAATAATATGTCTCTCTTTAATTACTTCCTCTGGTTAGTAGTACTTTAATGTTAACCATTCATAAAGTCTTTAGTTGCATCTTTATAAGAAAGTGGTTCCAATTTTTCCTCCTCCATAAGTTTTTCTTATTTTTTTTAATAATGGGATAAAACTATTTTATTCCTATTTGCTTCAACTTTTTTATTTCATGTCCAGAAACTGGATAAAATCTTTCAAATTTCTTCTTTCTTAATCGCTCTTCTCTTTTCTGTTCTCCTCCATGCTTCTTTTGTTAGTTTTCACCATCAGCGTCCTCTCTATCCGAGGTTTTAAAGGGCTATTCTCCCATTTTCCCTTTGTTTTCCAACAGCCATTACAGCTGAGTGAGATACTGTGTCCACTCTCTGGAGAGAAGTAATTACCTGAACTATTATTCATAGCATTTTCCAGATTTCCAGAGGATGTGAGCTGCTGCACTTTGATTTAATTTTATGTTCCGCAGTTGGAGATAATTGAACTTTGTGTAAGGATCAAGCAGATCAGCGGCAGTCATCTCTCCACAGATGCATCATTTCATGCTTGGAATAAACCTCTGCTGTTTGACCTTTAGTGTCCGATGTGATTTATTCTCTTGCAGGTTAAATGAACACTGATGCTGCATGTGGTAAAAATGTCTACTTCCTCTCTTCACTTTTAGACCAGCGGCCTCTCCTTCACCCTCTCTCTCTCTCTCTGCTTCTGAGCTCACAGCTTTGAACTCTGGCGAGCAACCTGGCATCACCAGCGAGCAATTTAGGATTAGCCAGTGCAAGAAACGGCAAGCCAGGAGCAAAGACTGTGCAAATGTATGTGTGTGATGCCAGGTTTTGTGATTATATTGTCTATTTATAACCGACAAAATGATGTTTCAGGTAAGGCTCTGCCAGTGGAGGATCATGTGTTGTGGGATTACAGGATTCAGCACTGAGACGTTTTTTTTTTGTTTTTTTTTCCAACACTCCAAAACTCCAGGTTTTATGATATCTGCTATTTCTTATTTAGAACCAATTATTTAGGTTAAACCCTGATAGGATGATGGGTCAGTTGTTTCCTCTTCTATGACAGCTCAGCATGACATTTTAATTCAGACTTTGTCATTAAAATGCACTTTTTTTTAATAAGTGGCAGGTACGGCATTTTAATCAAGTGTGCTTGTTTTAATGCAGCTTCCTTATTCTGTTACAAAAAAAATGCAAACAGCATCGTAAATGCCCCTCAGATGATTTAATTTCCTCTGGAATCATCATACAGTATATGATGCATATGATTTTCCCAGTTTTCCAACAGCGTGCTCATTACTCAAGATGCTGTAAGATCGTTCATCATTATGATGGAGTTTAACACTTTATTGAATTTGTCAGTGCAGCTTAAATATGTGTCTTTGACATCTTTACGCTTCCCGGGAAAGAAAAAGTACAGGATTCCTTCAAGAAAACATCTATAGCTGTCTTATAGGAGACTTAAGCTTCAGCTACCTAAAATCATGAGTGAGTATATAATCACTTTACACCTTCAGTGGAGAAAAAAAGTAAGTTTTTATTTCTCCTATGGTGCATTTTAAATGGATGCTGCAAAAATATGAGGCTGATGAAAGCTTCATAAAATGATTACTCAGTTATTATGGGATACCACAGCAGGTATAATACCATTAATTATTATAAAGTTAAGAACCAGATATTATAAAGTCACAATTAAGTGGCAAAATCACTCTGTTAAGTCTTTGGAAATATTATAAGATTACCATAAGAATGTTATAATAAACTCACCATTGAATGTTGCATATTCTAAAATGAGTCAGGGATGAAAAAACAAATTATTATGAAGTCACTCTAAAATATTAGATGGTAGGACGCGTCTGTTAAGTTTTACTAGCCTGTATGAATATTATAAGATTATAACTGATTCGTTTTAAGCAGCGTTTTCTACAATGAATTCACCGCCTCACTCACCGGAGCTGACGAGGATCCAGCAGCAGCAGATCAGCGGTGTCAGATCTCTTCTCTGCTCCATTGGAAACGACAGAAACAAAGAGTCCAGCTACGTGAAGGTGAAGCTCAGGTTGTGTGACAATAAGTTTGAAGCCTCTGTTCCTCCACCGATCATCCCCGCACAGTTTGTCAGCCCCCCCCCCCTCCAACCAGCCTCAACCCCGACTCCTGCCATCACATCACATGTGTTTCTGCCGGTGCCCAACTGTTAATGTCTTTTACTTTCCATTTAACAGCTTTAATGTTGGAAAAAACATATTATTATTGCCATCTATATTATACTGTATCAGCTTGTTGCACTTCTTTATTGGTGCAATATCATATAGATATAGATGGATATAATAATAATTAAATAATAATATTAACTAATAGCCTGATAAGTCATAATTATGAGAAAAGACTGTAGACTATTATCATTGTAGACTAGTGGGACAGGACTCATCATCAGGTTTTATAGTTTTCTTCAGTATCAAATTTAGTGATAGTTTCATTTGAATAATGAAATAGCAATCTCCAACATTTGTTCTTCTTCTGTGGATTCAATCTGTGCATAAGAAGACCAATACATTTTCCTGAGACCAGCATAAGATCCTAACTGACTGCAGAGACCAAACACACACACACACCATCAAGGTCAATAGTCTCTCAGCCTCAGTCAGGCATTGTGCCATAGGCCCCTGACCACAACTCCCTTTCTCTATATTGTATGAAGAAGTGTCTGCAGTGTGAATATATCATTGAAGTCAGAGTCAAACTGCTTGAATCAGCAGATTAAAGTGCTCAGTGAGTGGAACTGACACCAGTCAAGGAGAAAAGTGAACTGGAAGAGCTGGAGGAAGTTAAAAACTTGATGTACAACTCTCTGCCATCCTCTGTCTTTTTAAGGCCCTTGTCAGAATCTGGACTGTTTACATTTTAAGAAGAGAAACAAGAGAGAAACATTTTTGTAGGTTGATCCCTGCAAAAAAATAAATAAAGCATTAATTTCACCAGCAAAATTTTATTCCTGGTATTAGACTTGTCACCTCAGTGTTTTCTAAAATCAGTATTGGCTTCATAGTGGCAGGTAATTTGACAGACAGTATCAATAGATAATCAGTGAAAGTGTTGGTTGATGTTGATGTTTGTGGTTGTAATTTTCATATTTTCTGAAAGTGCAAGTTATGGAAGAGTGGTGAGGGATAGATTAAGTTATAAGTAGGCCTATATATTCAAGTTGTTCTAGCAATAAAATACGAATGAATGAATGAAAATGTATTTGATATATTTTATATGACAAAATTAAACTTTTTAAAGCTGAATTTAGCGCCAGTTTCCACAAACTTACAGTTTTACAAATTTCTAGGACACTGGCACAGATGTATTTTTTCCAATGCTTGTATGTGTGACAGTACCAGTAACTCATTCAGTAACATTAAAAGTTGCGTAATAGTATTTATTAGCCGAGTTACGGCTTCGCGCTCTGTCTATTCTGAGTCTTCTCGGATTCCGTCCATTCTGTCACAACAGTGTCGCGCGGAGTCAGGCCTCCTGTCCCGTAGACGATCTTTGTCGTTAGCTGTACCTCTCCGTGTCAACATCAGGAGATGAGCAATAACAACCAGCGGCGTTTAGCTGCCAAACAAGTCGACTGACGTGTGTGTGTCGCCTGCACCTGTGTGTAAGCACCTTGTGCAACCGTGACAAGAACCAGCCGGTAAGAAACAAGACGCTTTTATTTTCAAGAAAACAGAGAAGTGACACCTGTGGTTTGAGCTAGCTTAGTTAGCTGGGTTGATTAGCTGATGTTAGCTAGCAGGATTAACATTAATATCCGGCACCTGACAGACGTTCCGTGTAATAAATGCAGATTTTTGAGAGTATTCAGTGTCAGTTAGTTAACAACGGGCAGAAAATAGCTTAAACACATGGAAACGAAACTATAACTGCCTCTATTATGACATTTCACCTGGTTTCATTTTCTGTACAGTGAGTTTCAGGGGTTCTTTCTGGGTTTTCCCCTATAACTCAGGCAAACATGCTTTATTTGCTCTAACAGCACCTTGTAAGGCAGCAGGACTGTTTCCCAGCTCTCAGCTAAATGAGGTGTGTTTTGTTTGTGTTGTAGATCTGCATTCAGGAGTGACAACAGCACCATCAGCTCTGAGTCTGACATGCAAATGGAGTAATAAACCCCACTCATGGAAACCCAGAGAAAGAGGTAGGTCCCTCCAAGGTGCTGCTAAAGAGGATTATTTTATTCTGCTTTACTGCTGCTTCCACCTCGGTTAGCTGGCAAGATGTGATCCCCATGTGACATCGCCTACGGCTGGACTGGTGCACACTTCTGCTTTCTCCCACAAAACATCTGTTGTTCAGATGAAATGCTGCTTCAGACTGGGGGGTGGGGGGGTGTGAAACACCAGCTCTAAGCCAAAATCTGAGGACCTGCAGACAGTCTGGCAGCTTCTCTGTCTCTAAATTCTTTCTCTTTCAGATATAGTCGTGTTCTAAGTGTGTGTTTTCTGTGTTTTCACTTGTGTCCTGCCCGTATTCAGGCGGATTATGAGACAATTAATTCATTACTTCATCCCCAGGAAATTAATCTGCAGCTATTTTAGCAGGTTTCAGTTTCTCAAATGTGAATATTTTCTATTATCATACTCTCATTTGATGGTAAATTGAATGTATTTGGGGTTTGAACTGCTGGGATTTTAAAGTATGCAGTTTGAAGATATTGTAAATCCTCTGTCATACAATAAGTGAAAATAATGGTATGTAGCAGCCTTACTCATCTGTATTGTTGGATGAAGAACATTATGTTCCCTTGAAAACACTCTTGATATTTGTAATACCCTATGTAATGTGTGTTGACAGCCCTTGGGTATACAGTACATCTTTGCCTTTAAATTTAGAATCAGTTTACATAAGATAATACTGAGCAAATAGTTTGGGTGGATCTTCAATCATTTAGCGTTTGATAGTTCATCAAAGGACATGTGCCACAGTGTTCTATTTTTCTCTTCTTGACAACAAAACCTACAATGAATTGATCCTACGAACAAGGTTTGTTAGTCTTGCATATCCAAATCCTGATATATCTTATTCATCTGTGCCAAAGAGCTCCACTGCTGTCTGAGTCACTCTAGCACTGCTGTACTCATTATGTCCCTGAATGATTAATCTCCCAGCTCTGGGGATGACGATGGTGGAGAGCGAGGCTTGCTCCACACCTGGAAGGGCTACTCCTGCAGTGTCACCCCAGAGAGGCTGCTCCTACCCCGGCCGGTCCTTCAGGTCGCTCTGGGCACACGACATGGAGTTCTGCTGGTGGAAGGTAAAGCTTTTTTATTGTTTTAAGATTTGGGGCTATTTGTATTTGTTTATTACAACCAGACATTAGAGAAATGACAGGAAAGTCAGCCACACTCAAACTTGCTGTAGTGAAACAGTAATTCTTTTCAAGAACTGAAAAAACTAAACTTGAGATGAGAAATGTTCCATGTTCCTCTTTGATCTTTGTGCTGTTGTTACTTCTTATCAAGGAGGGCAGGTGTACAGTTTTGGGGAGCTGCCATGGAAGCAGAGTCAAGTCCCTGAGCCGACGAAACCCACCCTGGAGAGCGCTCTGAGCGGGCAGCGTGTGGTCGCTGTTGCAGCTGGAAGTTTCCACAACGGGGCAGTGACGGAGGATGGTGGCGTCCACATGTGGGGGGACAATGGTGCGGGACAGTGTGGCCTGTCGGGCCTCAGCACCGTCCCCAACCCGACTCCGGTGGCTGTGGTGGAGACTGACACCAGCCCCCCGCAGACAGTGCCGGTGCTGGAGCTGGTCTGCGGGGAGCAGCACACCCTGGCGCTGTCTGTCCAGCGGGAGGTGTGGGCGTGGGGTAGCGATTGCCAGCTGGGCCTCAACGCCACCGTCTTTCCTGTCTGGAAACCACAAAAGGTTGAACACTTAGCAGGAAGGTATGTACTTCAGGTGGCTTGCGGGGCTTCACACAGTCTGGCTCTAGTTCGCTGCCTGGGCCCCCAGGACGTCCACCGGCCCCCTGTGGACAAATGCAGACAGTGTAACCAGCTGCTTTACACCATGACAGACAAAGAGGACCACGTCATCATCTCTGACAGTCACTACTGCCCCCTTGGTGTGGAGCTGACTGAGGATGAAGGGAGACTGGAGGCGCCTGCCCCCGCCCAAGGACTCAAAACATCCCCATCTGAGCCAGTCCTCCCCTCCCATACTTCCACCTCAAACTCTGATTCCTCAGCACCTCCTAAAAGTGCTGAGCACTCCTCTGACCCCACCCCCTTCCAGGACTTGGAGAAAGGCGAATCAGCCGTGGCTAACGGAGTGCTGCAAGCCTCAGACTCTGACCACACGGCTCAGTACAGAGGCAGCAGCAGTGCCGTGTCTGTGGTCAAGAGTTCACTCTATCCAGACGAACAGGCGGTCAAAGACTACCTGAAGAAGCTGACAGACAACACGCAGACAGACGCAAAGACGGCGGCTGGAGGATTGCACACTCTGCTGGTGAGTCTCCACCTTTCACTGCATAATGATGGAGAAAAATACAACATCTTTCACATCATTTTTAGTTACTATGAAATAATAGTAATCATTCATTTGTGACTGGAAATAAAGTAACTGAAAATTGTCTTAAGATGACAGTGTTGCTAGATTCAGGTTCTCAGACTGAAAAAGACAGATGTGCCTGTATTTTCACACTGATTGTTAAATTTGTTTTCACCAAAGCATTTTAAGAATTTACTGATTAGCTCAGGATTTTATATCGTTATCGGATTCTTCGGATTACTATCTTGTGTGTAATAATAAGTAGAGCACAGAGCACAGTAGAGTAATAGAAGTAGAGCTGAAATGAGTAGTTGATTAATCGATTAGTTGATTGACAGAAAGTTAATCTGCAGCTATTTTGATGATCGATTAATTGTAAATTCACTGATTCTAGCTTCTCAGATGTGAATATTTTTGGTTCTATGAGAGCAAACCGAATATCTTTAGACTGATTTGGACAAAAGAAATAATTTGAATAAGTCAATTTGGATTTTGAGAAATTGTGGTGGCCATTTTTTTCAACCAATTAATCAGATGATTGAAAAAGTCATCAACCGATTAATCAATAATGAAAATAACTGGCCTAAATAGAAGCCTGATATGCTGTAGGTCTTATCAAACAGTACTCAGACTCCTCTGTCACTAAGACTTTGACCTTTGACCTGTGAGTTTAAACCTGATTCTTCTGTTTCTCATCCAGCCCTCAGCCGGAGGCCTTGCCTCCACCTCGAGCTCCGCGCTCAACAACCTGGTGGCCTCCTGCGCCTCTGCGGTGGGCGAGCGGGTCGCCTCCACCTACGAGGCCTTGTCCCTCAAAAAGATGATGAACTTCTACCTGCCCTCGGGCGTGTCGAGGTCAGGTGGGCCAGCGGGGATTACCGGTACCATCCCTGTAGTGGGCGATAACACAACCGAGCGCGTCCGCCAGGAGGAGTCCATGCAGACCAAGAAGAGCTCCAGCACAGGAGACATCCGCGAGGAGGAGGCCGAAGGTCTGCGGCGGCGCCTCTCGCTCCCAGGACTCCTCTCACAGGGTAGATACGCTGTTCACCTCTTATCATCCTCCTATTCTCTGCTGCGTAAGTACACCTTGCGCATGTGCAGGTCGCTGTCAGTGTCAGTGTGTGCGTTTGCTTCGGGCTTCATCATCCAGCTTGTGAGCACTGCTCAGGCTTCTCATTGTGGCATGCTGTGTGCACAGTTGAGTTTTTAGCATTCTGTGTGCGTCATATCCAGAATAATGTCACCTCCAGAAGGAAGCAGAAACATGCTAAAAGGCTGGAATTAGAATTAAACAACAAACCTTTCAAGGTGAGTTAGTTTTTACCCAGTTTTTACTTAGTCAAGCAGCTACACAAACCATTCTGACTTCATAGGAGTCAAGAGTCAACACATGACAATGTCAGATACTTACAACAGCATCATAACCAAATAAAGAACTCAGAACACAACCAAACAATACCAAGGTATTAACAAAATATCATTAAAATCTTTATTTTTACACCACATTTTTTAACAATCAAGAGCATTAATGGCTTTAGAAGTTAATAATAAAAGTGACTGGAAGCAAAAAGAGGGAAAACAAATTTAACAATACATAACACCCTGTAATAATTTAGATGAGACAAAACCTGGGAATATATTACTTTTGTTAGGACAGCTCACACTTGCTTACATATAGCAGTACAATATTTCTATATTTTACAGTGAAAGAAAAAACAGAAGGATAGCTTGATTTCAAGCTTCTTCTTTTTTTTTTTAAAGTGTTTTATTTTTGTAATTTTTATTGTATTATTTTTCTCTCAGAAGGATTATTGATTTTGTTGATTGACAACAAGATGCACCAATCAGTTCACTCAAACATCTCTCAAATGTCCAAATTTTCAGACATAATGAAAAATGGCTCTTGAATCCACTCAATAATGCAGCCTCCCACAACACAATTCTCCGAAAGGAGCCATTAGAACCAGTTTGAGCCAGGTTAGCCCGTCTGAATGGTCGCCTTTGTGTGATTAAAAACACTGAGGAATGCAGATTTTTTAGCCTCTAACTTTGTTAATCTGTCTCAGTAAGAGGTGACAGAAAAACGGGTGCCACTTTACTTTGCGACTGTCTTTGAACTTTCTCTCCCAGGCAGCGGTGGAGAAAACATTGGAGGGCACAGAAAGATTTAGCAGATTTACCAGAGCAAAATTTAAGTTTTGTGTCTTAATATAGAGAGAGGAGAGAAAAGAGTGTGGTGCATTGTGGGATAGGACTTAGCTTCTGTGTGACCCCGAATGGAAATAAGCAGGTGTAGAAAACCGATAGATGGATGGAATTTCCCCCGTCTAACGTCATTTCTGTCATTCCTCACAGATCATTTGCTCTGGATTTCATCATCTGCTTTTGAACTGACCTCCTTGTGGGTTTTATGAATATCAGGTTTCAAGGCTGAAAGATCAGGTTTGATGAGGAAATTAGGAGATGAATCATGAAAACTCTCACACAAGTTAAAAAAGAAAAAAAAAAGAAAAAAGCCATTGTGCTCATTTGGTTCGACACATGAAGAGACGCCACCGGTCAAAATCAAATCCAGTGGAGAAATTACAGCCTGAATAATGATTATGTTTATATGTCTAGCAGCCGTAGATGTGAGGAATCTTGACATGGCTGCTGTTATTAATAAAGGCTGGATATTAAGTCCCGCCCAGTGTGTCTGTGTCCTTTGGGTGACCAGATGGCTCTCCACTGGAGGCCGTGAAGATGCTCAAGACAGTAAATTAGCTGCTGTGTCCTGCAGTCCTGTAGTTTCCAACAATGGAAAAGAAGAAGCAAGTTTGTTTTTTATATTGTTAACTAAAGTGATACCGTTTTGATTGATCCTGGTCTCTTTTTAAAAGGTAGCTTTGTGGAGTTCATGATCTAAATTTCAGAAATCAGGCGTTCTCTGACTTTTTCACTGGAAATTTTAATCATCCTTTAACAAACACCTGTTTGAGAACCACTGGTCAGAGTGACACTGAACCATAAATCTCACTATTTTATCATTTCTCTGCTCTGTCTGTTTTTGATGCACTCATGTTATAAAATATGCAGCTCTCAGTGAAAGTGGGATCTTAACATGGTTACACAAATATAATAGTGTGGCTATTTAACACAAAATACATTGCTAAACTATTATTGTTATGATGCAATAAAATCACGTCCAACATTATGCTGTGTTTGCAAAGGAGATAAGTGTCTTTATGCTTTGAGATCTTTTCATTTTCTCCTCAGTATATATCAATATGATGTTATGGAACAAAAACTTCCCCTTGAAGAGGAAGTTGATCTCTCTCCTCTCCCTTATCAGTGTTTGTTCTGTGTGCTGCCTGCTGGCTTCTTCTCATTGTTTGTCTGCTGTATGAGCATGTGTTCGACACGATCCGGCTGATGTGATCTGCTCTGAACATCACTGCTGTCTCTGTGCAGGCGTGCGCTTGCTTTGATAACGTTCATTGATTTGTGCTGGACTTTGCACCTGAAATTTAGGTTGCTTTGATCTTGAAAACATGTCCACAATTCATTAAACATTATCTATACTGTGTGTGTAGTGTTAGCTAATATAAGACATTCTTTAAAGAGACTGAGGTCACTCAGTCTTGGGTGAGTGAAGTGGGTTTGCAGAGATAAAAAAAGGAAAGACACTAAAGAAGTGCTGTTCCCTTTTCTGTATTAACAGTTTCCCCGCGGCTGCTGAGGAAAGCCGGTCGTCACAGGATGCGCGCAGTCGCCCTCACTCCCCTGGGAGGGGCGGTCCCCGAGGCCCAGGAGGTGCTGCCCACCCTGCAGACAGAGGTGTGGAGCTGGGGCCACGGCGACCACGGACAGCTGGGACATGGAGACAACCTGGCCAGGTAGGATGCGACACATTACAACAGGACAGGATTTTTTTTCCTCACAACTGACATCATGTGATTATCAAGAAAAAAGCACAAAGAAGGGAGAAATTACCAAATTGGGCAGAAGCAATATGTTAAAACAATAAAACATTGATCATGGTGATATGTCATGATTCTATAATTTACACAGGTTTGTGCAGAAGCTTTTGTGGGCCTTTAAGATGTGTTATTTGTCACTGACAGCAGTGTGATATGTCTGTTTGCAGGCTACAGCCACTGTGCATCAAGAGTCTGAATAATAAGGAGGTGGTGCGGGTGGCAGCCGGCGCTCATCACTCCCTCGCTCTGACCGCTCAGTCTCAGGTCAGTCGTTCACAGCTCCAGTCTTTGACCCCATTTACCACTGATTTGTCCGTTAACTATTGAGAGCCCTCGCCTACATCAGTGTGTCCTCCTGTCTTCCAGGTGTTTTCATGGGGCAGAAACAGCTCTGGTCAGCTCGGACACATGGACTCACCCAGCACAGTCCCGCGCCTTGCAAAGGTGAGGAAACCAACTCCTGTGCAACCACACACAAACACACACACACACAGACACGCAAAACCTTGTTTTTCACATCTGAACTTTTTACCTCCTCGTGCAGCTATCGGAGGGAATCCGCGTGTGGGACGTGAGTGCTGGAGAGAGACACTCCCTCCTGCTCGCAGACGGAGACTGCATCCAGCCCATCATCTATTACAGCGGACAGCAGGTGAAAGAGGGGGATGAGGAGAGTCAGGCCAAGGAGCCGGGTCAGCAGGAAGAGCAAGAGGAAGAGGAGGAGCCGGCAAGAGGCTACACGCCACAGCCTGTACTGCTACCCTTCTGCATGAACGTAAGGACACAGTAGCTGGTAGCTTTTTTTTTGCAAGTCAGATTTGTGATTTTAATCGATTTTAGAGAATGAAAATGCACATAAAAAGAAACAACCAGGAAGCGTCAATGTTCTTTTCCAGCTGGGTTACGTCAGCAGTGTGTTTGCCGGCGGCCGGCGATGTGTGGCGCTCTCGGATAGGAACGTGATGGGCTTCATCGCCAGCCTCCACGAGCTGGCCGCAGCAGAGAGGAAGTTCTACTGCAAGCTGTGTAACGTCAAGACACAGATAATACGCCCCCTGCTGGAGCTCGGTAAGAGTGACACAAAGGGGAAAATAAACACTGAGAATAAGGGAGAAAAGTTTAGGTTCAACTCAGAGGCTGTTTTTATCATTTGTTTCGTTTGTGTCCTGTCCTCCTCCAGAGTCTCTGAGCTCGGCCCTCGGACAGGTGACCCTCGGGCTCCTGCAGACACTTGCGGGTCGTTTCAGCCTCCTGTGTCACCTGACCGGGCAGCATGCCACCAGCCTCACCGCCAACCTGCGCCGTGGCCGTGATGTCAAAAGTCTTCTCATCCTCGACCACACCAACATCTTCCTCGATTCTTATAATGAGTGCGTCTTTACCCCTGTGATCGATACAAAAATGAATAGATTAATAAGCATAATACTAATTACTTTATTCCTGTCAAGGTTCTGCAGCTGCCTGGGCAACTTCCAGGTAATGGGCGGTTTCCAGGCCCTGACCAAGCCCTCGCTGTGAGTACACACAAATCCACAAACACAACATTTAACACATGGAGCTCATTCCTATAAACCCAGACATGATACACTGCTGCAACTCCCAGAAACTCAAAAGTCTGATGAAAAAACAAAACAGATCCTAAACGTGACGAATTCGATTTTTAATAACAAGTGATGATTTTCTTTGAAGAGATTTCTTTGGGAAGACTCCTGAGCTGCTGCAGAGGCTGTCGGAGTGCAGCGAGGAGAACCCCGCCATGGCCGACCTCCTGGTGGCGCTCTTCTACCTCCCAACTCGCCACATTCATGAGTACGGCCGGCTGCTGCTCAAACTGGCCACATGCTTCGAAGTGGTAGGGAAAATAAACACAAACAACAAACATTATTGTCTGATCCACTTTTGAAAGGTTGTCTTGAAAATAGCTGCTGTAGTAGCAAATTTCAGTTCAAGGACCTTTCTAAGAATTTACAATTACATCCCATTGTCTATTTAGGACATTATTAGGAAACTTATGACCTGTAAAACAAATTATTGCCCTATGTCTTGATAGAAATATTAGTTTTCAAGCTTTAAAATGTTGTAAAAAATTTTCTAAATTTTTATTTGTGTATGAACATTTCTTTTGGTAAAATCAGCAGAATGTGACCATGTTTGAAAAACCATGTCACATGATTCACGGTGAATGTTTTTGTGTGTTCTCAGTGCTCCAGTGACTACCAGAAGCTGCAGGACAGCTGCTCCAGGTTCGAAGCTCTGGCCCTGCAGCTGAAGCGAAGACGAAAGGAGGCCGAGTACACGTTCCACTTCTGGAAGAGCTTCCCTGGCAAAATGACGGTAAACTCGCTGAGTGTATGTGTTTCTCGTTATTACCATCATGCGTATCCTTCACATTGAATCCATTGAGGTGTCACATGATGTCACAGATGACTGAATGGGTGTCATTGTGTGTGGTCAGGACTCTCTGAGGAAGCCTCACCGCCGGCTGATCTGCGAGAGCAGCAACAAGGCTCTGACCCTGCAGAACGCCGGCAGGTTCTCCGTCAACTGGTTCATCCTTTTCAACGACGCTTTGGTCCACGCGCAGGTCAGCTCCACACACACACATACACACACATACACACTCACTCACTTCTTTTGGCTCTTTCACTTCATAAAGCCGCCATATTTGAGACAGTGTAACCTGGTGTGTTTCAAGCGTTTGTGTGTGCTTGCCTTCGTGCTGTCAGGGCGTGGCGCCTTGTAAAAATCTTGTAAGTATGCAGTCAGAAGCAAATGTCAGCACAGAGACCCCGACTCTCCCCCTGTCCCATTCTACTTCTTCTTCTTCTTCTTTATATGTGTGTGTGTGAAGGGCTTAGGGCTCTGTGTCATAAGATTTAGACCATTTAAACACATGTCAAACACACTTCAACACACATGTACACACACACACCCCTGTAAATGAGATGAGTATGAATTATGCCGGCTGTAGTAACAGCAGATATTTAGGATTTGGTTTATTGCCTAGGCAGGATGAATAGTTAAACTTTTAGCATGTTGTGTAGTATTTTAATTATTATTAACGCTTTATTTAAGTTAACAAAGTCCCAACGAATTACACCAGGGTTGTAAAGAACAGCAGCAGATCAGTTGGTCAATACGAAGTCATGCTGTGAAGCCAAACTTATTTTCACTTCTTGTAGAAATCTGTAACTTTCCATAGACATCAAACACATCAAGCTGAAAAGAGATAAGAAAGATGCACAAGACAAGAATATGTCCAATCGATTGAGAGGTGCATGGAGTCACATGGCTTCAGCGATACAGGATACATATATGACATTGTCAGACAGTGGAGAATAAGATGATTTTTTCGACATTAAAGTTGCTAAAGTGGAAACCCAGTGTGTATTTATCATAAGAATAATTATTGGACCGATTTGTGTCAGTTTCACTCACATGACTTAAATCACAAGTTTGTCTCTGAGAGTTTTACGATCTGCACAACTTACAAGAGTAAACTTACACTAAAAAAAAAGGACAGAGGAAAAATTGCGGTTTCAAGCCTTTGGTTTTACTTTAGTTTGCTCTTCTTTGCTCTTCTTGATCTTGATGGCGATAAAACCCCGAAGCTTGAAACTACAACAATGTCCCTGTTTTATCTGACAGTGGTTTGATACCCAGCCCTATCCCTGCCTTCACTCTGCCTGCTCTCCACCTTTAGGGGACTGCACTGGAGGATGAACTGGCTATAACCAAGGCTTTTTTTTTTTTTTTTACTGATCTTATTCCTCTTTTTGCCACATTGCAACTTTTGAAATCCAAAACATGCAGAAACATTTCATAAATGTTCCATCTTCTTGGAGAATTTGTTGCCTGTTAAAGCCTTGGTTCACATGTAAACACAGGCCAGACCAAAGGACAGAATAAACACACAGGATATCCATTCTATCCTTTCAAATTCTATAAGTAGCAGCACTTCCTGGTTCACTTTTCCAAAGCAGTTCCCTTCCCTCTCTCCCTGTTTGTCTCCCTTCTCTCTTCCCGTTTTCACTCCTGCCTGTTCTTCCCTCTCTGCGGTTGTCCTGCACATTTCAGTCCCTCTACCTCCTGTACTGACTGTGTGACTCCTGCCTTGACGCACTCTCCTTCTGTCATTATCCTACTCTCCAACAGTCAGAGCTCTCTGATTATATTTTACTCTTCGGCTAAAAATCAGCTTTTATCCATTTAAATCCCTGCAGGAGCTGTTGAAAGTAGTAGCTGACTCCCCTGTGTCTTGTGATGTGAACCTGTACAACTGTATGAAAGAGACGCAGGGTGTTAAAAAGTGTGAAGAAGAGCATGCACGCCTCAAAAACATGTGAAGCACATGTTGTCTTGCATGACTGACCCTGGTGTCCTTTAGGCTGAGTTTGAACAAGAAGCAGAATTCTTCTACATGTCTTCAAAGTCTGCCTGAATGTGCTTCAAATTTTTTTCTATTTCATTTTTTTAAGTGAAATCTTGGATATGTCTTGTAGCAACACCCACTTTAAATTAAAGGCAAGTAGCCTCTAACCATGTAAACGTAGAGCTAAATTATAAAAGGAATTGGCTCAAATTGAAACAATTAAAAAAAACTAAATTGCAGCAGAGAGGACAGACTGGAGCTGTTAAGGTTGTGGCTTTTATCTTTTACTTAAGCCTAAAATATTCACATTTAGTTGTTAAACAAACACAGTCCCCCATATACGCCTATAGACCTATAGACAGAAATAGCTTTTTAAAAATGACTTTTTGACATGTGATGTGTTCCCTGTCAAAAGGAACAGATCAGTTGTTCTCACGCTCAGTGGTAGAAATTATAGACTTGTGTTCTGAGTAGCATTTCTAAGTAGTCTAAGAGGCTGTAGTTCACCTCCTCTTTGTGTCTGAAAATGATCTTCTGTGTGTGTTCAGATGTTTTATGAAAATAACAATGTTCCTTTCTCTTTCTAAACACTTATCCCTTCTTTTTTCTCTCCTCTGTCTTCCTCCGTCTGTCTCTTCCCTTTTCCATGTCTGTCCCTCTCTTGTTTCTTCCTCTGCTCTTTCCTCTCCTCCTCCAGTTCTCCACCCATCACGTCTTCCCTTTGGCCACGCTGTGGGTGGAGCCCATCCCAGAGGAGAACACTGGCACGTGAGTGTTAGTTTCTGAGGAGCTCAGAAAACCTTTGAATATTTTGAAAAATAATGTGTCGATGCACAAAATCAAGAATTATACTGCCACGATAATATTTAGATTCAGATGTATGACATAGACTAAATCCTATACTTCTTATTTTGTTGTATTTATTCAAGGTTTTTCTCATTTGAAACTGTGTTTTTCACATTTTGAGCCAGTGTTTGTTCCCTGTCTAAAACTGTGTGTTGTTGTGTGTGTGTAGATACAGTTTAAAGGTGATCACACCAGAGGAGACCTTCACCCTGCTGGCCTCCTCTCCCATGGAGAAGGTAAACCATCTCTTACTGCTGGTGACACTACGCTCTCCTCAGAACTATATTTCCATTTGGTGGAAACTGGATCACATCTTAAAAGTGTGTGTGAATTTGTTCGCAGGCCAAGTGGCTTCGCTCCATCAACCAGGCAGTGGACCAGGCCCTGAGCGGGGCCGGGCAGGACACGACGTCAGCCGGCTCGGGGTCAGGGCAAAAGCTGGAGCCTCCTATCTCCAGGTTGGCCTCCTATACTTTTTATAAGGACGGGCGTCTGAAAGAGGCGACGTACGAAGGTCGCTGGCTCGCTGGCAAACCCAACGGCAGGTAGGACACACACTGTCACACGCTCACACACTGGCAAGAGAGCATTTTAAATATTGATGTATTTTGTGATTGGGATTGATTATGTTTTCCAGGGGAGTGTTAAAATGGCCTGATGGGCGAATATACACAGGGGAGTTCAAGAACGGACTTGAAGATGGGTGAGTGCTGTCATCATGTGTGTTCACTGTGCATGAGCCCTTCTGTGTGAGTCAGGATTATCTGAGATGGTGATTTTTTTTTTTTTTTTCTTCTTCATCCTATTCATGTATTCATTCGTTTTTGTAGCTTTGGTGAGTTTGTCGCTCCCAATAAAACGCTCAACAAGAACGATCACTATCAAGGTCAATGGAAAGATGGAAAGATGCATGGCCTCGGGACATACAGGTGAGTGTGTGTGTGTGTGTGTGTGTGTGTGTGTGTGTGTGTGTGAGAATAGTTTTGTTAGTTAAGACCATGTTGTTTTTGGCTTCACCACATAGTTTTAAAAAACAGTAAGACACAACAGCAGGTGATTTAAAATACATTAATAGAGTACTATAAAATGATAGATCAAAGGAGGCTATGCAATCTGTTTCCTCGTTGGCTTGCCTCCCTGAAGGTAAAAGCTGAAATTGTGAGTGCAAAGGGTTTTAATCTTTATTTAATCTTTATATTATATTTATACTTCCTGGTTGGATCTGGGGCTTCTCCCTAAGTCAACTTCCTAAGTAGATAAAGTCTCTGTGTGGCTTTCTTTACAATGTAACCAGTATTCTCTGTGAAGTTGGGGGGGGGTTCCCACTGTTGGCAGCTGGAGGGGGATTTTATTTACAGTCACAGAGCAAGTCTCTAACATAAGTGGGCGTTCAGACTGAAAACATAAGGCTCATCAGACGCCAAAACACTCCACAGTGATTTTACCGCCGTAAGACATGATTTTACAAGTCTGGGGATTTATCACAGCAGCAATTATGTCATCTTTTTCCATGGTTCCAGCTTCTTAAATGTAGAGATGTGGTGGTTTTCTTTGTCGTCTGTGATATAGTAAACAGAATAGGTTTCAGTCATGGGTTGCTGGTGGGCTCTGGAGAGCTATCTTTGGACATTTTATAGAGTAAACAGTAAATCCATAAATCCCTAAAATAATCACATGATTAATTTATAAAGAAAACTACTGACGATTTCTGCAGGGACTTCACTTTATCAGGCACTTTATCAGGAGCATCTTTCAGCAGGAGTCGAAGCTGAGAATAAACATCCCTCGTCTGCCTGCAGGTACGCCAGCGGTGAAGTTTACGACGGATCCTTCCAGGACGGCATGCGACACGGCCACGGCATGCTGCGCAGCGGCAAGCTTAACACCTCCTCCCCCAGTGTCTTCATCGGCCAGTGGCTGCAGGACAAGAAGACCGGCTATGGAGTCTTTGATGATATCACAAAGTACGACGTGTATTTCAATCTGCACATTTACTTTACGTGACAGTCTTGAGAAAAGGAGAATGAAACTACATGTGTCTTGTTTTGACCCAGGTCAGCAGGGACTTGCTGTTTTATATTTGTCTGTTTGTCTGTTTTCTGTTCAGAGGAGAAAAGTACATGGGCATGTGGCAGGACCACCTGCGGCAGGGCACCGCGGTCGTCGTCACCCAGTTCGGCCTGTACTACGAAGGAGCCTTCAAAGATAATAAGATGATGGTGAGCACTTCTGTCTTTGAGTCCAGTCATATTTTAGTGTTTTGTGTTTTTATAGAAGAAGAAGTTTAACAGGTAAATTACAGGAGAGAACGCTGTGTTGTGTTTTGATCCAAGGCCAGGACACACTCCAGGCCCTGTTTAATCAACAGCTATTCATAATATTTGAGAGTTTAAGAAGAGAAAATAATAGAAATTTGAAGAAGGGACTAAAGTGTAGAACAATTGTTGTTTTCAGGGCGCGGGGATCCTTCTGTCAGAGGATGACACAACGTATGAGGGGGAATTCTCTGACGACTGGACCCTCAACGGGAAGGTGACTAATAAACATTAAAACGAAGATTGTAGATGTTTTATGTGTTTTAAATGAATGTTGTTAATGTAATCTGGCTGGAGGGGTATCGAGTTATACTCAGAAATGACACAAATTGGCCTAAAGGTGTTTAAATACAGATATGTTTCAACAGTGGTTGGGGAAAAACTATTCAGATACATCATGTTACTAAGTGAGGCAGTAACACAGTGGAAAAATACTCTGCAGTAAAAGTTCATGACTGGCTGTTCCTCAGGGTGTGCTGACCATGGCAAACGGTGACTACCTGGAGGGCTCCTTTGGTGGCGAATGGGGCTCCGGCCTCAAGGTGACGGGGTCCTACTTCAAACCACACCTGTTCGACACTGACAAGGACAAGACCCACGTTGTGTAAGCTCAGTGAAATTATCAGGGGGAAAAATCCTAACTTTATTCATCTGTTTTGTCATAGTTAACATACTTTGTGTGTGCTGTTGCAGGAAGCTTGGGCGTCTGTGTGTGTGCGCGGAGGACAAGTGGCAGGCGGTGTTTGAGGAGTGTTGGAGTCAGCTGGGCTGCGAGGCGCCGGGCCAAGGAGAGCACTGGAAGGCCTGGGAGAACATCGCCGTGGCTCTCACCACCAGCCGGCGACAGATCCTGGACAGGTACACACAGTGTGATGACAGAAACAAAATCAACACCATATGGACACAAAGACATTTTATGCAATGTGAAAAAAAAAGATGTAGTCTGGTCTGGTCAGCTGTATTTTTCCACGAAGGTCTTGAGGTTGGATTATAGCTGAAACATATAAATATTTCCCATATGTGTGTGTCCCAGTCCGGAGATGTTGTCTCGGAGTCACAGCAGAACCCTGGAGAGTCTGGAGGTCATCCCACAACACGAAGGACCCATCACCATGGAGAGATATTCCACCATCCGCCTCTACCTCATCAAGGTGAGTTTACCCACCACTCCTCGCCTCCACTGAAAACATATTCATTATTCAGTGTTGTAAAAATATTTCCTCCTGTAGGCATGTGACACCCCACTGCACCCACTGGGCCGGCTGCTGGAGACACTGGTGGCGGTCTACAGGATGACCTACGTGGGTGTTGGAGCCAACCGACGACTCCTACCTCAGGCCGTCAACGAGATCAAGTCTTACCTCAACCGCATCTTCCAGATTGTCAGGTACTTTACGTACAGTTCACTAACCAGCCACCTGCATGTCACTAAAATGATTAAAATAGGACAAATGCTAACAATTGATTCCATTTCGTCACTTAAACAATTATCATTTGGTCTATAAAACACCAGAAACAGTGAAAGGTACCAACAAAAAAAATTCTAAAGCTCATGGTTTTAGATTGACTCATTTTGTCCAACCAACAGTCCAAAACCCAGTGTTATGAAATTTACTTTAATGTAAGACAAGAAAAAGCAGCAAATTCTCATATTTGAGAATCAGGATAAAAGTTGACTTGTGTTTCCACATATTTATGGGCTTCTTGAATTCTCTTTAGGTTTCTGTTCCCAGATGTGCCAGAAGAGGGCGGTCTCATTCCAGAGCCAACCACCAACCTCCAGGACAAGAAGGAGCCTGACTCCACTGATGCCCAGATGGAGTCACCCAAACCTGGGTAAAGACTGAGAAATGTCCCTTTTTAAAAAACTCTGCTTGTCGTCACATTTCAGCTGGTCACGTTAACATGTGTCCTTTCTCTCTCTCTCTCTCTCTCTCTCTCTCTCTCTCTCTCTCTCTCTCTCTCTCTCTCTCAGCCGAGTGGTGAGCAGCTCGGCTCTGCTGCTTCCCGTCCTGCTGCCTCGTCTCTACCCGCCGCTCTTCACCCTCTACGCTCTGGACAAGGAGAGAGAGGACGACGTCTACTGGGAGTGTGTCCTCCGCCTCAACAAGCAGCCCGACCTCGCCCTCCTTGCCTTCCTGGGTGTCCAGCAGTACGTCACACGCGCACACTGGCTGCTGCCAAAAGGATTGATTTTATGTTTTGTGTATAAATCCTCAACAGGTATTTCCTCTGATTTCTTTCCTCCCTCAGAAAGTTTTGGCCAGTTTCCATTCCTGTCTCCACGCTTGCAGTGGGGGAGAAGCAGCAGGTATGTTTTAGTTGCTCACACCTTATGTACGACAAAAAAAATGACTTCCATTACTTTATTTACAGTCACACACTTAATTAAGGAAGTCTCTAACACACAGTCTAGGAAGTTTAGTTTGAGAAACACTAATTTGCAATACTATAAATGAGCACTATATAAAGATGTAAACTTGTAAGTACCTGTGTGTGTCCTCCAGGTCCTCTCCAGCACCAAGGACGCCTGTTTTGCCTCTGCAGTGGAAACACTGCAGCAGATCAGGTACAACTCTTCGCTAATGTGGTTTATCATCTTAAATAAACTGCTAAATGTTTGATAGTTGAAACAAATTGCAGTTTCCACCAAATATGAAAGTTTTTTTTTTAGTGGAAGGAACTAAGGAACAGATCCTTGGTTTGCATTCAGGCATCAGCATCATACATTTGAATATAAAAAGTTCAAATAAAATAGGAAGAAAAACACCTGGTAATTCCTTCTTATCTGAAACCAAGATTCCGTGTTTGTTGTGTGTTTGCAGCACGACGTTCACCCCGTCTGACAAGCTGCAGGTGATCCAGCTCACCTTCGAGGAGATCACACAGGAGGTGCAGTCGCTGCTGAAACAGGACTTCCTGTGGTCCATGGACGACCTCTTCCCTGTCTTCCTCTACGTCGTGCTACGAGCTCGGTCAGTCACACATTAATACACACATGCACACGCACGTGATGACGCTGAGGCCTCGCAGAGCATATTGTTTTACTGTAAGTAGGTGTGAATGTTGATAGAAATCAAAATTCTTCTGGGCCTCATTTGTGAAAAATCATTGGATTAGATGGATGGAAATGATCAAAGGTTAAAGAATAGAAATAACAGTTGTTGACCATTTACAACACATTATAAATATTTGTAGAGCCATTATCAGGGCACATCATCATCATCATAAATCTTATGTAACTTACTGAACGTATGATTTCCCCTTCAGTATCAGGAACCTGGGGTCAGAGGTCAGCCTGATTGAAGACCTGATGGACCCCTGCGTCCAGCATGGAGAGCATGGCATCATGTTCACCACACTCAAGGTAACACGCACGCACGCACGCACACACACACACACACACACTGACACATACACACACACACACAGCAAAGATTAATGTCACACGGTCATATGTCCCACAGTTTCTTGCTGGTATTTAACTGTATATTAATGTGGAGATTCCTGGAGAGGTTTGTGTTATTTTGTTCTGATTATGGGAAAATGGAGACAGGGTTCAATTATACCATTCATTAATTAGTCACTTTCTGTTTAACCCTAGCTTTTTTCTTCATTTCAATATTTTTGTTTTCAGTGCTTGAAAAGCCTGGAAATTGCAGAAATGTGAGGAAAAATATCAAGACCTGTCTGTGTATGATTGTCTTTCATAACAATTATAAGGTGGTGCATTTCATACACCATTTAGCCTCTTATTCTGAAAATCTAAATGACTTTGAACAAGCTTCCTGTTTGAATATTTTAGCCTACACTTTCTTTCCAGTGATATGTTTGCATGTCTCCTCCACCTGCAGGCCTGTTACTACCAGATCCAGCATGAGAAGATCACTTAGCGTGGCGTTACTTCCTCAGTGATCTGCATGCTGCCGCCCCACCCCCCTCCCCATCCTCACGGCCAATCACAGGACCAGCCAGGCTTCAGGATGACGGATGTGTGCAGCGGCCAATGGGAGGCAGAGGCTCACAGGAACAGGTTTCTGACAGCTCCATCTGCTGCTGTCATGGAGACGGGATCACTTCCCCCCTCTCTGACACACACATACAAACACTCTTTACCAGCCTCTCACCTGTGGATCATGAAGGTGTACATGTGAATATTGTTGGTATTTTACTGCCAGAGATAAACCACCTCATCCCGTCCATTATAAAATGTAAAATAGGTCCACAGCAAAAAGACTGACCTCCTGTTGGAAATCCTGATATGGGCTTTTTTCAGTGGTTACCTGGGAAGAAAGAAGAAGCTTATAACAGTGTTTTTTTTAACTTAATGCCAATGGGACTTGCAGAAACATGAAGTTTATATTCTGTAATTCCACTGACCTGGCACCTAAATGAAGAGACTGACGTAACAAAAACGGATGCAATCTCCTAAAAGCATGTGGCTTGCATGGGATCTTGCAGTCCTGAATGGCTGCCATAGAAAAGCTCAGGGAAGCGGCTGCGTGCTGCTTTTTAGTTAACCACTTGTTGCAGTTTTCAGTTTTACAAGAGAAAAGATGTAAAGCCTGAAGACTAACTGGTTAGTTTTGTAAACGTACATCTAGTTAACAACTCCACCTTTGGTTAGAAAGCAACGAAGAGCTGCTTCCTTTTGCTTTTCTATGGACACTATCTGGACCTGTCTCCAGTGTGGTGGATTAGTCCCAAACTAATTCACAGCAAGGTTTGATATTATATTTATAAAAAAACAAATCATGTACAGCATGCAGGGGGTAAATGTAAACTGACTTAATGACACTAATATTCTCCTTTTGCACCAGCTGCCAGTTGAATACAGTTCAAAGTAGTTGGCAGCCAATCAGCTACTCCAACTTTTCATTTCAAGACGTAGTGTTGCTGGGAGAAGAGTAAGACCCAGTGCTGACAGTTTTATTATTAGACTGATCATCACCCTGATGTGTCTCTGAGGATCCAGCTGCAGAAATGTCAAATGGCAGAACACAAGCTACATGTAGATTACTGACTTAAAAGCACATGTTTTCCAAATGGACTTTCATGGTGAGATGGACGTTTAGTTTCCTGACTTGAAAAAGAAAGTACATTTCAAATGTACAACATTTAAAAGAGCAGAATCTAGATACAATGAATAGAAGTGTTTTTCCAGACAGTCTGAATGACGTGTGTTTCTGAGCCCAGTTTTCAGTATTAATGAATATTGACAGAGTGCCTGCACTGCTCTGCAAATTCCGAAAAAGTATAGGGTTAAAACTGTGACGAAAAAAGTCAAAAACTGTATCGAAACATATTGATCTGTGAATTTTTAAGATAAACTGAAGTATCCCTTTAAGTGTTGCCTCCTAAAGCTACATAACGTGTTTAAAAACCCTTGTATGAAAAATGTATCGTCAGAAACCCGAAAAACAGGATTGTAGCTACTGAAAAGTAGGAATTGGACAGTTTACAGGAAAGCTGACGACATATTTCTTTCCTCATGTTGTAGATTGTAGTGTTGTGGACAGCAATCACCAGTGAAAATGGAAGCAGTAAGGAGATTTGAACTTGAAGCTCACCTTTTTCCCACTGACCTTCAATACAAACTGGGTTTTGGGGTGATTGATGAAGCTTTGAGAGACGATCAACAAGCTGAAAATTTCCCTAAAACATTCTGAAAACAATCCTAAAACAATGTTTAAAATAGGATTTAAAAAAGGATTTAACATAAAACTCTTTCCTGTCACTGCTTTCTTGCTGCAGGTGACGTTTTAGCAGAGGCCAGCCGTCGGCTCAATGCACACACTGTTATTATAGATATGATAAAGTATCGGCTCAAAGCCGATTCTCTGTTAATACTGACTGTTCTTTTTTTAAAGCGTTCACAGCACTAACTAAGTCAGACATTGTTGCTTGTTTGTGATTTGCGTCACACATGTCAGTTTATAAAAGGGCTTAAGAGAGGATTCAGAGGATGACCGAGCCTTTTTTTTTTTTTTTTTTTTTGTTATTTAATGTCATGGCTTTTGTTTTCTCAGACGGTTTAACAATAGAAAAGCTGTTGGATCAGAGGCCGCTTTGTGAAGGAGTACATTTAGGTGAAGCTGAAGGATCTCAGAAAATCAAACAACAGAAATTCTAATCTAATGTTTAAAGCTGCTGTCGTTAACTACAACTGTTAAACCTAAAGAAGTTTTATGTGGACAAATATCATTGGTAAAAATCCAGATGCCGTAGTGAAGCTTTTGCAGATGAATGGAAACAAAAATGACTGAAACAGTGTTTTAAACTGTTATAAATTTCAACAGCTATTATCTCTACGTTTGCAGCAAACATCTCAGAGTGTAACCGTTTTAAATAAGGCCTCTCTCTCACTTCTGTGACTGTGATAACGCTCTTCTTTCACAGACCATGAGTTACTGTTACTGCTGAGACCGTACGTGCCTGACACTCAAAAAACTGAAGCAATATTGTCTTTGTTATAGAGAAATTCACCCCCTCGCCCCAAAAAAAAAAACAACTATGGATGCACTGTAGGAAAAGTGACTTTATTTTGACAACCAGAGACATTAAGTTTTGTTTTTTTGCACCTGACCTCTTCAGTATGTCGTGTAGATGTGATGTAATGCAACCTGAAGGACAAACAACTGACTTAAACCAAACTAGTAATACAGAACGGGGCATTTTTGTTGGAACGGTTGAACCACAACTGACTCCCGTATATGAATTTTAAATCCAAACTGAACGGTTCTGTGTTTAATGTTCATAAATTCATTTTGGGTTCAACTGACTGGTTCATTCACTGACCTCAGCAGCTGTTTACTATGAAAAGTACCTGCGTGTTGTGTAAAAATAACTGTTGTATCAGTGGAGTTTGGTGTTTCCTAGTTGACATTTTTGTGTCTCAGCTGGCTGACGTGACGCCCACCTGTGTGTCTTTTACATGATGTCAAATGTATTGTACCTTTTAAATGATGACAAAGGGCAATAAACTCAGTTGATGGACATTTTGAATCATCTTACCCGCTCCAACATTTTTGTTATAATGCCTCAAAAAAAGCAAAATATTTCCTGGTTCGTGAATTAACAATGAAAACTGTAAGGTGCACATGTGGAAATATTATGCAGAAAATTTTGTGCAGACGTTCATGGTCTCCAGGGAATTAATCCCTCTGACTGAAGAGTTACTGACTCGTCTTCTAGCGCCATCATCAGGTCAAAGGTTAAATGTATGTAACTTTATTCATGAATCTTTCAGGATATTGACAAATATTTTGTAGGAATATCATTGTTATAAGGAGTGGATTTTCACTTTTAATTGTAGCTGTTATTTGTTTTTTTTTATTACAGGTCAGAAGGAGCCCTTCACATGTCAGAGGTGGTAGGTGTCGTTGCAGCAGAGGCACCAGACTTGAGTGAGGGTGAGAATTAACCAACAAACACAAATGTGGTGTTCAAAGTCTTAAGCCTTTGCTGTCAAGTGCAGAGGGATAATCTCAGTGTTTTGGGTACAATGTGGCATCTCAGGACTTTGTTTTCAGATGGAGGGAGGGCAGATTTTGTTGAATTTCCTCAGGAATTAGATTACTGATGAGGGGATTATTCCCATTCCTGACAGATTTTTGGGCCTGAGTAAGACGACTAGAAGATTGCCTGTCTGAGCATCATGTCCACTCTTAACTCCAGCTGTTGTGGCAGATTAGCAGATCTTTTAATTACTCACTAAAGGCCTTTTCAACCTGAGCAACCCCTGCTGTCTTTTTCCCTCTCCCTGAGAAGTGAAGTCTCGACCGTGAAGACCAAATATCTGAATGATCTTTAAGCCTTTCTCACTTACATTTTCTCCCTTTTTCTGTCAGTCCGTGGCCTCCTCTCCCCACAGCTCCTCCTGCGTGCCGCTGAAAGCTGAAAGAGTTAAGAAGATTTGGCAGCTCCACTGCAACCAGCCAGCCGGTGAGAGAGGAACTGGCTTCCGGTGGCCAGAGGCAGGCGGCTCACTTGCCCGGGATTAAGTGGGATCGGGGGAGATTACAGCCCTCTCTCTCTCTCTCTCTCTCTCTCTGTCTCTCTGTCTCTCGTTTCCCTGTAGCTTGATGAACGTATAGTGCTCCGTTCAGTCTCCTGGGAATATATTTCCAATCATATATACATTATCCTGCACCTGTAGCGGTGCTGAAACCTGCAGGAGCTGGAGGAGAAAGGCTTGAGGCATCCCTGAGGACTTGGACGCAGAGGTAACGTGCATCAGACTGCTTTTTTTGTTTTAGAAAAAAGAGAAGGGCTTGGAGGAAGGCCAAAGGGATCATCCTCTTCCTCTTCTTTAACTACAGAAATTTGCCAGATGGGTGTTTACCTCATGAGTAGCTTGATCTGTTTTATTTCTTACAATCACTTTTTGTCTGTCATCCTGCACAACTGGCACCTTCATGATAGTTTTTACAATCATGATCAGGATAAAAAACATATTTATTAACCTGTTTATTCCTTTTTTTTTGGTCAATCACATTGATGTCAAATTGACCAGATGTTGGTAAAACAAAAAAAATACCATCACAGCTGAATTATATCCTGAAAATATAACAGGTGTTTTTCTGTCCTGTGATGGTTCACCAGCCAGAGATTATGCCGTCCACATCTCTGTATTTACATCAGCGTTGCTCTTACACGCTGATGTAAATTGTGCCGTTAACCCCTTACACCATTCATGCTAACGACTGCTGGAGCTGTGGCTGCGCCTCCCCACCTGATCCCACTGCACGCTCACGGCTGCATGGATTACCAAGCAGGCAAAGTGGGCAAGTGATGCCACAGACTCTGGTTTCCTGCATGTTGGTGATTTGATGATTCTTAAATGGGACATACAAATAAACCGTGTATATTATATTATAAACTTTATTAATCTTGTTATAAATGCAATATTTGTAGGGAATTAGCTGAACATTTTGCTGTGTGTCCTTCATGTTTCCAGGTCGTTGCCAGTCCTGGTCAGCGGTGGTCGGGGTCAGAGGTTGGGAGTCCAGTGACCATGAGGCAGGCGGTGGAGGCTCAGGTGTTGAACCCCCACTGCGAACTGGGAGAGCATGGTTAGTGGGGCACATGTAGCTATGATGTTGTAGCTTTGTTCTTACGCTCTCTTACACTGTGTGTGTTTGTGTGTCGCAGGCCTGCGTCAGATCCTGACAGATGTGATCGAGGAGGTGAGGCAGTCGGTGAATCAGGACATCGATGGAGCAGAGATTCTCCACAGTCTGTTGAACGCATCGTGGCTGCAGTCACTGCTCAAGGTCTGAAAACACTCTCCTCTACTATGAAATAACATCAAAAATGTATAACATAGAACACAGGTACAACATTCTCAGAGTGTGTGAGGGTGCATTTCTCCTTTTAAGGTACTGAACTACTTACTGTTAAAATGATAACTGCTCGTATTATTCAACTTTAAACTGTGTGATATCCCTGTTTTCAGGTGTACGAGTGTCTCCAGAGGTTCCTGAGGGACTCCCCACCTCCAGCTCTGGACTACGCTTCAGGACTCTCACTTCAGGTTGCACTCAGATTTGTTTTATAATATTAACTTGTTGCTCACAGTCGTTCTGTAGGAGTCGTTGTTTAAATGGAGGATATGTGTTTTCCTGTCTGTGCAGCTGCTGATTGACATCAGGTCGTTATCAGGCTGCTCTGAAGAGGCCAAAGAGCTCTACCGCCTCCTGCGGCAGCCGCACCTGCAGGTAAGAAGCCACGTCTACAAGACTTCTGTAACTGACCTGATTTCCCTCATTTTAATATTCATTTGTATTCTGACAATGCAGTGCGGCACCATGCGATGAACAATCCGTCTGATCTGCATGTTTTGTAGGCTCTGCTCTCTGCTCATGATACGGTGGCCCAGAGGGACTATGAGCCGGTGCTACCACCGATGCCTGAAGACCTGCCGGACGATGAGGAGGCCACCAGGATAGTCTGCCTGGTCAAAAACAAACAGCCTCTGGTGAGTTACATAGCTAACAACCCCTCATTACTCATTATGAAAGCTGCAAATGAAGTTTGGTTTGTATTATGTTTTTTGCCAAGCCCTTCCAAACTCTTTTTAGGCACTACGTGACCTTAAATGAGGCCACATTGTGATGGGATCGCCCCCCTTTCTATGTATGAATTTTAGTTTTTTAATCCCTCTTCACAAAAACAGGTTGGTTGGGATTAGGGAAACCCATCAGACAAACCTCACAGAGGATAAAAATGGCTTCAGGACATGAAGTCATACTACAAAACGACTGAACGGTTACATTTTGATAAAGCCACAGTCCAGAAAGTTCTTGCTCAAGGTCATTATGATCAGTACTGCGACTAAATCTTACAAATCTCAATTTTGTATTTTTAAAAAATTCATTGTATTTGTGTGGATACAGAAGCCTCACATATATTTGCACATTAAACCAAACTGACCACGTGGCTTGATAACACTAGGGAAATATAGAAAATGTGTTTTGTGATTTGGGTGAACTGATCCTTTAAGCTTCCTGTAATCTGACTGTAAGAAATACACCACATACATCTATGTGTATAAATTAGACCACAGTGGGGCTATTTCCAGTCCAGTCCTTCCATCCCAGCGGATGCTGTTTTATTTTGCCAAATATAAATCAAACAGCTGCATCCAGCTGTAGACCAGATGTTTGAATTTTATAATCTCTCATTTGTGAAATTGTCTGTGGATGCTTGATGGATGATTTCCAAACAGCAGAAAGAGAAGGATTTTAAAGAAAAACACTCATTATCAGTCTCTGCTAAACTCTTAATACACATGTCATTGTTTTGTATGTTGTTTTCTAGGTCTTTTATTACACAGTTATTTTAACAGGGAGTGCTGATGACTCATTTTTCATAGCAGTTATTCCATCTTTAAACCTTGCAGTTTTCCAGTGGAAATTGTCAGTCTCCATTTCCTGTTTTGAACGTTTCCTCTACCTTTGAGTGACTCTCTTGTCTCACAGCTTTGCACCCACCAGAGAGTCAGGCTCCCGCTGCCCAGTGCCTCCCCTCCCTCTGCAAAAAGCTCCAGAGGGGGGATCCACAGTCACTGGGACACCCTGAGGCACCTGACCCGGCAGAGGCTTCACCGAGGTCGTGCATTTGGCGCCCAGAGCACTGCTGCTGCTGAGAGCCACAGCCTGGATGTCAAGGATTCACCGTGGCGTAGCGTTCGCAGAGGCAGCTACCCTCCAACTGAAGCACTGTGTCACCCAGCGGGGGCTCGGCTGTACCCTCCATCTCAGTATAAGCCGATGAGTAACTGTCAGGTGTGCTGTGGCAAACAGATGAGCCAGTGTAGAGTTTGTTACACCAACCTGCTGTGGGAGCAAGGTCTGAACCGCTCCGCGCCTTCGGTCTACAGCTCTGTTCTGATCGGTAAGAAAAGACCTGGGCCTCGTCTCCTGGGGAGCGATCTCATTATAGAGAAAATAAATTTAAGAAATAATTCAAAACTTGGATAAAACCTGCAGTTTGAGGTTCATCTTGTTAATCTACAATCTACTGTAAGATGCTTTCAGGAAACAAGGCCCTGTGGGGTTTTCATCATTCGTCATTTCGCCCTCTTCATCCATCTTTCATCACATCTCCTTATGGTTTTTCATGGATTAATGATGTCTGTTTTCTCATTGGAGACAATGTCATAGAAGAGATGGACAGTGGGAATGAGGATGAAACAGGAGAGTCTGCCGACGCCCCCTCCCCGCTTCCCACATCCCGCCGTTGGACCATGTCTCCCCCATGCCTCACTGTACCCTACTACTCCAACATAGACGACTACCTCCAGCCAGGCCTAACTCCGCGGCTCCGAAACCAAAGCCCCCGCATCCGCACGGCTCCCACGAGTCCCATGCACCCTCGCCGTGTGGTGGAGATGCCCTCGGTGGCGCCCGTGGAGCTCGCCAAGCAGGAGAGTCTGGACGAGCTGAGGACCACTGTGCAGCTGGCCGCCAGCTCCATGGAGACCAGCACCAGGGACATGAAGCTCCTGGGGGAGAAGATGGCAGCTGCCACCGAGCGTATGTCGGAGACGGTGCAGGACAACTCGCACGCCTTAGTCCTACTCACTCAGGTGGTGGACCGGCTGCAGGTCCTCCTCGCCGCCACCAGGATTGACACCAACTCCACAAAACCTGCAGCTGCTGAGCAAGACGACACACCCAAGAAAAGCCCGACTACGAAGACTCGAGGGCAGCGTCCATCTTTGACACACCAATCCAGATGTCCCTTCCCCTCACTTCCTTCCTCCACCTCCTCCAGCTCCCTCAGCAGCTCCCAGGACGCTCCCTCCACCTCCCAAGGCACCAGCTGTCTGTCTGTGTCTTGCCGCGGATCACCTCGAACTACCCTAAAAACCAAAAATACCCCCTCCCCAAAGAAGAAGCACATACATCACCCTGATCTCCCAGCATCCAAACATCCTCTGACTAACGGCCTGTTAGATGAGACCAACGAGACGTCCAAGGCTGTGAGAGGAGGTCGCTCCAACCAGAGGAAGAAGAAGAGAAAGAAGGCGACATGAGAGACGCAGAGAAGTGTCCAAAAAGTGGACTTCTTGCGTCCTTTCAAAGCCGTCTCTGACCTGGCTGACCTGCAGACATGTACAGCGGTAGTTGGCATTTATTCTGGTTTTCCCTCCATCATGTTGTGTTTCTGTAGAGGGGCCATTTCATTCTTTCATTTTCTTCTCCGGCTCCCTCATCACCAGCGATGTCTGGATTCTTCACGTCAAGAACTTCACCAGTCAACTTTCACTTGTGTCGCTGTTTCGTTTGTGCCTGAATTGTCCCTTTTTTCCATTTCACCGCCACGTGTGTCCATCGTGTTGTTACTCCATCTGTTTTGTTTGTCGTCATTTGTCTGATTCGATTTGAGCATCACATTACAGTTGGTTTATTTATTCAGTGTTTTTTTCCTTTTTTTGTTCCAGGGAGCGACTATAAAGAGAAACGACATCACGGGCGAGATCTTTGTTGCTCGGGTGATTCATGGAGGGCTGGCTGATCGAAGTGGTGAGTCTTGCCTACCAAGGATAGTGTTGAATGTTGTCAGTTTACTGTATACTGTTCAATAATAACTGATGCTACAAGACAACACCTGAGAGAGGACTGGCCCTTTAAGAACTTGAGGAAATGTGAAGGCCTTGTTTTTATTTTCACCTGTATTTGTGTGTGTGTGTGTGTGTGTGTGTGTGTGTGTGTGTGTGTGTGTGTGTGTGTGTGTGTGTGTGTGTGTGTGTGTGTGTGTGTGTGTGTGTGTGTAGGTCTGCTGCATGCAGGGGACAGGATCATAGAGGTGAATGGTTTTCCTGTGGACGGGATGGAGCCTGAGCAAGTTATCCAAGTTGTGGTGGGTCACTGCTCTCTGAATCCCTGTGTCCTGTCTTCCTCAGTGATTTTCCTAAAAGCAAAAGGCATCACAGTTTCTCAGTCTGCTAATGAATCCGTTTTGCTTCTTTACAAACAATCAGCAAGCGAGGTCACAGGGCACCATCATGTTTAAGGTTGTTCCCATCACAGAGAGGCCGGTCCACAACCAGACGATGGTAAATCATCATCTGTACCTCCCTCATTCTTTCACTTCTTTTTTTTTTTTTTTTAAACCCTTGCATATCATAACTCTAAACTAATTGTCTGGCGTTAGTTGTACGTGCGGGCCATGGCCGACTACAGCCCTCAGCAGGACCCGGCCATCCCCTGCGCCGACGCCGGCATGAGCTTCAGAAAAGGTGACGTCCTGGAGATCGTGGACCAGACGGACGCCCTCTGGTGGCAGGCCAAGAAACTGCCCAGCAACACGGCCTGTGCTGGGCTCATCCCCTCCACCAACCTGCTCAAACGGTGCTGTTAAGGAAACATTTGGAGTAAAATCAGTAGATATCAGATCAAAGAATGAATTAGAGATTACAAACTTGACCAGAGATTTGGTGCTTGGTGGAGTTGGAGTTTGTGATGTTGGCCTAATTTAAACCTGAATCTGTTGTTAACAGGAAGCAGAGGGATTTCTGGTGGTCTCAGCCTTATCAGCCTCACGCCTGCATTCAGACCTGTAAGTTCACCCACATTTGTCTTTGAATAACAGTCCAAACAGTTTCAGAAGTGACCGGCTGTTTTCACAGTGGAGTTTTCATTGTGTTTTACTCCACGCTTACTGAAGTGAGCACAGTAGAAGAAGGTAAGGAGAGATTCCACTAAAACCTGCACATGTAGATTTATATGTTTTATTGCAGATATGACTGTTAGTTTTTCTCCCACAGAGGAAGACATGATGGCCATTGATGAGAAATGTGTTGAAGCAGGTAAATCCTCACTTACTGCTTTACATATATGTCTGTGTGCTCTTTTAATCTTTCATACACAAACTTATTGAATGACTGTGCTTTGTGATTAATCTCCCCTGTGTGTTTTTCTGTCTGGCAGACGAGGAGGCATTTGAATCTGGTAGGTAAGTCTTTGTTGATTTAATCTGTTTTGATTCTGGATTTGGTGTCATAAAAGCAAAGCGCCACTCTGTCCTGTCCTTTGTCTGAAGCTTTTGTTATTGTTTCTTTCCCAAACCTTTCTGCTGTCTGACGGCGAAATGTCAGAGGAGCTCAGAGAAGGTGAGAAAACCACAGCCATTTGTCTTCAAGTGCTTTGAAAGTACAGAGGACAAAACACGACCAATCATGCAGCTGTCATTTCCTCAGTATCTGTATTTCTTTCTCTTTTTTATTTTTACTCATCATTTCCTCCATTTTCATCTCATCCTTCTCTTCATATCAAACCAGAAGAGGATGACTTCAGCAGCAACATTGAAGGGATTTATTTAGGTAAGTCTTCAAACATAAATACAATCATTTATATCATATATCATATCCTCTGTGTTTTTGTAATTAATTAATTAATTAACGAGTTGATTTTTTTTTCCCTCAGCGGGCTTCAGGCGCAGCATGCGTCTGTGCAGGCGGCGGTTTCACAGCACCGTCCAGCCGTCCTGTCACACCCGCTGTCCCAGCAGCTGCTACAGCGCCCTCAACAGCCCGTATGAGGAGGTGGTGCGCTACCAGCGCCACCCACAGGACACGCAACGCCTCATCGCTCTCTTAGGTACACTAAACATCTTATTAGGAAAAACAGGGAAAATAAAACATTACGGATGATTAAAAACAAGCTTCAGGGAAACATTTAAATAGTATATACATTAGAAATGACTCATTTAATTCATCAAACAGCAAATTACTGATGAAATGTGGTTGGATTGATTAATGTTTGATCATGTGAGAGAGATTTTTTAGATGTGTTCTGTTTTTCTCAGGTCCGACAGGTGTGGGTGTGAATGAACTTCGGAGGCGCCTGATTGAAATGAACCCCAACGTCTTCCAGGGAGTTGTACCTCGTATGTGTCAGCTATGATCGTCCAACAAATTTACAATGAACCTAAGTGGGCCAAAAAAAAAAAAAAAGTATCACAGCTCACAGCACATGAAAAATCCTGAAAGACGCACAAAGTGTTGTTTTTCTTTTTCCTGAGGCTGTGTTTTTATCCTTTTTGTGTGATTATCTTTTGTAAATTATTAAATGACTGTCTGTCTGTAGGAAAAACAATAACATATGCTTTTTATTAAATGTGAGTTTCTTTTTTCCTCCTCCAGACACCACAAGAGCACCTAGAGGATACGAGGAGTCTGGAAGAGAATATTTCTACACCAGCCGAGAAATCTTTGACAACATGGTTTATAACAACAGGTACATCTGTCTCTGCTGTAAAGCCATTAATTATTCATGAATGTTGTGGAGACACGGTGTCATTTTTATAAAGTCTAAACACAATTTATTGACCTTTTTATGATTTTCAATTTGTAAAATGCTCAACAGCATCTATATGAGCATTTTTTTAATCGAATGTGAGAGGAAACAGTTCGTGTTGCCTTTTGAAATGATAAAAAGCTGTGTCTGCACCATATAACAACTCACATTACAGTCGCAGTATTCACAGAATGAGTTCAGAAATGAATGTTTAAGCATCAAGTACTTCTGGTTCCTGTGTTTTTAATATAAAGTGATGGTGTTCAACAGGTTCCTGGAGTACGGGGAGTATAAAGGGAATCTTTACGGCACCAGCATTGAGTCTGTGAAGGAGGTTTTAAACAGCGGGAAGATCTGCGTCATCGACATCGAGCCAAACGTAAATACAACATGGAGACTGACTGTGCTCACTAATGGCTGAAATTCAAGTTTTTAAAGCCACTATTCCAAACTTATAGTTATTCATTTAAAAAGTAATTACGTTATCATCATCTGTTATGTCTGAATTAATGTCATTGTGTTAACAAAGGGTTTAAATTAGAACATAACCATTTCACAATACCACTAACAGAAGAAGTTTTGTGTTTCATATGTTTTTTTTTTTTTTAAATGGTACAAACAATAGATTTAAATTGAATGTTCTTTATCTTCTCTATTTAGGCCATCCAGGCAGTGAGGACCCACGAGCTGAGGGCCTACATCATCTATGTGAAGCCTCCGCCTCTGGAGCGCCTCAAGGAGACAAGACAGGAGTCATACATCACCACCAACTACTATGTCAACCGACCGTTCAAAGTAAGCTCTATGTATATGTATAATAATGCATGACAATATGATAAAACACTGTTAATATCACTATATAATTTTGAACCAGATCAGATAAATAAAAAAAGAATGGGAGAAAGAAGCACAGATAAAACACATACACACAAAGAGAGATTTGGTCACATAGTGAAATTGCAACTCTCCTCCATCAGAATGAAGACTTCCAGGAGATGGAGGAGGCGGCCCGGAAGATTGAGTCCCACTTCTGGCAGTTCTTCGACCACGTGATCGTCAACGATGAGCTGCAGGACTCCTGCGTCCAGCTGCTGACGGTGGTGAGGAAGGCGCAGGACGAGCCGCAGTGGGTCCCTGCCAGCTGGATACGACCCACCGCCGAGTCGTAAGAGAGGACGGAGGAGAAGACGAGGGGACAAGAGAGATGTGACCCCATTTTATTATGGCAGCAAATTTATTTTGGAGACTGAAAGTCTGGAATATCATCCCGAAAAGCTTTACATTGAAATCAATTTGTTGTATGTCTAATACTGCATGTTTTAGGGGAGTAGGGCATGAAAAAAAGGAAATATTTTGATCTTGGTGTTTGTGGCATGCTTGATCTGATTCTTAAGTCGGTTCAAATCCCTAAAGACAAGATGAAGCTGGGCTCAAGCCCAAAGAAATCCCTGAAACTATGTCAGTTTGTCACAATTTTTTTTTCTTTTAACTAGTAGTTAGACTAATTGTTTTTAGATAATTACAGTAACGCTACAAGCAGAGAATACTCATGCAAAAGGTAGCTTCCTGCTTTGCATGCAGCTTTAATTTGAATAAAAAAGGTTTCTTGCCCTGCTCCCCGCTCAGAACCTGATATTTTTCCAATTGATGTTTACATACTAGAGAGCAAACTTGATGTTTTTCCAATTTGTTAAATGTTTTGTTTTTTTGTCATTTTTATCATTTCTTTGTGTTTTGTTTGAGATTTACAAAAGATTAACGAAATGCTGTGTTTGGCAAGCTCTTGCAAAAAAACCCCCAAAAAACCAAACACAAACACTGTGTCCTTATTTCATTCAAATAATGTAATGAAAACCATGTTTTTCAGGGTAAGATGCAGCAAAGTGCAAGCAAAGCAATGACATTTTGATATTTGTACCTGTGTGTGACATTAATAAACCAATTATGATAGTAATTTATTTATTATTCTTTTATTAAGTCAGTCATTTATTCTCCTGTTTTGTTGCCTTGCCTGTCCTCGCTTTGTGTGTAAGCTTTTATTTTGAAAACACAGGAAGTGTGTGTGTGTGTGTGCTACTCATAAATACATCCGGGTAGCACCTCTCCGTAGTCTAGATAAAGTCAATAACAACCAAAGTAGCAGTTTATTCGCTTTTAAATGGTTTGAGCCGTTAAAATATGCCTTTAAACTAAAGATGCTTCAACTGGATGAACATTTAAAGGCGTAGTTTTGAGTGAACTTCGCAGTATGGATACAGGAGGCTCAAAGGTAGCTAACACGTTTATTCTCATTAATAACGGAACGTTTAAGTGGCTACCGGGCTATTGTTAAATGTTATTTCGACGAAAATACGACAAATAAAATATTTCTAAATTTGTCGAATTTACACTTTTTATATTTTACTGTAGGCTACTGTTGGTGTAAACAATATTTTTTAAATTAACAGTAGCGAACGGTTACCTAAGGTTTTCAATTCTGTTACGTTATTCTGTTCTGTTATCTGTTGTAACGTTACCTATTACTACATTTAATAATAGAAATACGTATTATAACGTTTAAAATATCGCTAATAATCTGTTTTTTTTATTATAGAAAATGCGACCCAGGGAGCTCCCGCCTCTTCCACAGGTTAGTCAGTCAAATCCAGGTGTTATTGCCCTAAACTTATCTATGAGAGCACTGTAGTTACTGTTTCCCATTATACTCATTTAAAACTGCACTGTCCTTAGAAGGGTTAGGGTAAGCAAAATACTAAGCGGCAAAATAATGGCCCCAAAGTAAAATCTAATCAATTTATAGTTATATGAAACAAATAAAAGCATTTGTGAAACTGTAAGCAGCAAATATTTGGTAGTTTTACTGAATATAAGAAAAAAATAACTGATTCTCTGAATAAGAAAATGTTTTGATATTGAGTAAACTAATTATCTCAGTACAATTTGGATTTCAGACAGATTTCACAGTAAAAACAACAAACTACACCAGTGCAGTAACACATACTCAATTAATCATCAACAATATTGATAAAAGATTAATTGTTTAAGACATATGTGAGGATTCACTGCTTCTTTTTGTTTTATATTTGTGTAAATTGAATATTTAAAGGCGTCATCTTGAGCTCAGGGACACTTTAAAAGGCATTTTTCACTATTTTCTGACATTTCATACGGTAAAACAACTAGTCAATTAGTCGGAAAAAAGAGTCAGTAATGAAAAACACAGTAACTTACATATATAACAGAAAATGATGAAGCCGGGCAGGCATTTGGTCAGTCGCAGGTAATTAAGGTAATTAAAAGTCTAATTGATGAAAATATCTGAAGTAAAACCATTTTTCAGCCCAAAAATGAAACTTCTTCTCCTTGATTGTCACCAAACAAACCTGAAAAGCAGTGGAATAAGCTTGAAAAGTTGTCTAAGTGTGTTTAGGGACAACATGTAAAGCACAATACACAGTATTGGTGTTTACACACCGCCTCCACAAGCATCGTCAGGGAGATTAGACCGGATTCCAAAGACGCACTTCCTTGATGTTTCACACAAAGAGACATACAAATAGATACACTGCCACAGCTTCAAGAGTTTGAAAAAGGTTTGACCTCTGCCCTGAATAATCCTTGGTCCTGGCAGATGTATGACCACAGATTTAGCCAAGGATTTAACAGCCAGGATGTTACACGAGGCTTCACTCCACTCTTACTTGATTCTTAGGTGAAATGGCCAGAAAGGCAATGGTAAGGATTTAACTTTGATGTCTCATCTGACTTTAGGCTATAGCTGAAAATTTAGAGGAAAAAAAGAAAAATCCGAGGCAGCTCAGCTGTTATGTAAGTGTCTGTAACTTAAATAGCCTCTTGTGACGTGCTTGACTTTCAGCGACAGGTTTTGTCAGAGCAGGTGTATCATTCTCATCCATTTGTCTGCGTTTGATAGGAACGAATGAGTCATGGATGCGAAAGGTTCAGCTGTGGAAAATTAGACTAGTTTTTAATTCAGGTTATTTGAAGCTGAACTTAAACACACAAAGAAGAAAACTAACTTGTGCTTCTTCTTCTTAAGCGTGGGCAGCGAACACTTCCTACAATGCTGAGGTAAGTAAATGTGTTTATTATTATAACAGTGACTGTGATTTCTTTTTTGTCTTTATACCAATTTCTTTCCTCTGTTTTTTATATGCACTGACACATGAAGTCAGGATGCAGTTGGTGAGTCAGGATTTGTACTAAGTAGTTCTTTATAATGTTTATAATTAATTTTTTCATTGAATTTTTCATTGAACTTTCCTTGTGTTTATTTTCTTGTGCAGCACCAAAACAGAAGAAGAAGAGGGTGAGAAAGGAGGCAAATGGAGTTGATGATATGGATGGTACGAAACACAAATGTCTGTGGAGCTAATTCAGTACTCATAGCCAAACGTTAATTAACTCAACTTATTGGTTTAAATGGCAAGGTCATGCCAACACAAAGACTTAACAGCTAAACCTTTAATTTTGCTGAACTTGACATTTTGTTTTTCTGCCATTTATCACTCATCATTTATTCTTACCTCCATCTTTCCTTTTTAGATCAGGGGGTGGAGATGGGAGGCCTGGGCAGCAGGAGGACGTCTGAGGTCGGAGAGCAACTTTCCCTTGAACCCGCAACTGAAGCGCCCACCCAGAGGAGGAGGAAGAAAAAGAAAGCTGCCACTATAGGTAAAATCTATGTGTGTTGCTTTTCTGTCTGGGAGATATACTAACCCTATGATGCTGTAGTTTCATTGGGATAAAAAAAAAAAAAATTCATGGTTTCAGATCTTGAAGATGACCAGGCTGATCTGGTGAATGGAGATGCAGTGGATCAGACCACCGATGGAGAAGAAGTGGTACGAAAACCCAAAAAGAAAAAGTAAGAAGCCCTGAAAACCAGAATTAACATGCTGATGTATAATATTATATCTGCAGTTATTTTCATTATCGATTTATCTGCAGGTCATTGAAAATTCTCTCACATCAGTGTCATATGTTGGGTTGAATTTGTCATTTTTCTTTGGTCTTCTTTTCTTTTAATTAAGTAAAACTAAACCAAACCAAAGCACACATGATAAAAAGCATCCAAGTAATTGTCACAGAATCAATAAAAGAAAGACTTCGTAAGAGACAAATGTGACAGCAATTACAGGATGATATATCGAATATGTTCCATTTTTCTCTAAAACTTTTATTCTTGTAATTTCAGGAAGTCAAGAGTCGTTGAATCACAGCTTCCCGATGAGTTGGACGTGGAGGAGGATGATATTATCACTGACACCCCTCCTGCCATCCCCCAGCATTCCCTGTTCTCGGCCCCGCAGGGTCAGAGCCAGCCGGTTGGGAAGGTCTTTGTGGAGAGGAACAGTGAGTAATGAGAGAAGATGACGTGGTCAAAGCTGTTAAATGGCTTGAGTGGAAATAGTAACTGAAGTGTGTGTGTGTGTGTCAACATGCAGAACGTTTCCAGGCAGCGGAGCGCTCAGACTGGAGGAAGACCAGCGACCAGATGGATAACATGACGGACCTCCAGCACATGCAGCCGCTCTGGACCACCAGAGATGTTTCTATCAGAGTGCACGAATGCTTCAGGTGAAGGAAAAATGTCTCTGCACAAAATAAAACATACACAGACACACGCTCCCCTATTTTCTTTAACGTCTCTTATCTCTTCTGTCTGGTTCAGGGTGTTTGGTCTTTACTGTCACGGCTTCCTGGCAGGCTATGCTGTGTGGAACATCGTTGTGGTGTACATGTTGGCCGGGCAACACCTCACCGCTCTGTCCAACCTGCTGGAGCAGTACCACAGCCTGGCTTACCCCTCCCAGTCTCTGCTCTACATGCTGCTGGCCGTCAGCACCGTGGCCGCCTTCGACCGGTAAGACACCAGGGCTTGTTCTCATTCCTGCTCAATCAAGATGGCCTCAAGAAAAAAAACCTTCCTGTTTGTCACCCAACATGAAATTTTTGTAGCTCTAAAAATGTGCAAGAGAAAGGTCATCTATGTGTAGTAAGCCTAGTCTTCTTCTCAGAGTGAATCTGGCCAAAGGCTCCATGGCTCTGCAGGAGTTCATCACACTGGACCCCGTCGCACTCGCCTCATTCTGTGAGTCCACGCTGTATTTATTCTTTTTAGATGAAGTACAAGTCCTTCCTTTAAACACATACTTTACACTCTTTGTTTATTATCTCCTCTCTGTAGTGTATTTCTCAGCACTGGTCCTCTGTTTGAGCCAGCAGATGACCAGCGATCGAATCAACCTGTACCCGTCCTTCAACACAACGCTATGGTGAGCTCAGCTAATGTTATGGTTTCTATCTCATCATGAAGCCTGGATGTGAAACCTGAGTCCCTTCTGTTTTCTTCTCTAGGCCACCAGGGTCAGAGCACCAAATTCTCCACCCGTGGGTGACAGTCAACCTGGTGGTGGCGCTGCTTGTTGGCCTGGCCTGGATCTTCATCGCCACACGACCTGAGACCGACTACACTGAAGGTGAGTGTGTTGAATGCTGCTTTAATCTCAACTAAATCCACCCTAACACACTTAAAGAAGAAAAAGGTTCCTTTTATTTTCTTGTCCTTCTTCCTCAGGTTATCTGATGGCCATGGAGATTGAGCCGCCAAAACCAGAGGACAAATCAGAAATGACCGCCTGAGAAAAATGACTGTATATTTGATCTGAGACGACAGCTTTGATGTCACTTTGCACATATTTTGCACCATATTTTAGCAGTGAACACTGAATGTGTGATAATGTATATTATTTTTGTATTTTTGAAATGTGAATGTACTTGTTTCTTTCTAAATACAAGATTTTATCCAACAAATCCTGCAACATGTTTTTATTTCATATGAAGGGAATTCGATGGTATGACCAGGTTTGCTAGGCTACCATTGATCTTTAAAAGGTTCAATAATTATATGGAATAAGCGGTGTTGGAAGAGATATTGAGCTCATTTACTAGTAAATGGAAATTTTCAGGATGTATGGTCACACAAGTTTATTTACAAGTACAGACTTATTATGGTATTTATTAACTTACACGTAGAGTTTGATAAGATGTTGATCTGCATAAAAAAACTTCAAATAGTTCATATGTATATAGATCAATACGGTGAGTGTGAAATGTTCATGATAATTACTACTTTTGTTTGGAGGACTTTCCACAACCTGGCAACCCAAAAGTTCTTCTAATTGATGGCTCAAAACTGATCCATAAAACATAAAAGTAAATGATTTATTAACCATTCATAAAACCAATACTTACTGCTTATAAACCCTTTATAAATGGTGCCTTATGAGAGAGTGGTTGCTATTTAGTTCAGTATCGATTTCACTCCATTCGATTATTTCGCCCTGCCCGCCGTCCAGACTGTGTAGTCGAGCACAGAACCCCTGATCGCTGCTGTCTCTGTTGACGTGGTGACTGTGAAAGAGTTTGCGTGGAAATCTCCAGATATATTAATGAGTTAAAGTTAGTAAAGCAGTGCAGTTAAAAGCGAGCAGTCATGCTGGACTTTGCCATCTTTGCTGTCACGTTTGTCATCATTTTAGTCGGCGCCGTTCTCTACTTGTACCCGGTATGTCACTGCAAGTTTAGCTTTAATTAAGCTACTTAGCTATCCGTTATCCTGGTGAACCATTACGCCAGCGTCCTCCTTAAAAGTGTTTATGTAAGGTTCCTTTTCTTGGAAACATTACGTATAATACATTTCAGTAATATACCGAACCTTTACTATCTTTTTTCTCTTTTTGGTATTAGTCTACCACAACAAACAGGAATCTACTTCAGTGAAATACAACTTTAAGAAGTCCCAGTGGGCGGCAACGAGCGCTGATCTACTTGCCTAAATTAGCTACTAAAGTAAAAATAATGAAATCAAATTCTGCAAACTACAGCAGTTACATGCTGATTTAATCGAAACATCAAATAAATAATCACATTACTTTAGGTTGTGTTTTAAAAATGTGTGTGGTTGCCTATTAACGAAGAAGCATTAAATTAGCACATTTTTCAATGGGATTCCATATGACTGAATGTCACACAAACCAATTGGCGTTAGCTGGATTTGGGATTGGCAAAGTCGATCTATCAGTTTATTGGAGAAGACAGTTTGAGTGTGCGCATGTGTAGACGGTACACTTATGTATATGCACTACCACAAATTGTATTTACATAAATTCACATTAACAGCCTATTTCTAACCATTTCAGTCATCCAGAAGGGCCTCTGGCATCCCAGGTCTCAACCCTACAGATGAGAAGTAAGTTGATGTATTTTCCTCTGTCTTTGCAGCTACTGTTTACTTTCATTCAGTAAAAGGATTGAGTAAAATTCATATACACCAGTTAGCTAGTCTCCCTCATTTATAATTGGCTCCCTAAGAGGCCTGTACGGATGTACATGAACAGAAAGCCTAACATCCAAGTCTAATATCGTGACATTAACATTAAAACAAATAAATTAATGTGCTGATGAAGTGGTCCTCTTTCAACATAAAGCATATGTTTTTGGTACATTATTGATTGTACTGGCTGTCCAGATTCAAATCACATCCATGGCTTTCTGCTCTCTCAGGGATGGGAACCTGCAGGACATTGTGAACAGAGGCAGTCTGCACGAGTTCCTCGTCAGTCTGCATCAGGAGTTTGGGTCTGTGGCTTCGTTCTGGTTCGGCGGTCGGCCGGTGGTCAGCCTGGGCTCTGTGGACCAGCTACAGCAACACATCAACCCCAACCGCACCAGTAAGTCCACAAGCTTGACAGACTTAAAATGACAGTTTTTGCTGCTTATGATAATGATGATAATAATAATGATAATAATAATAATAATAGTAATAATACACTAAAACATTTTGATGCTCTAAACATTTCGCTGCTGATCCCCTTCAGTAAAGGATCTGTGCTGTTCTAAACAAAAGAAAACTAAACTCTTTCTCTTTACCTACTCTCAGCTGACTCCTTTGAGACGATGCTGAAGTCATTGCTAGGTTACCAGTCTGGGATGGGAGGCGGGGCCAATGAGACCATGATACGGAAGAAAGTGTATGAGAGTGCCATCAACAACACGCTGAAGAACAACTTCCCTCTTGTGCTCAAGGTTTGTGCCGTGAATGAAGGCAAAACTTTAACTCTACCCATTGAAATATATCGTTTAGAGGTATTAAACATTACCAAATATGGCCTCTGTAATCGTCTTTGGTTTCATAGGTGGTGGAAGAGCTGGTTGGAAAATGGAAGTCATTCCCGGATGCTCAGCACACCCCTCTGTGTGCCCACCTGTTGGGTCTGGCTATGAAGACCGTCACCCAGCTGGCTCTGGGTGAGCGCTTCAAAGACGACACGGAGGTCATTTCCTTCCGCAAGAACCACGATGCGGTGAGGCCGTCTGCCTGGGCATCTCAACTCTGTATAGTTAAATAGGCACCGACATTGCTTTTATAAACGGGTCATTATGTTTTAGTCTTGTCACTGATTTATTTTTCTCGTTTTCTCACTCACATTGACACCACCAGATCTGGTCAGAAATTGGGAAAGGCTACTTGGACGGCTCGCTGGAGAAGAGCTCCAGCAGAAAGGGACATTATGAGAAGGGTGAGTGAGGTTTTTCTCTGCAGAGGAAGCTGACGTGAACTATACTGAGTTATTGAAGGATGGTGTCTGTACTGTCTGTCGTTATTTTTTGACTCTCGTCAGCCTAGTGTTTGTCATGTCTTCATTTCTATCCATTTCCTAAGCTCACAGCTGCTGTCTGTTGACATGTGGGAACAGCAGAGGGCTTCTGCTATTTTTTAGCTGTGGAGAAACAGGAGGAAAAGTTTGCAGAAGCTCAGATATGATCTGTGTAAAGCTGCTTGACAGACAGCCAGAAACAGTCTGAGTACAGGCAAAGACTGTGCAAACCCAACAGCCACTGTTTTCAGGGACTGTTATTGATTTTTCTGCCAAGGACAGTTGTCTGAGACACTCTGCACCTGGCTGGAGTTAATCTTGGTTGCTGTGGATGCTTGAAATGCTGACATTTTATCCTGTAATCTCAGTATGGGTGTCAGGCCTAAAATATAAAACAACTGACGTCTAATGCGAGTGTGTTTTCATTATTTCCTCCTGGGAGTTCAGCTCTGTCGGAGATGGAGTCTGTGCTGCTGTCGGTGGCGAAGGAGAGAAAAGCTCAGAGGAAGCAGACAGTGTTTGTCGACACTTTGTTTCAGTCCAGCCTCACAGAGCGACAGGTGAATACTGATGAAGTCTCCCACTCTGCTTTCAAACCAAATGAAATAACTGAGCTGATCTTCACTGTTCCCACAAAGCTTTGAAAAAGCCCCTAATATGAATTTTATTTGTTTCTTTCAGATTATGGAGGACTGCATGGTTTTCACTTTGGCCGGATGCGTCATCACTGCCAACTGTAAATGACAACTATCAAAACAAGATCAATTTTCTCAATCAACCAATCGATTAATAACTGAAACAGGAATGCAACTAACTAATTGTATTCATTGTTGATTATTTTCTGGATTAATTGAGAGAAATCTGAAATCAGTCAGAAACCAACAGCATTTATCTTACAGTTACTTATTATTTAAACAGAATAAAATTAATCGACTAAACATTTCAGCTCCACGTTACATTTTAACTATTTACTTTTGCAGACTAAAAGTTTCCATAACATGTTGTGATTTGACAGTGTGTATCTGGGCACTCCACTTCCTGTCCACCTCAGAGGAAGTCCAGGACAAGTTGTACCAGGAGCTGGAGGACATTTTGGGTTCAGATCCAGTTTCCCTGGACAAGATCCCCAAGCTCAAGTAAGACCTTTGGACCTGGCTTACATCTCCAACTAGACACCTGACATTGGTCCAATTTTACTGACTTATGGAGGGATGATGCATGCTGTCACTGTGTTCATGCTTTTGAGGAATGACACAGATAAATGCATCTTAATTCAAGGTGAAAGTTTCAAACATTTAAAGGTTGTAAATGCTTCGCCACTGATGCGATTCTGACTCAACCTGAACATTTAATGCTCTTGTTACATTATTTAAGGAGACAAATACACTATTAGTGAAGATGAACTGAGTCCTACTGCCTTGGATAAACTTGATCTTGTTCAATTTCTGCCCTTGAAAAGATACTGCCAGCAGGTCCTCAATGAGACGGTGAGGACTGCCAAGCTGACCCCTGTCGCGGCTCGGCTTCAGGAAGTGGAGGGCAAAGTCGATCAACACGTCATCCCCAAAGAGGTATCTGGTTTCCAGCTCTCCGTCTGTATATTTCTCCTCAGCTCTTTGTCACATTATTACAGCCAGACAATCAGACGGTTGAGTTTTCATCAGGTTTATTTTAGAGAAGAAACAATAATTAGCAGGTAATAAAGAAACCACAAAGGGAGATATACGTTTATATATATATATATATATATATATATATATATATATATATCTGCTGAGCAGTACCACAGCCTGGCTTACCCCTCCCAGTCTCTGCTCTACATGCTGCTGGCCGTCAGCACCGTGGCCGCCTTCGACCGGTAAGACACCAGGGCTTGTTCTCATTCCTGCTAATCAAGATGGCCTCAAGAAAAAAAACCTTCCTGTTTTGTCACCCAACATGAAATTTTTGTAGCTCTAAAAATGTGCAAGAGAAAGGTCATCTATGTGTAGTAAGCCTAAGTCTTCCTTCTCAGAGTGAATCTGGCCAAAGGCTCCTAGGCTCTGCAGGAGTTCATCACACTGGACCCCGTCGCACTCGCCTCATTCTGTGAGTCCACGCTGTATTTATTCTTTTTAGATGAAGTACAAGTCCTTCCTTAAACACATACCTTACACTCTTTGTTTATTATCTCCTCTCTGTAGTGTATTTCTCAGCACTGGTCCTCTGTTTGAGCCAGCAGATGACCAGCGATCGAATCAACCTGTACCCTCCTCAACAACGCTATGTGAGCTCAGCTAATGTATGTTTCTATCTCATCATGAAGCCTCGGATGTGAAACCTGAGTCCCTTCTGTTTTCTCTATGGCCACCAGGGTCAGAGCACAAATTCTCCACCCGTGGGGACAGTCAACCTGGTGGTGGCGCTGCTTGTTGGCCTGGCCTGGATCTTCATCGCCACACACCTGAGACCGACTACACTGAAGGTGAGTGTGTTGAATTGCTGCTTTAATCTCAACTAAATCCACCCTAACACACTTAAGAAGAAAAAAGTTTCCTTTATTTTCTTTGTCCTTCTTCCTCAGCGTTATCTGATGGCCATGAGATTGAGCCGCCAAAACCAGAGGACAAATCAGAAATGACCGCCTGAGAAAAAATGACTGTATATTTGATCTGAGACGGACAGCTTTGATGTCACTTTGCACATATTTTGCACCATATTTTAGCAGTGAACACTGAATGTGTGATAATGTATATTATTTTTGTATTTTTGAAATGTGAATGTACTTGTTTCTTTCTAAATACAAGATTTTATCAACAAATCTGCAACATGTTTTTTATTTCATATGAAGGAATTCGATGGTATGACCAGGTTGCTAGGCTACCATTTTACTTTAATAGGTTCAATATTATATGGAATAAGCGGTTGTTGGAAGAGATATTGAGCTCATATTTACTAGTAAATGGAAAATTTCAGGATGTATGGTCACACAAGTTTATTTACAAGTACAGACTTATTATGGTATTTATTAACTTACACGTAGAGTTTGATAAGATGTTGATCTGCATAAAAAACTTCAAATAGTTCATATGATATAGATCAATACGGTGAGTGTGAAATGTTCAGTATAATTACTACTTTTGTTTGGAGGACTTTCCACAACCTGGCAACCCAAAGTTCTTCTAATTGATGGCTCAAAACTGATCCATAAAACATAAAAGTAAATGATTTATTAACCATTCATCTAAAAACCAATACTTTACTGCTTATAAACCCTTTATAAATGGTGCCTTATGAGAGAGTGGTTGCTATTTAGTTCAGTATCGATTTCACTCCATTCGATTATTTCCGCCTGCCGCCGTCCAGACTGTGTAGTCGAGCACAGAACCCCTGATCGCTGCTGTCTCTGTTGACGTGGGTGACTGTGAAAAGAGTTTGCGTGGAAATCTCCAGATATATTAATGAGTTAAAGTTAGTAAAGCAGTGCAGTTAAAAGCGAGCAGTTCATGCTGGACTTTGCCATCTTTTGCTGTCACGCTTTGTCATCATTTTAGTCGGCGCCGTTTCTCTATCTTGTACCCGGTATGTCACTGCAAGTTTAGCTTTAATTAAGCTACTTAGCTATCCGTTATCCTGGTGAACCATTACGCCAGCGTCCTCCTTAAAAAGTGTTTATGTAAGGGTTCCTTTTCTTGAAACATTACGTATAATACATTTCAGTAATATACCGAACCTTTACTATCTTTTTCTCTTTTTGGTATTAGTCTACACAACAAACAGGAATCTACTTCAGTGAAATACAACTTTAAGAAGTCCCAGTGGGCGGCAACGAGCGCTGATCTTACTTGCCTAAATTAGTCTACTAGTAAAAATAAATGAAATCAAATTCTGCAAACTACAGCAGTTACATGCTGATTTAATCGAAACATCAAAATTAAATAATCACATTACTTTAGGTGTGTGTTTTAAAAAGTGTGTGGTTGCCTATTAACGAAGAAGAAATTAAATTAGCACATTTTTCAATGGGATTCCATATGACTGAATGTCACACAAACCAATTGGCGTTAGCTGGATTTGGGATTGGCAAAGTCGATCTATCAGTTTATTGGAGAAGACAGTTTGAGTGTGCGCATTTGTAGACGGTACACTTATGTATATGCACTACACAAATTGTAATTACATAAATTCACATTAACAGCCTATATTCATAACCATTTCAGTCATCCAGAAGGGCCTCTGGCATCCAGGTCTCAACCCTACAGATGAGAGTAATGTTGATGTATTTCCTCTGTCTTTGCAGCTACTGTTTACTTTCATTCAGTATAAAGGATTGAGTAAAATTCATAACACCAGTTAGCTAGTTCTCCTCATTTATAATTGGCTCCCTAAGAGGCCTGTACGGATGTACATGAACAGAAAGCCTAACATCCAAGTCTAATATCGTGACATTAACATTTAAAACAAATAAATTAATGTGCTGATGAAGTGGTCCTCTTTCAACATTAAAGCATATGTTTTTGGTACATTATGATTGTACTGGCTGTCCAGATTCAAATCACATCCATGGCTTTCTGCTCTCTCAGGGATGGGAACCTGCAGACATTGTGAACAGAGGCAGTCTGCACGAGTTCCTCGTCAGTCTGCATCAGGAGTTTGGGTCTGTGGCTTCGTTCTGGTTCGGGCGTCGGCCGGTGGTCAGCCTGGGCTCTGTGGACCAGCTACAGCAACACATCAACCCCAACCGCACCAGTAAGTCCACAAGCTTGACAGACTTAAAATGACAGTTTTTGCTGCTTATGATAATGGATGATAATAATAAATGATAATAATAATAATAATAATAGTAATAATACACTAAAACTTTTGATGCTCTAAACATTTCGCTGCTGATCCCCTTCAGTAAAGGATCTGTGCTGTTCTAAACAAAAAGAAAACTAAACTCTTTCTCTTTACCTACTCTCAGCTGACTCCTTTGAGACGATGCTGAAGTCATTGCTAGTTACCAGTCTGGGATGGGAGGCGGGGCCAATGAGACCATGATACGGAAGAAAGTGTATGAGAGTGCCATCTAACAACACGCTGAAGAACAACTTCCCTTCTTTGCTCAAGGTTGTGCCGTGAATGAAGGCAAAACTTTAACTCTACCCATTGAAATATATCGTTTAGAGGTATTAAACATTACCAAATATGGCCTCTGTAATCGTCTTTGGTTTCATAGGTGGTGGGAGAGCTGGTTGGAAAATGGAAGTCATTCCCGGATGCTCAGACACCCCTCTGTGTGCCCACCTGTTGGGTCTGGCTATGAAGACCGTCACCCAGCTGGCTCTGGTGAGCGCTTCAAAGACGACACGGAGGTCATTTCCTTCCGCAAGAACAAGCATCGGTGAGGCCGTCTGCCTGGGCATCTCAACTCTGTATAGTTAAATAGGCACCGACATTGCTTTATAAAACGGGTCATTATGTTTTAGTCTTGTCACTGATTATTTTTCTCGTTTTCTCACTCACATTGACACACCAGATCTGTCAGAAATTGGGAAAGGCTACTTGGACGGCTCGCTGGAGAAGAGCTCCAGCAGAAAGGGACATTATGAGAAGGGTGAGTGAGGTTTTTCTCTCTGCAGAGGAAGCTGACGTGGAACTATACTGAGTTATTGAAGGATGGTGTCTGTACTGTCTGTCGTTATTTTTTGACTCTCGTCAGCCTAGTGTTTGTCATGTCTTCATTTCTATCCATTTCCTAAGCTCACAGCTGCTGTCTGTTGACATGTGGAACAGCAGAGGGCTTCTGCTATTTTTTAGCTGTGGAGAAACAGGGGGAAAAGTTTGCAGAAGCTCAGATATGATCTGTGTAAAGCTGCTTGACAGACAGCCAGAAACAGTCTGAGTACAGGCAAAGACTGTGCAAACCCAACAGCCACTGTTTTCAGGGACTGTTATTGATTTTTCTGCCAAGGACAGTTGTCTGAGACACTCTGCACCTGGCTGGAGTTAATCTTGGTTGCTGTGGATGCTTGAAATGCTGACATTTTATCCTGTAATCTCAGTATGGGTGTCAGGCCTAAAATATTAAAACAACTGACGTCTAATGCGAGTGTGTTTCATTATTTCCTCCTGGGAGTTCAGCTCTGTCGGAGATGGAGTCTGTGCTGCTGTCGGTGGCGAAGGGAGAAAAAGCTCAGAGGAAGCAGACAGTGTTTGTCGACACTTTGTTTCAGTCCAGCCTCACAGAGCGACAGGTGAATACTGATGAAGTCTCCACTCTGCTTTCAAACCAAATGAAAATAACTGAGCTGATCTTCACTGTTCCCACAAAGCTTTGAAAAAGCCCCTATAATGAATTTTATTTGTTTCTTCAGATTATGGAGGACTGCATGGTTTTCACTTTGCGGATGCGTCATCACTGCCAACTGTAAATGACAACTATCAAAACAAGATCAATTTTCTCAATCAACCAATCGATTAATAACTGAAACAGGAATGCAACTAACTAATTGTATTCATTGTTGATTATTTTCTGGATTAATTGAGAGAAATCTGAAATCAGTCAGAAACCAACAGCATTTATCTTACAGTTACTTATTATTTAAACAGAATAAAATTAATCGACTAAACATTTCAGCTCCACGTTACATTTTAACTATTTACTTTTGCAGACTAAAAGTTCCATAACATGTTGTGATTTGACAGTGTGTATCTGGCACTCCACTCCTGTCCACCTCAGAGGAAGTCCAGGACAAGTTGTACCAGGAGCTGGAGGACATTTTGGGTTCAGATCCAGTTTCCCTGGACAAGATCCCCAAGCTCAAGTAAGACCTTTGGACCTGGCTTACATCTCCAACTAGACACCTGACATTGGTCCAATTTTACTGACTTATGGAGGGATGATGCATGCTGTCACTGTGTTCATGCTTTTGAGGAATGACACAGATAAATGCATCTTAATTCAAGGTGAAAGTTTCAAACATTTAAAGGTTGTAAATGCTTCGCCACTGATGCGATTCTGACTCAACCTGAACATTTAATGCTCTTGTTACATTATTTAAGGAGACAAAATACACTATTAGTGAAGATGAACTGAGTCCTACTGCCTTGGATAAACTTGATCTTGTCAATTTCTGCCTTGAAAAGATACTGCCAGCAGGTCCTCAATGAGACGGTGAGGACTGCCAAGCTGACCCCTGGCGCGGCTCGGCTTCAGGAAAGTCGGAGGGCAAAGTCGATCA